AATATGAATTTATGAAAGGTTTAAAACACCAGGTTGCAAAGATATAATAATTAGGAAATAAGAGTTTGTGGCAGGTTTTTAGTAACTTACTTTTCCTATTTATATCTGATTGTTATAAACGAAAATATAATTAAAAATAAGAAGAATATATACACAAATGTATAGCTTCTTATATTTTTGCAAAATGGATCATACGCCAAAAAAGACGGAAAAAATACTTTTAAAAAAAAAAAAAATTTTTTTAAAGGAACAATTAAAGGTTACCCGCAAAGGATGATATTTTATTTAATCCTGTAAATACTAAAAATCGATGTGTCAAAAACATACGAGCAGCTGCTGAGATTGAACCATATAAGGTAAATTTTGTCGTCATTTTGAGCATCCATAAACTTTCCCTAGGGTCATTTGAGGTCCCACAAAAAGTTTGGACCCGATTGGTTCTGCCGTTTTGAGTTTTGACGTTTATTGGATACAAACGGACAGAGACAGGCAAGCAAAGTATAAATAGATGAACCCTGTACCCTTAAACAATCTCATATTGAATTCAGGTCTAATATTATCCTAATAGATGAACCCTGTACCCTTAAACAATCTCATATTGAATTCAGGTCTAATATTATCCTAATAGATGAACCCTGTACCCTTAAACAATCTCATATTGAATTCAGGTCTAATATTATCCTAATAGATNACCCCTCTTTCTCATTCCTTCTTTCCTTTCTTTCCTTTCTTTGTCTTCTCTCATCCCTCTTTATAATTCTTTCTTTCCTTTCTTTCCTTTCTTTGTCTTCTCTCATCCCTCTTTTTCATTCCTTCTTTCTTCTCATATCTTCTTTCCTTTCTTTTCTTCTCTCATCCCTATTTTTCATTCTTTCTTTCTTCTCATATCTTCTTTCCTTTCTTTGTGTTCTCTCATCCCTCTTTTCTTTTCTTTCTTCTTGTATCTTCTTTCCATTCTTCGTCTTCTCTCATCTTTTTCATTTCTTTTTTCTTCTCATATCTTCTTTCCTTTCTTTTTCTTCTTTCAACTCGCTTTCTCATTCCTTCTTTCTTTTCATATCTTCTTTCCTTTCTTTGTCTTCTTTCTCATTCCTTCTTTCTTCTTGTATCTTCTTTCCTTTCTTTATCTTCTCTCATCTCTCTTTTTCATTCCTTTTTTCCTTTCTTTCCTTTCTTTGTCTTCTCTCATCCCTCTTTTTCATTCCTTCTTTCTTCTCATATCTTCTTTCCTTTCTTTTCTTCTCTCATCCCTATTTTTCATTCTTTCTTTCTTCTCATATCTTCTTTCCTTTCTTTGTGTTCTCTCATCCCTCTTTTCTTTTCTTTCTTCTTGTATCTTCTTTCCTTTCTTCGTCTTCTCTCATTTATCTTTTTCATTTCTTTTTTCTTCTCATATCTTCTTTCCTTTCTTTTTCTTCTTTCATCCCTCTTTCTCATTCCTTCTTTCTTTTCATATCTTCTTTCCTTTCTTTTTCTTCTTTCATCCCTCTTTCTCATTACTTCTTTCTTTTCATATCTTCTTTCCTATCTTTATCTTCTCTCATCCCCCTTTTTTTTATTCCTTTTTCTATGTATGTAATTATTTTTGTACATTATTTTTTATTTATTGTTACTTTTAATACTTTTTGATATTCTTCTTTTTATTCTTTTCTTTAATTAACTTTCATTTCCTTTTTGCTTTCTCATTTTTTCCTCATCCCTTTCTTCTTTCTGAAGTTTCCTGCACACACACATATCCTGTTTTATAATCATAAAGAGATGTGAAACATGTTTAAAATAAACTGTCCTAGAACTAAAATATAATTTCTAGTTGTAAATTATAAATATATATTTAGTAATAGCTTCTGTCGGCTTGGTTTGGCGGCAAATCTAACCAATATCAAGCCCGGTTGACGAATCCAGCAACCAATCAGAGCTCAGAAATATTTTGGCGGCGTCCAATATACATGATAAATATTTATCGAAGATCAATAGTAAATTATATATTTCAAAGCCTGCATGAAATTTAGTCTATTTTGATAATTTCATCGATGGAAATTTTAGAAAAATAGTAGTTTCGGAGATATTTTTACCCAAAGAGATCAGGCCATGGCCAGACATCAGCCAGGAAAATTCTGGAGTGTGTCGCGCGCGCGCTTTCTTTCTAGCACATTTTAAAAACTTTTAACAGCTTATTTTCAGCTTAAGTTCAAAAGGAGCGTGCACATTTTGGTTCATGCACCATGTACCCAGTCCGAAAATTCGTTGATTTTTTTTAAATTTTGCATTATAATTTTGCTTTCGTAATTTTTCTCTATCTTTCGCTTTTCTCTTCCTACCTGCTGAGCGTACAAAATTTGGGTGTGTTTGTGTATTTAGGTATTCAGGTAATTAGGTATTCAAGTAGAGCTGTGGTAAACACAGGGAAACTTTAGAATGGGATATCCTTAATCCCGATCGGTTAAATAATCTGGAGATTAATAACAAGAGGAGAACAAGTCATATTTATTCTCGAGATTAAGAAAAAGAGTGGATCCCGATATCCACCATTAATGAAAAGCTCTGGTTAGTAAGGATTTTCATTCGTTAAATAAAGATATTATTTTTATTTGCTACAGTATATTTTTTGTCCATAACATTTAAAAAACTTTGAATTGTTTTCGACAGAGTCTGAATAAGAGATCCTCTGTCTCTGCACTTCTCCGCTCTTCCTTTTCTTCTTCTCTCCATCTATTTTTACTTTTTCTTCTTTTTTCTCTTCATCTTCTCTTTTATCTTTAAATATTTTTTTCTTATTTCTGCTTCTCCCTGTAAATATATCTACTCTGTGCAGTCTAAATATCATCGTTTTCAAGTGTAATAACACAACTTAAACGCCATAGACCTTAAACTTTAAGCCTTCATTTAACCACTTTTATTTTAGAATTAGACTTGTTGTTGAATAGGTCTACAACGCTTGATTATCAAATAAAGGTATTTGCCACAAACTCAAATTTCTAATCACTATATCTTAGCAATCTGATGGTAAAACTTTGATATTTCAAACTTAGATTATTTGATCTAGAAAAATTCATAGTTTTAAATATCTAAGGTCTTCAACATTGGGTTGCTCAGATATAGGTATCCGAAAATCAGAGTTTGTGACAAAGACACAATTTCTAAGTAAATTAAACAGAAAACTCTAATATTCTGAAAGCTACGTATTTGAGATTTTTTGTCAATTTCTTCTTAAATACTAAAGCTAAAAACAAATGCTTTATTTTTTCATCCCTATATCTTTGTAACCTGACAGTGTAAACCTTTGATATTTCAATCTTAGACTATTTTATCATATATCTAACATAATTCATAGTTTGAAATATTAAAGGTCTACCTGCAGATTGGTTTGCAAAGATATACGGGTTGAAAAATCAGAGTTTTTGACAAAGATTCAATTCCATTGTAGTGGGTTAAGAATTTCTCCGTTTTCGATTTTTTTTTGTACAGGGTTCCAGTGATAACCGGAAAACTCTGGAATAGTGAGACGACCTTGAGAATCAATTTTTAATTTTGAAAAGTTCAATAATCATGAAACACAGCAATTGTGCAGTGTAAACAGACCCGTATCACAAAAAAAAAGTAATTTTATAAGTGTTTGGTAAAACTATTTGGTTTGTAACATCATCAAATACACTTAAGTATTGCTATAATGTCGTCTTCATATTCCAATGTTTTCTGGTTATCTCTGTATAAAAACTGAAATCTTTAGATCTGTACTACTGCGTTGAAATCCTACAAATTTTCCTAATAAAATAATGTTTGGGTTTGGTTGTGTAATCCTATACCTTTATCCCCATTCTTGTCTAGCCCGCCCAGCCGAAAATTGCAATTTTTACGCAAAAAATGCCCATTTCTATCACGCTTTTGGTTACTGCTTAAAAAGGGGGGGGGGTCCTTATTATTTTCAGAATAAAAACACGACATTTTGAAAGAAATATAGCTTAATTTGCTAAAAACTTCGCAACATTAATTTTTGTCAGAGATTTTCGCAGTTTTGCAATGTTCCCCCTTACACAAATATATGCAACAACCAATATTAACGAACCTGATGCTGCAAAAAATTTGCATAACTAATGGGATGCGTCAGGGTACGCAAATTTTTTGATTAATTGGTGCAGAGAGAGGGGGGTTACGTGAGTAAAAATAATTAGAATGAATTTAATTATTACATCTAAGACTGATAATTGCCCCAAGATAAGTTGCTTGCAATTACCAATTTAGTATAGTGTACGTTTAAACCCCATTCTAGGAATGCTTAAAGGGACTGTAAACGTGATTTTAAGGCAACCCTCCATTTATAAAAAAAACAGAATGTTCGAATCACAACGGTAAACAGTAAAACGCATTCTAAGTAACAATAGGGAAAATGTGTTAAATTCTGCTAATTTCATTCGTTCTCTTTGCCGCAACCTGCACAGAAAAAAAACATATTCAGCAAAGAAACCATACATAATTGTCCACTCTATAAATGAAGGGACTACTGTCCCTTTAAAGGCGAAAAATTGCCCGTTTTAAAGCAGCCTCTTAACATTTCGTGAGTTTTGTTTCTGTTTTGATATATGTAAACTTTATTATCATAATTAAAATCTCAACGTTTATAAATGTTCTATTATTAAAATCCAATTTTTAGTCTGAATAGAAATGAATTGCAGAATATAAGTTAAAGTATGTAATTAATTCTTGTTATTTAGCTTTTCATTATTAATATTTACTTTTTTCTTCTATTTTCTTTTATTATTTTTCTTTCTTCTTCTTCCTCTTTTTCTTCTTCTTCTTCTTCTTCTTCATCTTCTTCTTCTTCTTCTTCTTTTTCTTCTTCTTCTTCTTCTTCTTCTACCCTACTCCCTACTCCCTACTCCCTACTCCCTATTCCCTACCCCCTACTCCCTACTTCCTACTCCCTACTCCTTACTCCCCCCCCGTGGCGAAGTATAAGCTGACCGACCTTGTATTAGGTTGAACCCTGCAACTGCTGAGCTAAGCAGAATATTCAAGTTCTCCTCTAGTTCCATCTAAACCCTGTGCATGGGGTAAAATGTCGGATATATTTAAGAGAAAAAGTGAAAATTAAAATAAGGTAAATCTGTGATAACAAATATTGTTCTTTAAACCTTGTTAAGTTCAGTATTTAACCCTTCAACGTTTAAATCTTTTATTATTAATATAAATTTAGAATTATAAGCATCCAATGGACACTGCATGCAGATTGCTCATTACATTACATATATTAGTATAATAACTATGGTTAACTATATCAACTATGAACTATGGCGGGCCTGAGTTTATCGAACCTTGTCCGGTTTTTCTAGATGTAGACCCAAAGTCTGCTGAACATAGTCAACTTTCTAAAAGACCTTGTTGAGCTAATGTTGACATGACACCTCTTTCAGTATTTAGTTTACTTCAAGAATTAAGCTTGATCTTTTTCTTGAATTTAATAAATCATGAGCAATTTCAACCGTGTGCAATGTATAAGAAACCAACCCTGAGTATATTAGATCTTGACCAGTGTGAGAAACCAACCCTGAGTATATTAAACCTTGTCTAGATGATGAAACCAACCCTGAATATATTAAACCTTGTCTAGATGATGAAACCAACCCTGAGTATATTAAACCTTGTCAAGATGATTAAACCAACCCTGAGTATATTAAACCTTGTCAAGACGATGAAACCAACCCTGAGTATATTAAACATTGTCTAGATGATGAAACCCTGAGAATAACAAATCTTGTCTATATGATGGTTGAAACCAACCCTGAGTATAACAAACCTTGTCTAGATGATGAAACCCTGAATATATTAAACCTTGTTTAGATGATGAAACTTACCCTGAGTATATTAAACATTGTCTAGATGATGAAACCCTGAGTGTAACAGACATTGTTTAGATGATTGTTGAAATCAACCCTGAGTATATTAAACCTTGTTTAGATGATGAAACCAACCCTGAGTATATTAAACCTTGTCTAGATGATGAAACTAACACTGAGCATAACAAACCTTGTCTAGATGATGTAACCAACCCTGAGTATATTAAACCTTGTCTAGATTATGAAACCAACCTGAGTATATTAAACCTTGTCGAGATGATGAAACTAACCCTGAGTATATTAAACATTGTCTGGATTATAAAACCAACCCTGAGTATAACAAACCTTATCTAGATTATGAAACCAACCCTGAGTATACCGAACCTGGTCCAGATGATGAAACCAACCCTGAGTATAACAAACCTTGTCTAGATGATGGTTGAAACTAACCCTGAGTATAACAAACCTTGTCTAAATGATGAAACCCTGAGAATAACAAATCTGGTCTAGATGATGAAACCCTGAGAATAACAAACCTTGTCTAGATGATGAAACCCTTAGTATAACAAACCTTGTCTAGATGATGGTTGAAACCAACCCTGAGCTGTCTGTGTTCCGTACTTTGGCTCACATACGGAGAAATAATGGACAATTTAGAATCAGGAACAGTACAAGACACAATTTTTCATTTAAATGTTAAAAAGATAAAAAGAGTGCCATTTTAAAGAGATATAAAACAGAAACAAAATTAGTTTATGGAGATGAAATTTGTTCATCAAGCTTTCAATTGTTTCTGATTTTCAATGTTATTAAAGCATGGATCAGAAGAAAGATTATTATAAAAGATTAAATTTTTCATTTTAAATTTGTTTTGTTAAATGTCTTGTGTTGACTGGATTAGTATGGAGCAGCTCCGAAGATTGGACCACATTAAACAGGGACCTAATACATCAACTTGGAGATCACCATTTATTTAAACACGTCTGTTTTCAACAGAAAAACTGTAATTGCAAGCCTTTATAGATCAAAAATGAACTCTTTACATTAAAACTAATATTCTATCAATTTTTTAAATTGATTTATCCCCTTTTCTTCTTGAAGTTAAACCGCTAGTATTGAGTTGATGTCCATCAATGACAGGGTCAGATTTCCATAACAGAGGAGGATGATTCCTCTCCTCCTAGATTCCTGACACCAATCAAAGATATTGAAGTAAGGACGTACGACCAAAGGCAATATTTTTACATGGTTACCCACAAAGGATGGAGACTGACGGCCTATACTCTTGAAATATGATAATTCCAAGGTTAATTCAAGTCTTCTGTCTATATTATTGCACTTTGATGACTTATTTAATGAAATTAAATTATTAAGTATAAATAATTATTAAGAAAAAACCTGTATATGTCGTCTCTAAGTTCTCATACTTTGTGAATAATCCTGCATAGTGGTTCCACTTTTGTTACGGCGGGTCAAATTATAAACGGCAGTGTCGGGAAAGGTACTGGAGTCAGGTATCGATTTTTTAAAAATTATTAAATAGCGACAATGAGAAATATAGTAAAAAATAGTGAACTAATTAGATGTTTAGGAACATATTTCTTATTTTCTATGAATTTGTTCGCAGATTTCTTCAAATTCTTCAAATGTCGTGTTTATAATAAAAATTCCATAAAATCTGCAGAAAATCTTTGTGATTAAAGAGAGATTATAGGAACTAATTATTTAATAAGATTAATTATTTTCGATAATGAGAGTTAATTTTTATTTTCTCAACCTGTTCCTAAACAACTAATTAGTTTACTGTAGAATTTTGTTTACATTTTTTGTCGTCGTTATTTAATAATTTAAAAAAAACAATTCTGGAAACGTATCCACCCAAAAGTACGATTTTAAACGTAGAATTTGCGCTCAAACTCAGGAGTTACAGATCTTTAAAAAGTTTTATGTCTCAAATATTTCCTAAAGTATTTGTCCACAACACTGCATAATAAGTTCAACTACCTTTCATAGCCGGTCTGTCCCTTTAATTCCATATCAAACATTATTTAATTCCAAACGAGTTTAGACCGTTTTCCAAAAGTATTACTTTCTTCAAAAAAGATATAAAAGGCGAAAGTGTGATATCTCCATGTGTATAAAATCTAATTTGAGACATATTGAATCTTAATTTATCACAGAAACGATTAAGATTAAGAATATTCCAAAACGTTTTTAAAAATGTCGATTTTTCCAGGTATTTGTTGATGAAGGGGAGGCCGCAATGTTTGAATGCCGCGTTGAGCCAAAGCATGATCTTAATCTCTCAGGTGGATTCATTAGTTACAGTTGTGTTTTTAAATTCATTAACATTAATTTGTTAATTTTAAGATTGTATTACAGATTATTAGATTAATGTATTAATGATTTTTTTATGTTATATTTCTCAGTATAAAAATTTCAACCCAAAGGAACTGAGTTTTTGCCACAAATTCTGATTTTCTAATCCCTATATCTTTGCAACCAGATGGTGTAAACCTTCAATATTTCAAACTATCATTATGTGATCTGAAAGAATTCATAGTTTGAAATATCAAAGGTCTCCGACATTGAATTGCAAAGATATTGGGATTATAAAATCCGGGGTTCTGGCAAAAACCAAGTTCCTTTAAACAAAAAGTCAAAAAATTCACTATCCCTAATCCTGGACTTAAAGCAATCTTTTCAATATCTAAAGGCAATGTCCTGGCAATTTCAAGTGACCCGTATATTTTCTATACAGCAGCTATGTGCATGTTCTGTAGAGAACCCACAATAAGAAATAATCAATTTTCAAGAAAATAAACATGGATATTTTATTCATTACTAAAGAGTAAGCCTTAAAAAATACAATTGTGAAATATAAACATGTGATACTCTATAAATGGAAACTTTTATTTTACCCCTTTCTAATCCAATATGTAAACGGAATGTCGTTGCATCTTCAAGTGCAACCCTCTACTGTTTCTGCAGCAGAAATGCGTAAATTAAAACTCAATACTAAAAAAACATAAGATAAAAATGGATAAACATTCATGAGTAATCTTCTATTAGTACCGTTGTGAATCGGACATGTCAAACTGTAAATGAAGAGTTGTTTTGAAATAAGTTTACACCCTCTTTAGCAATATTAGTCAACCTTCTTTTCTGCAGTTCGTTGGTACAGAGACGGGGAGGAGTTGGTGTCTGAGGGACGGATTAAGATAAGTCATGAATATGGACACGCCTCACTTCACATCTTCTATACTTATCCAGAGGATGAAGGAACTTACTCTTGCAGGTTAAATAAGAATTTAGAGCGCTTCGTCCCACCCTTTTTCTTTTACTTAACTTCTATACTTATCCAGAGGCAGAAGGAACTTACTCTTGCATGTTCAATAAGAATTTATAGCGCTTCGTCCCACCCTTTTCCTTTTACTTAACTTCTATACTTATCCAGAGGCTGAAGGAACTTTTACAGGTTCGATGAGAATTTAGAGCGCTTTGTGCCACATATATCTGCAATCATCGTGTGCTCATAAATCAACAATAACATTAAAAAATTTCCCAGAATCATGATATTTTTCGGAATTACAAAAATAATTTACAGATTACAGATACAATGTAAATACCAGTCATAGGACAAGCCAGGCAGATATGGCGAAAATCACTTTTCAAATGTCATACTTTTTATTGAAATAATATTTTGAGAACCCAGCGTTGCCCGGGGTACTCATAGTCACCCCCGCCGTTTACCTGCGCATTGGTCGTAAACTACAGTTTTAGTTATTTTTTCCTATAAAAGTGGACCCAATCTACTTAGAATCTCGAAAAATATTTTCCTGGTCGACGAGTTCCCCAATTAAAACTTGAGGCCAATTTGTCAAAAGGTTCATGAGTTATGAGGAGATACAACCAGACAAACAGATATTACAACTTTAAATATTTAGATAATCCCAGTCCATGCACTACGAGGATAGGATTGGACCAGTGCGAAGTTAATAGAGCATTCATGACATTAGATGAGAGTGGATATCTTATACTTAATTTAGCATTCATAATCCCTGACATGAGATGAGAGTGGATATCTTATACTTAATTTAGCATTCATAATCCCTGACATGAGATGAGAGTGGATATGTTAATCTAGGGCGACTAATGAAATGGGAGAGGAAGTAACAGAAGCCCGCCTTATATGTCGTCCTCTTCCACAGATCAGGTAAATTACCACAAATGTCACACATTTCGCGGATTTTCACAAATACAGATGATGACAATATTGAAGATGAAAGGATCACGTCAGATAATGATGAAATTATAATGTTTATTAGCAGGGATGATCGGGATTTGTGAGTAGTGATGTAGCTGAAAAAAAATATCATGAAAATATAAAATTAAAAAGCGATAAAGATAATAATAACGCATGAGGACACAATGATGAGATTGTAAGGACCCCAAAATACTAATCTAACATACTTGGGACATATATTGTCGTCATCCAACTTGTAGTCAGGCCTACGTTAGTACTATTCATTCACTTTAGTATAGAGCAGGTTTTAATTAACATGTAATATTAAACCTATAAACAATAAAGATTTAATTTCGAGGTCTACGACTTCTACCTTAGAGATAAATACAATACCAGTTACTGACAAGCATGCTGCTAGATGCGTTCATTACTGAGTTACTTAAAGGGTTCATTACAATTTCAAGCTTTTCTTCTTTTCCTCAAATATACAACTTAATTCAAACCCTCAAATGTTATACCATATCTCTTTTACAAGGAGTTCTGTTAGGTCAATTCTAGTTATGAATTGAACATTTCATTAAAAGCAGAGACATCTATCTGTAAATAAAGATTTAGCTCTTTAAACACCATTTTCTATTTTGAAACGATGAACTGTTCCCGCATTTTCAACGGTTTGAGTAAATTTCGAGAAATTTTTGAAACACTATGATAAATTATAAAACAATTTAGCATTCATAAAAACTGTTGGTTTAACTATCAAGATGTTGATTTAACTATCATGATGTTGATTTAACTATCAAGATGTTAATTTAATATTTAAACCCCAATTCCGAATGTTACAAATGTTTGGGTTATATTGTATGTTATGTATATTTGAAACACATGTGCTAAGAATAAGGAGTAAGGAATAGAAGGGAGATATAACTGACGCGGGCCGCGTCAGTTATATCTCCCTTCTATTCCTTACCATATGATTATACATGCTTTGCAGACGGTACTTCAATTGAATTAGAAATGTTTGTCTGATGTACAATTACCACGTATACAATAGTGTTGACTTGAAAAGTCACTATAATAAAATAAAGAGATCTAAAATGGATATTTCTAACATTTATTTTAAAAAACGAGTGTTTTGAAATATTTGCATTTAAGGCGGAGTTAAAATTGGTTGATTTAGAAATTAACAAAAAGGAATAAATGATAGACATTAGATGGTGCTTCATGGAAGTGTTGTAGAGCTTCATGTTGGTGGAGCAGATCCGGGAACTGGGACAACAGGGCTTATCAATGGATCGAAGGCAAGGCAACTCGAGATAGCGGAAACTTCGGTCAGAGCCGTGCACAAGTTTCCTAAGTAAGCTTCTCAAGAAGTTAATAGGGAGATCAGAAGTATAAGCACGCCTGCTGTTAGTTCAGTATCTGCATCATCAGCCTGAAGGAGTCATGGGGGGTGATGTAGAGCTTCATGTTGGTGGGGCAGATCAACAGGTGCGTTGCGCTGAGTATCTGCATCATCATCATGGAGGAGCCAGGGTAGAGACGGAGTTGTGAATACCTTGAGTGTTTATAGCTGACTGCCGGGTGAAGCGGGAGCTAAGGTGAGCGGAGATTTGACATGTGGGCACTACATGGAGGAAATGGATTTGAGTACACATTTGAGTCGGAAAAATCGTCTTCCTTATATTTCGAATTTATTTTAACAAATAGCCTATTCTGAATATTTCTTATACAAATGGACTACCCGTCTGCAAAGCATGCATGATCATATGGTAGGGCAGGCCGCGAAAGTTAATATCTCCCTTCTATTTCATACTCCTTGGCTAGGAACCCTGAACTATCCCTAGACAATACTAACTAGTGGAGGGGTGTGCGGGAGGGGGGGGGGGTGTAGAAATCCCCTCCACTTCAAGAACTCAGCTTATATTGTATAATCTCTTCTTTCCTATTATATTCTATTATTCTATCCTATAATTCTATTCTTCTCTATCATAATCTTATCCTATGCTATTCTATTCTTTCAATTTAATCTATTTAATAAAAAATTAAATATGATTGTATTTCATTATTTTTACATTTTACATTTAATTTCATTCTATTCACTACATTCTATCGATTCTGATCCATTCCATAATGAAATTGATGATTATGAACCCGATAATGACAATGATTATCATGAACCAGATTGATAATGATAATTATGAACCAGATATTGATCATGAAGATTATTAACTGGATAATGATAATGATGATTATGAACCAGATAATGATAATGATGTTTATGAACCAGATGTTGAGGATGATTATCATGAACCTATAATGATCATGATGATCATGAAGCAGAATGATAATGATGATCATGAACCAGATAATATTATGATTATGAACCAGATGTTGATGATAATGATTATGAACCAGATGTTGATGATGATGATTTTGAACCAGATTTTTATGATTATAATCATGGACCTATAATGATCATGATGATCATGAAGCAGAATGATAATGATGATCATGAACCAGATAATATGATGATTATGAACCAGATGTTGATGATAATGATTATGAACCAGATGTTGATGATGATGATTATGAACCAGATGTTGATGATTATTATCATGGACCTATAATGATCATGATGATCATGAACCAGAATGATAATATAATGATCATGAACCAGATAATGATAATGAAGATTATGAACCAGATGTTGATGATAATAATTATGAACCAGATGTTGATGATGATTATCATGAACCAGATGCTGGTCATGATGATTATGAACCAGATGTTGATCATGATGATCATGAACTAAATGATGATGATACTAATTTCCAGGTTTGATACCCCGGCTGCTGGTGAAGACGAGGACGAAGAGACTCAAGTACAGCTGATCCGTGAGGCCACTGCCAGGTTTGGAGTCCGAGCTAAGCTCAAGGGAGATGAGATCTATCAGGAAGGAGCTGAGCAGGCTCCAAGGTTTCTTCTCAAAATGGAGAATATTCCAAAGGTGAGAATGTCTTCAAATGTCGTCTTTTAAATTTCTAATTTTTAAAAGTTTTAATTAAGGGAATCAATATTAGCAACAGTAACCAAATAATGGCTGATAACAAATACAACAGTTTCACTTTTATTGTCAAAAAGTTTATTTGTAATTCAAAAAGAAAACCAATCTATTCTTCGAATATTGCACAAAACAAAAGAGAAATGTTTTATTCTTATGTCTTGATCAATTTAGTTGCTAGTTGGACAGTCAGTCTCCTTAAACACGTTCCTAGCTCCTGTAGGAGATCCAAATATGAAGGTAAATAGTCAAACAAAAAGTATAAATTAGCAAATACCAAAAATCTACATTTAATGGGTAAAAATGGGTTCTAATTTAACTGGGACTTCGGGATGAAAGTTGGTTTAAAGAGATAACCCGGGGGGGGGGCATAAATAACATTTGCCCCATCCAACATGGGTCTAAGATATTTTCGAGTAATACATTTTTTGGGAGGTTTGTTAAAAGATTCTATCGGGCCCACCGATTTCTAAAAAGTAAGACGACATTCAAAATATGTGTATTTAATCTATTTCTGTTAAGATTGAATGGCTTCTGAATGATGATCCTCTGCTGTTTAAGTCTAGCTACAGTCCTCTTTATGATCATGGTGTTCTCTGTCTAGATATTGCAAAGGTTTGTTTTGTCGTCGTCGTCATATATTAATACAATGAATATATCAAACAGCCATGAATACACGTAAACACGGAAACAAATAAAAGAAGGAAATTAACAGTTTCTCTTTATTTACGTACACTTACATACGGGGTTACCCTCAAAGAATGCAACTGTAAAGACGACCTGCAAAACTATTAGAATATGACGATCTCAAGATGAACTAATTAAATCTTCTGCCTTAAATATAGTGTTTTAATTGGTTTATTTAATGATTGGGCAAAGAAAAAAAAGTTTGTTGTTGTAGAAAATCATAATATAAGGCTACTTTGCATTATAAATGCTCATACCTTGGGGGTAACCCTGCATAAGCTTATATTTCTTAATGTACCAAGGTTGTATAATAGGTTGTATAACTTCTTGTATTTATAATGAAATCTATAGTATTTATGGACCTTTAGGAGTAGAGGGTGTCCCACGAAACATGAAGGTTGGTGAGTAGTTTAAAATGTCTTCTTCCATAATTTAATATGTTGTTTGATACCAAAAAGACTAATAACATTTTTTACATGACCGTTATTTTATAGTAAAATTGATTTCACAGAAAATTATAAATGAGTTAAACATTAATTAAAGAAATAAACTGCAAAATGTCCTAAGTATCTAATACAGTATATGAAAGAAGACATTCAAAACTATTCACCAACTGTCATGTTTCGTGGGAAACCCTGTACCTGGAGTATACACCTTTTATCCAGGAGTACTTGGAGTATACTCCTTGTATCCAGGAGTACCTGGAGTATACTCCTTGTATCCTGGAGTACCGAAGTATACACCTTTTATCCAGGAGTGCCTGGATTATACTTCTTGTATCCAGGAGTACCTGGAGTATACACCTTTTATCCAGGAGTACCTGGAGTATACTTATTGTATCCAGGAGTACCTAGAGTATACTCATTGTATCCAGGAGTACCTGGAGTATACTTATTTTATCCAGGAGTACCTGGAGTATACTTATTGTATCCAAGCTTACCAAGAGTATACTCATTGTGATCAAGAGTACCTGGAGTATAATCCTTGTATCCAGGTGTACCTGTAGTATACTCCTTGTATCCAGAAGTACCTGGAGTATACTCCTTGTATCCAGGAGTACCTGGAGTATACTTCTTGTATCCAGGAGTACCTGAAGTATACTCCTTGTGTCTAGGTGTACCTGGAGTATACTTCTTGTATCCAGGAGTACCTGGAGTATAATCCCGGTACTCCTGGAGCACCTGGAGTATAGACGCCTTGTACATGAATCCCCTGTATTAAGGTGTATCCGGATGATTTTGGTGAGTTTAAAGTCCGAGCTCGGAATATGTTTGGTGAGACCGAGATCTCCTGCTGGGTCGGAGAGATGCCCCTGGGGGCGGAGTACGAGGAGGAGGAGGAGCCCGACCTACCAGCTTGGTGCAATAAGGTAGCAGATTTCATGTCTTTCTAAAAACTTTTAATCAAAATCTAATCGGATCTGAATTCTACAAATTTTTTCTGATCTAGAAGTACAAAATCGCTTATTATTTCTTCCTTGAAGTGTGATTTTAAATGTAGGTGGAGAAAGGACGTTTAGCTGTAGAATGTCCTCCCGAGATAACAAAACATCTTGTAGATCTAGAGGTAAATCAGTCCTGCTCCGGGTACATAGATAGATACTAAGTTCATGGGTTTTTATGTTTAGGTAGGATAGATAGATGCTTAAGGCTCAGGGTTTATAGTTTAGATAGGATAGATTGATACTAGGTTCAGGGTTGATAATTTAGGTAGGATAGATAGATACTAGGTTCAGGGTTTATAATTTAGGTAGGATAGATATATACTAGGTTCAGGGTTAATAATTTAGGTAGGATAGATAGATACAAGGTTCAGGGTTAATAATTTAGGTAGGATAGATAGATACAAGGTTCAGGGTTTATAATTTAGGTAGGATAGATAGATAGATACTAGGTTCAGGGTTTATAATTTAGGTAGGATAGATAGATAGATACTATATTCAGAGTTATAGTTTAGGTAGGATAGATAGATACTAGGTTCAGAGTTATAGTTTAGGTAGGACAGATAGTTGGTTCAGGGTTGATAATTTAGGTATGATAGATAGATATATACTAGGTTCAGGATTTAGGAAGGATGGATTAATACGATGTTAGGTACTCTCCCAAAGGCCATTTCCAAAGCCTTAGAAGGCCTAACCTAACATTTGGAAGGTTGCTGCCTAGGAAATTGCACATTTGGGAAGTTGCCACTTGGGAAATTGTCACTTGGGAAGTCGCCCTTGGGAAAATCCCTTCGGAAAAGTACCTATGTAACACAATCAATACTGTATCAGGGTGCTTATTAAGGTAGGAGAGACAGATACTGTGAAATTGGAGGTAAATTTTATTGGAAACCCAAGACCTGAAGTTATCTGGACGAGAGAAGGAGAAGAACTTGAAAATTCTAGACATGTTCAGGTACATATTCGTTTCTAGACATGTTCAGGTACAATGTACATGCCACATGGTCTATTCTAGTCAAGTAAATATTATAAAAACATTATACATAAAACCATGGACTTCCTTAAATGCAACAAATGTGTATAATAATAAAATATAATAACGAGCTTTGTCTGGAGATCTAAAAACACTTAAACCAAGCAAAGAATATTCCCATGTCTAACCAATTTAGGTTTATGAGTTATGATTCGACAGACAGACTGTCAGAGAAACATACATACATTTTTTATATATATATAGATGTGTTATTCTAGATCCGTGAGAGGGATGGAAGGACTACTTTAGTTCTAATCAATATTACAGCTGCAATGGCGGGAGAATACAGGTGGGAATCCCAAACCAAATAGTCCGCGCGTCATCTTTTATAGTGTGTACAGTAGGGATGGGCGCGTTCCTGGTGGAACGATCTTTCTTTCCCGAGAACGAACGGAACGATCAAGAACGATCCCATCGTTCCGAAAATAAATGAACGCTTAGAACGTGTTTATAAAAATATTGGAATGATTAGATAAAAGAACGGAACGGAATGGGAATTGCTTGAAAAGAACAGTTAAGGCGTTCTTATTATCAAGAACGCGTTCTAAGTTGGGAACTCATTTTAAATCAGGAATGTGTTCTAAATCCTCTAGAAATAGTTAAAGATTTTTGATCGTATTTTTTTTTTTACTTTTTAACCAACTCTTTTCTATAAAACTTTTGTCTTGGATGGAATTGTTCGTTACTAAGAACGGAACGGGGAATAGAAACGTTCTTGATTAAGAACAGAACAAGAGGGATGCAACCGTTCTTCAACTAAGGACGCCAAGAACGGAACAGAACGGGAAGACCGTTCTTCTACTCAGAACGGAACGGAATGGAACGGAATGGAACGAGAACGGAACGATAAAAAAGAGGAATGAGAACGGAACGATTTAGCTGAAGGCCCTCGTTCTAAAACGGAACGGAACGATTTCAAAACAGTCGGAATGTTCCCAGCCCTAGTGTACAGTACTTGGCGTGAAATTCAGGTGGCAACCCTAACCGAAGAGTTTGTCCTTTGTCATTGTTGTTTTTTTACGAACTGGCTGGAGCTAGATTTTGGTTGCGAATGTGGAAATTCAAATGGAACCAAAAAGTCTGATCATGTTTTACAATCTTAGAATAAATGGTGATAATTCAAGTTGGAACCCCAAACCATACAGTCCGCCATATTTGCTTGCTTGTATAAGAAACTTGATTAATCACGAGAAAATTGGCTTCTTTAAGAATTAGGAAATGATTAAAGAAAATCGGATTCAGAAATCATGATTATTCAGATTTCTGCGATAATTTTTTTTCAGAATGGTTACAGTTTCTCCACTCGGCTCAGATTTAACTGTCTCCAGGATATCTGTAATCCCACTCAGTCCTGAGGCTCTGGCTAGGAAGGCCAGGTGATAACAGGGATTTTTTAATCCCCAATTTTAGACCTAAGACAACAACACTAAGTACACTCAAATGGCAGAACTTCTTAATTTTTTCAAATGATTAGAATGGGATCCAAAAAACTTGAATATGAAACGATATATTTGCCATTTTTTTGTGAATTTTATGTTGTTATAAAGTAAATTTATTTAAAGAATTTGAGCCGCGGCTTAAATTTAAGACGTGGCTCAAATATGGTTGGTTCCACTTAAAATTGTATTCAATGTTTTAAAATTTAAGCCGGCGCTCAATTAAAACCGGGTTTTGTCGGATTTGAGAGGCGGCTTAAATTCATTAAATTCGGACTCTATACATGCGCAAATGATGCGTTTTATGTTCATTGTACAATTTGAAATCATAACTTGAGTCTAACAGTCGTCTTCCTATTCCACAGTTATATGGATCCTACTGTACATTGTTAAATGCTTGTTTTCAAAGTTTCTTTTTTATTCTAACCTTATCTTCAATTCATAAATCAATGAAAACAATTTAAATTTCGGGTTAAAAATTACATTTCTGAGAAAGTGATTTAGCTAAGGTTTAATAAAGAAAATGAATTTTGTGAAATCATCGGAAGACTGCTACTCCCCAATTCTACCCTGCTCCTTCCCCCCCCCCTCCCTCCTTGAAACTTAAAGGATGAGACAGTAAAAAATAAATATCAGGATCCCTAGGTTAAATTTAATATTCTGACTCAATTATAATCTTTTAAATACTTATATATAATCTTATCTAATGATTTAAATTGGCCAAGAAAGAAAAAAGTTTACAGTTGCAGAGCATCATGAATGCCAGGAAACAGACCGTATAAAATTCCGTACAGTCGTCTCTGAAGTCTCTTCTTTTGTGGGTAACCCTGTTTATTGGAATGAGTACGTACTACTTATATTGTTTATTCTGAACAAGAACTTAAACAAATATTTGAAGTTTCAAGGAAAATTAGCAAGTGGAAGTTTGAAGGGAATACGTCGTCATTCTAATATTTTAAAGGGAGGTGTGAGCTTAATTTTCAGCGAATTTTAAACATTAAAATTTAAATACACGCAGGGTTACCCAGAATTAGGGGTTAAGATGTAAATAGCTCCAAACTCAAAATTAGGCTAATCATGTCTTTTTTTCCCCCTGTTTCTGTGAAACAATTTCTTAGCAAAAATGTTGATTTTTATAGTTTTTAGAAATCCAAGAACATAAATTGTTACCAGAAAAACAAAATTTCTAATTTCTCTAGGATGGAGGAGGAGGGGTTGAAGCAGCTGGTTTACTACGAGGAGAGTAAGCTGATGGAGAAGAAGAAGAAGAAGATGGAGAAAGAAGATAGAATTAGAAAAACTAGAGAGAAAGCCAAAAGAAATGCGTAAAACATTATAGAATAAGAAAAATAATTTAAATTTGAAAAATAAATCTGAATATATAAATTTGTATTTAATTGTTTCATAAAAAACGTTGCACTTTTTAATGTTCGTAAAAAAATTCTTGTGAAAAAGCGTGTTCGTGAGGTTAGAATAAATTCTAATCTGCAGATTATAGTATAATTATCAATCGGGGTTAATTTATTTTAATAAAACTAATAAGTTTTACCAGAGCTAAAAACTTAAGATAGCCTTATCAAGATCACTTAATCTGATTATCTAATTTACAAACTTTTGATTTTCTTCTTATAATCCTCTTTTTTGTATATTTCTACTGTATAAAAGTTACGTTTGATATCAATTACAGATACAATGCTATATCGATGGACTAATATCCGATTGAATTAAAGTCAGCTGTTCACAAGCCGGCTTTTAGAGCATTTAAAAAAATTTAATCTTGTTAATATGAAATTATTAAAAAACATATTTTAGGACCATTGTCATTTTGAACGTTAGTCTTAATAAACATTAATCCAAAACTTACATTCGTTCAATCTATGTTTAGTTCAGTTGATATGACACCATCAACACCAGAAATCAAAACTGGTTTTTCAAAAGATAAAGAGTACATCTTTACATGACACGCTGATTGGTTGAATTTTATACTTCTTTCTTGAATATCGAATGCGTTTAAAATAATCCTGGGTTTAGTAAAACCAGGAGTTTAAGCATTAATCTTTATATCCACAATTCTAAAGTTTTCAGCTCTGACCTATCTAAAAAAATAGTTGGTGAACGTAGAAAAATAAACATTATTGATTTGTCCCAAATTTTACTTAAATTCATCTTTTTAAACTGCCTTTCATTCTTCGCGATCACTCCCTCCATAAGTAAATCTCAAAACTCAATCTAAAGTTGTTTTAATGTCTGTTTCCAAGCAAATTTTTTGCGACATGTTTGATTTTTGCAAACATAAAAGGAGTGCCTTTGCCAGAGAGGATGTATTTCAGTAAAAATATTGCATTGATGGGCGGGGCCGGGGGGGGGGGGTTCACATAGAGTGTAGATAAAATTTATTTAAAATGATCGAAAATGTTTTAAAATGCCTAGAGTCGACCATGATGATAATATGATGTATGTAATATGTATCGCTGTGAACTAAATAAAGAGAATGTGACATGTATGAGACATATTACTGGTACGAAAGTATAAGGAAAACAATGGTTTATCAGATTACATATTAGAATTTGAAAACATTTTTGTTCTTTAGAATAGTTATTAAATAACAGGAGATATCTTTAAACACATACAGTGAATCCCAGATATATGAATACATAGCAAGAGTTGTTTATAATGTCGTATTACCTATTTAAGATCAAATGCCGCGGAGAAAATGAATTTAATATTAATAAATCAATTGCATACATATTTCAGGGCTATTAATTTACCTTGAATTAGAAATAAAAAGAAGTTTCTTTAGAATTATCAAAAAACTTATGACGGTCTCTGTATTCATATATCTGGGATTGACTGTATAAGAATTACAATCTTCTGTACAATTTACAAGCTTGACAGCTTATTGGATGAAAAGAAAACTGAACAGTAACCTTGTAGTTGGAAAAAACTTAAATAGAAAATCGTCTTGATTGTAGTGATTTAAACGCGAACCACAAAAAAGATGTGTACTAATGTGAATAGATATAGAATTATTGATCCCTGTACGCCTGACAGATGCAGTCAGGCAGGCTTAGGTCGTATCATGCAGTTGTATATATAAATATATATTTAAATAAAATATATATATCTATTTATATATATTGTACTATCTATATAAGATATTTACCGTTACCCAACCAAGGTTACAGCGTATGCTCTGTGCAGTCTTTCCCTAAAACAATAGGTGGCAACAGAGAAATGGACCAATTATACACGACGTCACAAGTGTCAAATATAACAAGGAAAACGAAATTTTGTCACATTAGTTTACATGTATTTCAAGATTAAATAAAAAAATGTAAAAACAGAAAATAAAGTACACATAAAATTGCACTTATTTTACTGTAAGATAAGCACTTTTTTCTAAAATTATCACTATTTTTAATAACTGAATTTTTAACACAAAAACTGAATTGACACATGTGACGTCAAAATACAGCTGTACTGAGAGTGTAAAATTTCTACTTTGCCATCTATTGCACTAGAATCTATTTGCCTAAAACTAAATAAATTGCACGCCTAATTTGGAGGATTTCACAGTTATAGTGGATATTATTAAAAATATTTCTAAATCAAAATACAGAGGAATTGCGTTTAACATTTGACTGGAAGCTAGACCAGAGGAGAAGGTCAAATTTATGCGACATAACGTTGGAGTATGATGGAATAGAAGGGAGATATAACTGACGCGGACCGCCCAACCATATGATTATACATGCTTTGCAGACGGGTACTCCATTTGTACAAGAAATATTTGTCTGGTGTACAATTACCGCGAATACAATAACCTATTCTGCATATTTCTTAACAAATGTAGTACCCGTCTGCAAGGCATGCATAACCATATGGTAGGAGGGGCCGTGTCAGTTGTATCTCCCTTCTATTCCATACTCCTTGGACATAACGATACGAATTGTGACTTTGTAACTCCTTCAGCTTTGATTGTACGCAAAAATATTGGAAACGAAATTTTATTTAGTTTCAGTTTCACATAAAAATTCTAAATATTTTTCTTCTTCTCAATAGCTCTTCAATTAGATAAGATATGATTAAAACCATCAAAGATGTCTATCTTCATGTAATTAACTATAGATTCACGTGAATTCAACTAAAAATTCAAAAATGTAAAAAATTCATTTTCCCTACCTCAGTTTTAAGAAGCCAGCTGTGTGCCATGAATCATGAAAAGCCGGGAGCTGCCGACCATAGCAGTGTTGATCGGGATGTATTGTTCGAGCGGATCCTATCCACCTGTAGGACTGAGTCCTATTAGCTACTTACTTTTAGTAATCGGTTTATTCAAATTCATGAATATACAAAATTATGTTTTCTTTACCCCAGGTTTGTGGAACGGATTGCATCAAACTACTTCTTTTAGACAGGGTTACCCACAAAGGATGAGACTGTAAAGACGACAAGAAATTCTTAAAATATGACAATACCAAGGTTAAATTACGTATTCTTGCCTTAGATATTGTAATCTAATGGCTTATTCAAATGATTTTTCAAAGAAAATCCTTCTTATCCTTTGAGGGTAACCCTGTATCAGAGAGTTAAACGATTTTTCGTTAATGTATAAGGGATATAGTCCCATTAATGTAATGTGGATATAGTCCCATTAATGTAATGTGGATATAGTCCCATTAATGTATCGTGGATATAGTCCCATTAATGTATAGTGGATATAGTCCCATTAATGTATAGTGGATGTAGTCCCATTAATGTATAGTGGAAATAGTACCATTAATGTATAGTGGATGTAGTCACATTAATGTATAGTGGAAATAGTACCATTAATGTATAGTGGATAGTGTCACATTAATGTATAGTGGATATAGTCCCATTAATGTATAGTGGATATAGTCCCATTAATGTAAAGTGGATATAGTTCCATTAATATATAGTGGATATAGTCCCATTAATGTACACTGGATATAGTCCCATAAATATATATAGGGGATATAGTCCCATTAACGTATAGTGGATATAGTCCCATTAATGTATAGTGGATATAGTCCCATTAACATATAGTGGATATAGTCCCATTAATGTATAGTGGATATAGTCCCATTAATATATAGTGGATAAAGTCCCATTAATATATAGTGGATATAGTCCCATTAATGTATAGTGGATATAGCCCCATTAATATATAGTGAATATAGTCCCATTAATGTATAGTGGATATAGTCCCATTAATATATAGTGGATATAGTCCCATTAATGTAATGTGCAGATATGATCACATTAATATATAGTGGATATAATCCCATTAATGTAATGTGCAGATATAATCACATTAATATATAGTGGATATAGTCCCATTAATGTATAGTGGATATATTCCCATTAATGTATAGTGGATATAGTCCCATTAATGTAATGTGCAGATATAATCACATTAATATATAGTGGATATAGTCCCATTAATGTATAGTGGATATAGTCCCATTAATGTATAGTGGATATATTCCCATTAATGTATAGTGGATATAGTCCCATTAATGTATAGTGGATATAGTCCCATTAATGTATAGTGGATATAGTCCCATTAATGTAATGTGCAGATATAATCACATTAATATATAGTATAGTTTTCATTTATATATATTGTATAATTGTATATATAATGTATATTGTATATATATAGTATATTATATTAATATATAGTATATTATGTAAATATATAGTCTATTACCAATAGTGCTAACCTAACTCCTAATCCCATTGTATAATATTTAATTTAAAGATAGATAGAAGGTATAGATATTAGATAAAGCATTGAAAGGGAAAATATATGAAATTATTTTGAACGTAAACACAAAAAGTTGAAATTTGAAAAGTAAAAAATAACAAGATTAAATCAAATCAGAAATAGATTTTATCACTTTACAATTAAAATATTTTTTTTTATAGTTTTTAAGTTCAATGCAGGTAGAGAGTGTATTTAGCCCTCGGCGCATTTTGTATTTTATAGTTTAAGTTCAGTTCAACGCCTGAGATCCTTGAGAGCGCCTGAGCGCAAACAGTGAACGTAGCTGTGTGTACAGTTTCTGTTTTTGTGATTTCATTTCGCGAATTTTAAAGATTTAAAACGTGTTTTGTGATTTAATGTGAAAATTTGTATATGATGTGAAAATTCTTTTATAAGATTCTTCAACGTATGATAAATCACGACTGAGTTCCACAACATAAAAGTACATAACCCAAGGAAAAGGTTGAGGGGGGGGGGAGGGGTAGCATGGTAGTTGAACATTTGACGTTCCATGAAAAAAACTGTTTGGGAGCGTATTTATTTTACTTAATTTTTTCTAAAATATTTTCAGAAATATTATTTGTCCATTGATACAGCACTTTCTAGATATTTTTAATGACTTTTATTTAAAATATATTAACTTTATTTTAATTTGTATTACTAGATTTTTCGTTATGCTTGATTGACGTGGATATAATATATACTGAACAAAAAAGACGGAAACTGTAGTCATTGTGCTATTTGTTTGACCATGACCAACATAAAAGATTGAAGTTTAAGAAGCCCGTGTTTTTCAAACTTTGTACAGTTGAGGCGCAATTGGGATATTTTATGGGGGGGGGGCGGTTGATAATTTTAACTTATAGACTCAAACTTTATCCATTATGATGCGTGTTCTAGAGGTTGGGTAACCTTAAAAAGTCAAAGGAGGGTAAGCATTTATTGTAGAAAGGGTCCTTGAAGGTTGTTATTGTTGTAACCAGCTGAAGGGCCCGGCATTGCCCGTGGAAAAAAAATTTTGAAAAAAAAAATATATTTTCGATTTTTTAACCTGTAACCCATGAGTACCCACAAAAAAATTCAGCCCAATCGGTCCAGCCGTTTGGCCGGCTATATGCAACATATATATAATATATATACGAATGTCTCGTTTTATTACATAAAGTTACCAATATATGTTGTTTCTAGTTCACGGAGCGTAAACTAGAAACTGCAATAAACATTATTTTCATGAAGTTTCTTAATTCATTTTTCTTGTGTTGAAGGTTCAATGTGTACTCTGTATCAGTGGAACAAAGTACAAAAAGTACATTTATGTACACTTTGGAGTGCACATTATTTCAATAACAAAACAGTAGTTTGCCTTATATTCTTCCAACGGTCCAAGAATTACACCTCTGTCGTTTAAATACAAATGCCCCATTTTGAAAACTGATTATTTTCAATGGGGATTTCTTATTTTTTAAGTAATTGTGAACAGTTCCTTTAAAAATAAGAAAAACTGATGGCTAAATAATAAATATTAAAGGAAACGATGAATTGAAATGAAAATATTTTCAATTGAACTTCCGCTTTCTTTCATGAGATTGTTGTTAAATTAATTTGTTTTCAATGATTCACGGGCCACGGGGGGGGGGAGGTACAAAGTAGTGCATTCATAGTGCATGAACTATTGTGAGAGGTGCGGCCCTGAATCCGTTTTTGATGAATTTAAAGATTTAAATGTACATTAAAAACTAAATTATCCGGCGTTTTTCATGGTATTTACAGAAATCTCTCTTGTGTCAATATATTGGGTAAACTTGCATAAAAGTCTAATATTTGTTATTGAAGTTATAATTATACGTTATCTACAGGGTTACCCACAAAGCTGGAGACTTCAGAGACGAAGCTATGCTGAATTTATAAAATCTTTTTCTTTATAATTATGATTCCCAGCTACTTTATACTTGATCTGCTAAATTATCAAATATGGCCGTTAACAGATTGTATTTAGAGTAGAAAACGTAATTTAACTTATATGAGTTACAGGTCGTCTTTACAGTTTCAATCTGTACAATCTGTACAAGGGTACAATCTGTATATTCTGCCGGTTTGCCTTTTATAAAAACCCAATATTTTTATCAGTCTTTAAGTTACTTTTTGTAAGAATTATCTTAAAATTTATCATCAATGCATAAGTATTTGAATTATTATGGAAAAAATGTTCCTAATTTCGATACTTATTAGGTAAATCCGATGGGATACGGAAACTGACCAAGATGAATCCAACCTCAAGGGAATTGTACCTGATTATCGAGTAGTTTAAAACAAAATATCGAGTAGTTTCAACTCTCCGCGTGTTTTTGCATTTTTATTTGCTCCCCATAAAAACTCCATCTATCTCCAACCAACTCCACCCAACCTAACCCTGTTGAAGTATGGGATACAATTTTAGACTAGAAAACGCATAGGTCAGTTTTCTCTAGGTTGGATGAGCAGGTACCGACACCAACCTTGGTACCGCAAATAAACATTTCTTCTGTAAAATTACAGATAAGTTTGCTTAAATTCAGTCACCTGTTTTTGAATTATATCATTATATTTAAAACAAAACAAAGTTCAATTGATCTTTCTTTTAATTGAATTTTTTATTCAAACATTACAATAATTACACACAGTGTGTCCCGCGAAACATGACAGTTGGCGAATAGTTTTTAATGTCTTCTTCTACATACTGTATTAGATATTAAAGACTTTTTGCAGTTTATTTTGTTAACAAAATCTTTTACTCAAATATGTTTTACTTTGAAATCAATTTTACTATAAAATGACTGCCATTTTATATTTCTTATTAATGATTATGGAAGAAGACATTTAAAACTATTCACCAACTGTCATGTTTCGTGGGACACCCTGTAGAATAAGCAAAATAAATTGTTAAAAACTCAGTTCAATTTGTTTGAATGAAAAAATATCGACAATCTGATCCTAAAAATTTAAATAGATTAAAAAAATAACAATCAGTGTTTTTTGTTTTGTTCTTGTGCTGGTACAGAATCCGAAATGTTTGTTTAACACTGACTCAATAATAAACATCTAGCACCTACATCAGAAATCATAGATAATTTGCTGATACAAAAATTTTTGTCTGAGATCCATTGTATGATGAATCATTGAGAGAAAAACGGTAAATGTGAACACTATGGTTGGGTCGCCTTCATTCACTCTTTTAATCATGAAATTTTGCCAAAACTTTGTAATTTGTAATTGATTAAATTTTAGATATGTGCCCTCACAGTTTTAGAATAAATCAGTTCTAACAATTAAAAATTACAAAACAAAGTTTAAACCACGAACGTAGACAGTCAGAGGCGGCTTATGGGGGAGAAAGGGGATCGTCCCATAAAAATAGAAATCTTTATATAGTGGATATAGTCCCATTAATGTATAGTGGATATAGTCCCATTAATGTATAGTGGATATAGTCCCANAAAATTTCGGCGCGCTTCGCGTGCAATACTTATTATTCCCCCCCCCCTCTGGAAAATATCAAAAGCCGCCCCTGCAAAGACTATAATTATTTTAACATTTTTACACAACATTCAGCTATCTTATAAATTACTAATTAATGTTACTAATAATTTATACTTTAAAATTATTTATTTCAGAAACGAAATATGGCTGAAAGAGTCAACTTTAATGGACGAGACTACTTGACAAAATTGTGAGAAAAAATGTCAGAAAAAGTGACAACAGGGTTTTCCAACCCTGGGTTTGCAACCGAAAACAATGCTCGGAAAAGAGCGGACAAGGAGGAGGAGGTTCAGTCTAGTTCTCCAGGTACCTCTAGAGTAGGATTCGGAGATGGTTCTAGACTGGAACAGGATCAGTTAAGTTCTACAGGTTCCTCTAGAGTAGGATCTGGAGATGGTTCTAGACTGGAGCAGGATCAGTCTAGTTCTCCAGGTACCTCTAGAGCAGGATCCGGAGAAGGTTGTAGCCTTAAACTATCCAACCCGGACAACCAGGATGATAACCATGTACAGGATTGCTTTCGACTTTAATTATTCTTATTCTCTAATAAAAATCAATGATGTTTAAATTTTTGCTATTTGTGCTTTTTTAAAGCTGGATAAAACATTAAAAACATTTGAAAAATTGAGTGATTCCCCCCAAAAAAAGTATTTTTCTAAACATAAAATAAAATTTTTCACATTTTATTATTAATAGTTGGATAAAAGTTGAATAATTGCTGTAGAACATCCAACTAAGAAGTCAAGTTAGTCCTGAAAATTTATCAGAAGACAGTGAACTAGGTAAAACTTATTTAAAATTTATTCTAAAAAGCGCGTTGTGCAAATTGTAGGACGGTCGACATTATATTACATGATATTACATGATATTACATGATATTTCATGATATTCTATGATATTATATGATATTACTTGATATTACATGATATTAAATGATATTACATGATATTGCATGATATTACATGATATTACATGATATTACATGATATTACATTGAAGACAAAAAGTGCAGGGTTTTTAAAAAAGAATAAGACTTCAGAGATGACTGTCAGAAATTATTCAGTCATTTCCCTTACATTCATTCTGCCAAATTATTAGAGGAATAACTTTACAAAATCCAAAGAATATTTTTAATGTTTCAGAGAACTGTGGACCCCCCTGCTGTAGTTTGCCAGGTTTGAATGTGTTTAGAAATCCCAAATGGTTTCTGGTGCTTCTCAGTTTTGCAGCTTTCATTCAAGGTGTGTAGACTATGAGACTGTACACTGTACAGTACAGTGTTATATAAAGTGTGCATAGTTAAAAATACAACTCGAAATATTTTTTAAAATTTTCAACATTGTCTGTATGAAGTTTTGATAAAATTGAATTACTAAAACCATCAAGTGATAGGTTAGATTTTTTTTTTTTTTTGGGGGGGGGTGTGAGGGTATTAGTGGCGCAAATAAGGTGGGGGATAACCTGATTTTGCCGCCCCTCCCTTGACCTCTATCATGATCATGATGGTGGAGTGTGGACCAGCTTTTATTAAATTATTATTATTTATTAAAGAAAAAAATACTGAATTTCTTTCTAATTTCTCTTTTTTAATTTGAAGAAAGTCTGATTTTAACCAAATTTTGGCAGATTTTTAAATTAAGGAGCTTACATTCGCTTGAAATTCTTATTTTTAAAAATCCCTGTATCTTTGCAACGTAATGGTGTAAATATTTTATATTTCAAACTATTTGATCTAGTCTAAGTTATCAAATTGATCTGCCACATCAGGTTGTAAAGATTTAAGGACAGGAAAATTAGCGTTAGAGAAGAGTAATCAGTTCCTTAGAATGACTGTTAGTCGGATCTAAACCCTACTATTTATGTAACTATTAACTAGGGAACATATATAGTTTTTTAGCGTTGTGTAAATACCCCCTCCCCCATATACCGTTGTTGTTGCAACAGAATAAAGGGGGTCATACAGTACGTCTGGGGTAATAGACTGCCCTGGCTAAAAGCAGGTTTAAAGGAAGTGTTACCAAATAATGCTCTATATACATGACTAAATTACCATTCGGTTTTTAGACACTGCTTATATTTCTCAGATACATACTCAGGCATGATGTTATTATTATCATTATTATTATAAAGATTTATTCACACACAAAGATATAAATACATATATAAATGGTGTAGTTTAAATTTGTTTAAATAAATTTTTGAAAATACAGGTTTCCAAAAGAAAAGAGAAAAATATGCAAAATTATGCACAAATAGACAACATTGATCACTACTCATTATATAACATATTTATCATTTCAGTTATTACGTAATCATTGAATCCTTCAACATATAAATTATTCGTTCTTGTATTTAAAAGTTCTTGTAAAACCGGAACTTTCCATGCATGGTCCAATGGGACATCAAAATATTTCATTTGATTCTTAACTAACATTTTACAAAGATCCGAAGGATTTACACCTTATTTGTAACATTATTTTTTTCATGTTCATTCCTTTTAAGAAAGACCAGAATTAGATCATTTTTAAAGATTATAAACAGTTGTGCTCAGAAAAAAATGATAAATAAATATAATGAATTATTTTTTTGATCTTGACCTCTATGTATGTTGAGACATTTCCAAGGCTCATTTAGATACATCTAAAACTCTGTTTTGTAGAACATTTATGTAAACGTTCTAAAATATTGCAATGTAAGCCTGTATTAATAACTTAACTTAATATTGATAACTAGTTTTCATGCAATTAAAAAATCTGTTGCATCTCCGTGTTGCTATTCTAAGGGACGTATTTGAAAATAAATATGAAGTAACAAAATCTTCATAATTTTCTGATGATATTTTTTTAAACATCATCGAGCAGGGGGGTAAGAGACCATGTGGTTTTGACTCTTCCAGAAGCTTCATTTTTAGTACTTCTTTTTCAACTTTTAATTGTTGCGCAATCGGTCAGTCTTTGCGATGAAAATTAATAATAAAAATTTTGCGGATTTGCATTCTTGTTTACGTGAATTTTCTAAATTTGTGGAGACATCTTTTTTGTAATTCCGAGCATCAGTAAACCTTTCCTGTGGTCATGTTAGGTCCCACACAAAATTGGGACCAGATCGGTTCAGATGGTTGGACGCTTATTGGATAGAAACAAACAGACAGACAAGCAAAATATACAGATAGATTACAATTTGATTCTTTTCTATTGGGCTCAGTTTTTTGAGAATTTCTTATAATCCGCGAAATGTTATAATTATTTCCTTTTTTCAGGTTTTGTAATCAATGGTTTGGTAAATGTCGTCATTACAAGTATAGAGAGAAGATTCGGGTTACAGAGTACACAAACAGGGCTTATAGCGTCATCATACGATATAGGTATATATTTCAATATTTCCCCTAAATTCCGAGGTGCCTAACTGATCTTGCCTAACCGATCCAATGTTTTGTAGAATGACGAATTGTATTGTTTTTTTTTAATCCAACAAAATCAAAGAACTATCCAGTATGCAACAAAATTTTCCAAGGTTCTACAAATTTCATTAATTTCTTATTTCTCTTTTTCTTTCTCACCTTATTAATCAAATCCACTTTATTCGTTATGTTACGTAAGAACAATTAATTACACGTACACTAATATGTAATTGCTGTATCAGACATAAAAGTATATTTTGGAGTTCTTCAAGTTTGAAACTAATTTTCCCTTTTATTCTTCTGATAACAAAAGTTTTGATAAAAATTAGTACTACAGTACATACCATGATAGAGAGAATACTTGATTAGATAAGTCGTCGTTGCATATATCAATACAATGAAGACGACTTTTGATTTAAAGTTTGATTTATATCAAGCTGTTAAACAGCATAGATACATAGAAGTCAGGAAAAGTTGTCAATTAAAAAATGCTTCTCTTTGATTACTTGTAAACTTGTTATTCTAAAAAAGCTGTTATTAATCAAAACTTTAATAAAACAGTCGTCTTCATTGTATTTATATAATCGCCTACCACAGTATTTGTTTTAATTTGAAAAATTGCATATTTTTGCAGGATCTTTGCTGGTTATGGTTCCTGTTTCTTATCTCGGGGGTAAATCAGGGTCTAGCAAACCAAGGTGAGTAAATAACTATAAATTTTGGAGTTAGGACAAAAACTGTTCAATTATCTATTAAAGTAAATGTACTTTTTTATATTTATTCATAAGAAATATGAGTAGAAACAGTATTTTTCAGTGAGACCTGTTCAACTGTGGAATATGAAGACGACATTTATACTCATGTTATGCCTTTAGATAGTCCAAAGAACCATTGAACTTAATAAGTTGGGGGACAAGCACCTGATAAAACTATTTCCTTTATATAACATACATCACATGCTCATAAGAATACTTAAATATCGTCTTCCACTCCGAGTTTGTTTGGGGTTCACTGTAGCATTCTGTTAATCACTGATTTAAAATAAGTTACTGTTATAATTATTTAATTTATATCGGCCAATTGTAATTAACTTTCATTTTCTAAATGGCTCCTTCCTTAAATTGTAAAATATATAGCAAAACTGAAAACTGTTGTTGTTAAAATTGCAAAACTATCTAGATGGATAGCAACAGGTCTGCTAGTCATGGGAATTGGTAGTCTCATCTGGAGTATACCTCACTTTACTACTCCCCCTTACTCCAGGTACACATATATATATATAATATATATATACCTCACTTTACTACTCCTCCTTACTCCAGGTACACATATATATATATACCTCACTTTACTACTCCCCCTTACTCCAGGTACACATATATATATATAATATATATATACCTCACTTTACTACTCCCCCCCTACTCCAGGTACATATATATAATATATATATATATGTACCTGACTTTACTACTCCCCCTTACTCCAGATACATATATATATTTATTTATTTTATTTAAAGAAGATCGCTGGGGTTGTTCCTGGCCCCAGGTAATCCAACCCATTAGCACGCCTGGGGTAGCCTGGTTACTCCGCTTAAGGCATGTACTTTTTTTAACCCTGAATGTAAGCGTACCCGGGTGCCGTATTATTAGAACCCGTAGTATTCTGTAACCCCGGGCCAACATCCTTATATATATATCTCATCACTTTACAACTCCTCCTTACTCCAGGTACAAATGTAACTCAAGTAAAGCTGAGAAAATTAATCCAATTTACATCTGTAAAACGTATTGCGAAGATCGCTCGTAATTTCTAAATATAATCTAAGGTTGGGAGGGGAGGAACAGGTACAGCTGTGCCCAGCAGGAGATGAGGAGGAGGACACATGCCAGCAGGACGGTAAATTATATTTTAGTATTTTTGATTTTGTCTTTTTTAAAAGAAATTCAATTTTTTCTATTTTTGAAATACAAATTTGAGTATACAGACACTTTGTAAGTCTGTAGCATTACTTTTCATCAGTAATTTACTTCTGTAATCTGTAATTGTGGTTGCTTTCTTTCTCAACTTTTCTTTACAAAGGTCTTTGCCACAAACTCTGATTTTCTAATCCCCATATCTTTGGATTCCAATGTCGTAGACCTTAGATATTTCAAACTATAAATTCTGTTCCATAAAATAACACAAATTTGAAATATCAAAGGTTTCCACCATCAGATTGCAACGATATAGGAATTTTAAATAGGAGTTTGTGGCAAAGACTCAGTTCCTTTACAAGATTCACTTGCTTTCTATTCTCCCATGATTGTTTTTCAGATCAAGGTTTACGGAGTTTAAATGCTCGGATAAGAAAAGCGATGGCAATTCATTCGAAATGTATAAGAAGTCTTTTCGAAAATTTAAATCACATTTAAATTTGTTAAATGAAGAATTTAATTTATCCGAAGTCAATAATAACAAATTTTTTTCATTTTCTTAAATAAAACTGATAATCTTTTTTTTTAAATATTTCAGATCTAAGAAAAAGATAAAATATAATTTTCTTGTTCAGGTTTGAATGGGTTGAATTTATATAGACTTGTTTTTATTCTGGGTCAACTTCTTCACGGAGCAGGTTATAGCTAGCAGCAATCTAATTTGGGAAATGGCCGCAATTCTCCCCCCCCCCCTCTCCAGAAAAAAGATAATTTTATGACTCTCTTTATTCTTTAAAGTCTTAAACAAAACAAAAAATACATTTCGCAATCGCATTATTATGCATTACAAAACTTTAAATTCCGCCTAATAATTTTATTCATTGATAACCACAAAATTCTGGAAATAGGAAGACGACTTTTAGAATCAAGTTATAACTTTAGAAAGTCCAAAGAACATGAGACACAGCAATTGTTCAGTGGAAACAGACCCATTTAACCATTTAGTGATTTAATAAGTGTCTAGTAAAACTATTAATGCTTTAACAATATTTGCTAATGTTGTCTTCTTATTCCATTGTGTTCTGGTTATCACTGTAAGTTTTTTCTTAAATATGTACACTAGATCCCACTTCTTTGAGATTTTTTAAAGAATAATATATTTATTAAGGTGCCTCTGCCCTTGTAACACTGGGAACAACCTTCCTGGATGAGAACGTCTCAGTAAAATCCTCTCCGCTGTACATCGCCATCTTCCAGACCTGGTTCGTAATAGGACCCGCCCTCGGATATGTCGTCGGAGGGTTCCTGCTTAATCTCCACACAGATCTGATCTCCGACTCCGGGCTGACTCCGGAGTCTAGTTTGTGGGTCGGAGCTTGGTGGCCCGGGTTCCTAGTTTCATTTATCCTGGCTTTCATCTGTTCTAGTTTACTATTCTGTTATCCACCAAGGTATTTATGGGATTTATTTTACCTGGTCACTATCGGTACTATCTTTGTCTGGATCCAGGTTTATTATGATAAGTTTTGATGATTAACTGTAAGTAGAAAAGCTGGAATGTTATATCTAGATTGTTGTTTATTTAAATTGTACGTTACAATGTAGCATTTTTTAAATTGTACGTTACAATGTAGCATTTTTATATGTACGTTACTTTGTAGCATTTTTTTATATGTACGTTACAATGTGGCATTTTACTCATTACAAAAGCCAAATCCATATAAAAACAGTTGCCTGCAGTTTTAGAAAATTTGTAAAAATCTAATAGAATTAAAGTGAAATTTCAAAAAGCATTGAAAGTCATTTTTTTTAAATTCCTTCTCCTAAGATGTTAGAACTCGTTTTTTATCAGTGTGAGTGTGAAAGGAAATGGACCGAAGAAGTCCAACGATGTTTTAAGTCGTCTTTCTTTGACCCAGCTGCCTGGATATCTCGGTCACCTGTTCACCAACCCAACCTACCTCTGCGTCACTATAGGGCAGGCCATGGACGGGTTGACCATCGCTGGTCTATCCGCATTCCTCCCCAAGTATCTAGAGCATCAGTTTAGTTTATCAAACGGATTCTCTGCTCAGCTTGGTAAGTCATTTTTTACTTGCTAATTTTCCTGATATTTTTAGCAGATTTTTTTAACTTATGAGAAGAAAGAGAAAGATTACTTGTTTAATATTAATGAGATTGATATTAGAAAAGAAAATTTTCTCGGAAAAAAATAATCTGGAAATCAAATATGCAAACATTGGACTTAATGTAGATTTTATATTTAAATGTTCATGCCAAATAAATAAAAATTAAATTTCTGTTTAGATTAAAATCCTTCATGTTTTCAAACAAAACCCCTTTTCCCTGAATAGTTATTGAAATTCACAAAAAGGAACCGACCAATTTTGCTTTTCTCACTGGGATGCAAAATCAAATCTAGAGAAGTTATGAGATCTTAAAGTCGTAGCAGTTGATTGGAGTGATTGTAATTTTATTTTGTAGTTGGATTGATTGCTGTGCCGGCGGGGGGTGGTGGGACTTTCTTTGGTGGTTGGTTGATCAAGAGATTAAAGTTAAATAGATCCAGGATTCTCTTCATGTGCTGCCTCTCCCAGGTGCTCTGCTTAATCCCTATCCTTCCCGGCTTCCTGCTCAACTGCGACAACTTGCCCTTCAACGGAGTTAATCAAGAAAAGTTGTTGAGTCTAACATCAAGGCAGGAAGACGACATTCACAAATTTTGGATTTGATACGTTTCCCATTTTTATTTGGGAACAATAGGATTGAATGAATTATGGGTCAGATTTGTTGAACTATTTCTTACAATGAACAATTCCGACATTGGATTGTATAAAGTCTAACGTTAATTGTAGCGAATTCTGCAATGAAGTTTTTATAAGATATGGTTAAATGTCGTCTTCCGTGTCAGGTCCTTTAACTCTAGTCGCACTGCCAGCCCTGATATCCTAGTATCCGAGTGTAATCTAGACTGCTCCTGTGATATTTCACACTTTGATCCTGTTTGCGGATCAGGGAGGCAACATAGTTCGAAATTTATAAATATTTAAGTGGTTAAGACATGTTCAGATTTAAATGAAGTGACCGGCAATGAACCATGAGTATGAAATTTTTTTAGGATTCATTTGAGACATATAAAACGTTTCCTCAATGTATAATTACTGAGTTTGAGTGAAAAGTTGACGTTCAAAGTCATGAATTTGGGTGAGTACGTCTTCAGAATCGGTTTTTTAAATTTTAAAAATTATTAAATAACGACTACGAAAAATAAAGTAAAAATTATTTCTCAAAATGAATTCGTCAATAAATCAATGTTAGAATCAGATTTCGTTTTCATCGTTATATTTATTGAATTTCTCATTTTCTATGAATATGTTCGCAGATTTCTAAAAATTCTTCAAATGTCGTCTTTTCAATAAAAATTCCAGAAAATCTGCAGAAAATCTTTTTAAATAATGAGAGATTATAGAAACTAATAATTGAATAAGATTATTTATTTTCGATGATAAGAGTTAATTTTTATTTGTTCAACCTGTTCCTAAACAACTAATTAGTTTAGTGTAGAATTTTGTTTACATTTTTTCGTCGTCTTTATTTAATAATTAAAAAAGGATTCTGAAAACGTACCCACCCAATTTTATGATTTTGAACGTCGACTTTGCGCTCAAATTAAGTAAATATACGTCGTAGAAACGTTTTATATGGCCCAAATGAATCCTAAAAAATTTGTCCACAATACTACATATTCAGTTCAACCATTATACATTGCCGGTCCTCCCTTTAATAGTGTTCACATTGGATACATAAAAATCTAGTATTCAAGATTACATATACAGTTAAACCCAGAATTTCGGAAAAATCGAAAGAATTTTTGAAATGTCGTCTTGACAATTTTTTAACGAGGTTTACCTCCGAGTAAGATATAAGAAGCCATATCTCGGTATATTGTAAGAATAAAGATTTGATCATTTGATGATTTTTGAATAACCTACACCGTTTTTTTTTTATAAAATTTGATTTTCTGAAATTAATACTTCTATGTTGAACTTTGATAGATGATGTTATGTACTTATCTCCCTGTTTGGCGGGCTGTACAACATTCTCTTCTAAGGCAGGAGGATTGAAAATTTTAACCCCCCTCTCCCTCTTTTTCAGAGTGGCTTTCTAAATTCAGAATTGTCAATTTTCATTCGCAAATCTACTGTCACTTTTGTAAAGAAACTGCAGTTAAAAGTTCTCAATTTTCCTATAGAAAAGCAAGGATATCTTTACGTTTTTGCTCAGGCTCTGACTCTAAATTTAAATCGACAGTCCATTTCAAACATTCATTGATTAATTTTGGAAGAAGAGAAAATCTATGAAGTTTTTGTCAAAAAGATAATTATAGCATTTTTTTTCAATTTTGTGGATTTAGGATAACTATACGGACTGTGCTTGCGTGCAGAACTCTGGCCACGTGTCCAGAATCAAATGTGAGAACAAGTGCTCCTACCTAGTCTCTATAATTGTCATCTTGGAAAGTTTTAATTATCAATTTTTGTTCATAAACATTTTAGAAAAAGTCTGAAAATAAGAATTGTTTTTAAAGTATTTTTTTATTAAAACTTGGTATTCTAGTTTATTATGATTTTTATCACGTTCTTCGCCAGCATGCCTGGAGTCGTGGCAACCTTAAGGTTAGTTTCTACACAGTTTAATATATATTTTTTTAATTCGGTCGAACCTTCATAATTGTCAATCTATTTGGAAAAGGGATTAAATCTTTGCCACAAACTCAAATTTTTAAATATCTTTGCAACCTGGTGATTAAAACCTTTGACATTTGACACTGCGAATTTTGTTAGATAAGAAAGTTTAAATTTGAAAACGATTTACACCAACAGGTTGCAAAGATAGAATTATTAGAAATTTCGAGATTGTCGCAAGAACTAAATTTCTTTGTTATATTCCTCATATATCTATATTTTCTTATTTCTTCAGGTTTTCAGCAACTACTCTTTCCTTTAGTAATAGACTTTAACGGGCCCTTCTCCAGACTTGGTCCAACAATTTAATTGTACAGGGTTACCCGAGAAGGCTGAGACTTTAAAAACTTTTGAACGATCTAATTGAGGTATTAAGCACGAATTCTGCATTAAATATAATAATCTATTAATGGTGAATTAAATGATTTAATAAAAAGATTAGCCGCTGCAAGAAACCATGAATTCAAGTAATAGACTTAATATATTCTCTATAACAGTCGTCTCTAATCTTTTGTGGGTAACCCTGGACTATCATTTTCTGTATTATCATTTTCACCTTCCTCCGTTAAAACATTTTAACTCGAACATACTTTTAAATTAGGTAAAACCGTTCCATGGAAACGTGTCATTATACTTGGAGCTAACCTTCTCGATTCATCATTGTACTTGAAGACAAATCTTTGCCGTAAAACTTGCCGGAGCTAGACTCACCAATTTAACCTTGTACCTGGAGTTAAACCAATCCTTGTTTAGAGCTGTATACCCTGATGAGAGATCTCTAGCTCTAGGAGTTCAATCTATTATAATCCTACTGTTTAGAGCTGTATACCCTGATGAGAGATCTCTAGCTCTAGGAGTTCAATCTATTATAATCCTACTGTTTAGAGCTGTATACCCTGATGAGAGATCTCTAGCTCTAGGAGTTCAATCTATTATAATCCTACTGTTTAGAGCTGTATACCCTGATGAGAGATCTCTAGCTCTAGGAGTTCAATCTATTATAATCCGATTGATCGGAACTATTCCTGGACCTGTTCTATTTGGATATGTCGTGGATAATGCTTGCATGCTTTGGGAGTCGGGATGTGGTGAGTTTATTTTTCAATTAACTGTTCATAACATGAAAAAAAAATCATCATTCCTTTTAACAAGCTGGTTTTTTGGTAAAAAGCAATTTTTGTTGGATCGCGCAAATTTAAAATCCTTTTTATGCCGTAAATGAAACATTGTTGATTTACGTTTGTTGATTGGTACTATTTATATATGTTAAAGTCATATTCATTTTTTTATAAAAAGAATAATGTTCCAAATCAATGTTTTTTTATGAATATTCTTAAAAGTAGAATAAGAATAATACCAGCTCTCAAGGTTTAAATCATGATCCAAACCGAATCTTATTTTTAAATAAAGGAACATTCCTTTCATGCATTTTACCTTATTATTTATCTTAAAATAGGAATAGTTTAAAAAGCGAAGATGGCAATGCCTTACGGTATCCTTGAAACCTTTATCTGAACTCTGTGGATGATGTTATCGTTTTTCTAGGTTTAAGTATTCAATTCGGATAATTCCTACATTTTTTTCCTGCAGTAGAAATGCGCAAGTCACTTTTACATTTATTATTTATCGTTACCGGTACCGTTGTGAATCGGGCATTGGCATATGTCACACTTACAGTCTCTTTAAGATACGTTTCTTCTTAAGGATACTGCAGACGTGATATCATATTCCCCTCTAATTCATAACGACACCCTATCAACCTTTATTCGAGCTGACAGGAGGAAGATATTTTCGTTTTTCATCAGGAAAAGTGTTGATTTCTGAACATTTCCTTCTTTTTCTCCTGCTGCACAAAAACGCAAGTCACTTTAATAGAGAACCGCAGTCAAATATAATGAATTTTAAGATAAAAAAGGGAATAGCTCCATCATTTTTTCAAACAAATTTACACGCCATTCTATAAATGAAGGATTACTTAAAAAGACAACTTCCCCGTAATGAGAAAACTGAATTTGTCAATTTTTGATAATATGTTATTTCAGATGATTCTAAATCTTGTGTTATCTACGACAACAACCAGTTGTCCCTCTCCATGCTAGGGATCGTCCTCGTCGCCAAGATCATCTCCATCATCTTCTACGGTCTCGGGATCCTCGCAAGCACCAGGTCCTCGGTTCTTGACCTCATGGAGGCTGAAATTGTGAAGGTCAACGTGAAACAGACTCAGAGCTGTGATACTGTTACATCAGGGGTTAGTAATGAGGAGTAAGGCTCTAATAAAGAATAAAAACAATTTGGGTGAACTCCGAAGATCAAACAATATTTACAGTTTAGTTAAACTTCAAACTTAAAAGCCGTTCAAGCATTCAAATTGAAATCCAAAGCTACAGAAGTAATTATAGCAGTCTGTTTTAACTCTCGCCCTAAAAGACTAAAACAACAAAGTTAGTTTCCAAACCTAGAAGAGTAAGTAGCAAACATATTAAACTCCAAACTTAGAGTAGCAATGAGTGCTGGAGCAATAGCAATCATATCAAACTCCAAACCTAAAGGAGTAATAGGAATCATATCAAACTCCAAACCTAAAGGAGTAATAGCAATCATATCAAATTCCAAACCAAAAGGAGTAATAGCAATCAGATCAAACTCTAAACCTAGAGGAGAAATAGCAATCAGATCAAACTCCAAACCTAAAGGAGTAATAGCAATCAGATCAAACTCTAAACCTAGAGGAGAAATAGCAATCAGATCAAACTCTAAGCCTAGAGGATTTAAAACAATTACAATGATTACGATGAATTAGATTTGAAACCAATCGGCTCGGTCGTTTCAGTGTAAATTAGAAAGAAACAGAGAGATGCCAAAATAGATATTACCCCCGTTGATGAAAAACCTATAACGTAATATAATTTAAACATGAAACAACCATGAAATAAAACAAATGAATCCAAAAATTAAAAATATTTTTTATCGTTTCTTAACTTTTGATTAAGTATAACTGACCCACATATCTTTAATTTTGTTGACGAGAAGGTTTGGCCTGTAAACCTTTTTTTTCTAGAAGAATATGAGAATTGATGCAATAAGTTAAATAAGATGTACAAATTATTTTTTCCTTCATCCTGCTTAACAGTCATTTTATATATTTTTGTTTCTATACAATTGTAAAGTACTGTTTTAGTACACGTAAACAGTTGTGAAGTACTGTTAAAGTACCCTTAAACAGTTGTGAAGTACTGTTTTAGCACATTTATACAGTTGTTAAGTACTGTTTTAGTACATTTATACAGTTGTGAAGTACTGGTTTAGTACACTTATACTGGTGTGAAGTACTGTTTTAGTACACTTATACAGTTGTGAAGTACTGGTTTAGTACACTTTTACAGTTGTGAAGTACTGTTTTAGTACACTTATGCTGTTACAAAGTACTGTTTTAGTACACTTGTATTATACTGTTTTACAGTGGTAAATTACTATTTTTAAACGACATTTTAATGATTTTAATAGAACCCAATTTTTTTACGTTTGACATATAATCTCATTAATCTATGCTTTTTCATGCAATGCTCATTTTTTTACCGACACAAACGATATAATTTTGTTTACAATTCATTCTTTTACAACTTATGTGATATGGAATTATTATTTGTAATGGCCTATAGTAACACTAACGGATGTCGTCTCTTAATCCTATATATATTAAGAATTATATTTTACTCTATCTGCTGCTTGAATTATAAAGACGACATACTATTCTAATAGTACTGTACAGTGTACAGTGTATGTATGTATGTACAGGGTTACCCACAATGGAGAAGACTTAAAAAACTACAGTCCGAAATTTATACGTTTTATTTCTTTACACACGGGCAGCCGTAGTACATTTGAATTTCCGAGCCGGGTCAACCTTTTCATTCCAAGTTTGTACTGTATATATCTCTATGGACAGGACTAGCCGGTGCAACAAGGTAGACGCGGTCAGACTTTATGCTTCATATAGGTTGAATTTACTTTTACTAAAGGGGCAGATTTGCGTGTACATTTACCATTACCTACAACTGTATATTCATTATTTTTCTGCTAACTTAATATCATTCAATAAGCCATAAATTAACTATAATTTAAGGCAGAAGAATATATTAGAGCTATAGGTCGTCTTTATAGTCACTTCATTTGTGGGTTACACTGTATTAAACCCCTGTGCAATTAGTTGTTTAAGATTTGACAAACTATTTAACAGTATTTGTTACATAAATGATATTGAAAATATATGTATTGTATAAGAAAATGATAATTATAATAAATATTTAAAACTAAACATTCTATCAGAAATACTGGTTCAACCTTGTGTTTATTCAAAAGAATTGAGTTTTTGCCAAAAACTCTGATTTTGTAATTCCTATATCTTTGTAACCCATTGCCGTTGACCTTTGATAGTAAAAATTTGTTAATTCAGTAAGATTAAATGATTTAAGTTTGAAAGTTGCGAAGATATTAAGTTTTATGTTTTTACTATTTTTATTTCGATTTTACATTTAGTGACAGGAGAATTAAAAAGTTATTGGCAATATATGATAATGAGAAATAAAATTTTAAAAACTTGCAAAATTGTTTATTTTTTAGTTGGCACATATGGAAAAGACCAATATTCCTTCTCATAAGCTAATTTTAATATTACTTTTTTGTTTTTTATTGTTTTGTAAATGGTTTTGCAATTATTAAACCTTTTTCCACACTTTGTACAATACTATAAAATTTTGCAAAATGAAGATTCAACTTTATAAATAACATGTTTTTATTTCAATTTTTTATGATATTTTCATAAATCAGTTTTTTGTAAAGTAAGAAAATTATTAATTTCACTCTTTCTGCCAAATTTAATGTTTAGTGAAAGATGAAGATCTAACTTTGAAAAGAAACAGGGTTTTTTCCAAGTCCATTGAAAACTTATTATCAGATAATAAAATTAAAAAAACTAAATAACTGTTCTTTTTAAGAGATATCGGCAAAACTCGATTGAAAACTTATCAATTTATAAACTATATACAAATGTGGCGAAAGATAATCGATGACTATATGTTGTAATATCTGAATGGTTTGTTTAAAATTAAATCGATTTTTTTACGGTCTAAGTCGTATGTTGCAATTTTCTCAATTTGTATGAACGCTAAGTTATTTGGTATGAGACGTCTTTAACAATTTTCTCCTTATAGACGCAGCAGATAGAAGTAAGATTAGTAGCGATCAAAAGCGCTTTTTTATCGCATTAAGCCTGTACCCCCTTTCATTTTTCGCAAACACTCCCTTTAAGGTGGAGATTAAATTTCAATGATTTTTTTTTTGAAAAGCCAAAAATATTAATATCAAGATTGGTTGAAAATAAGTATTAAAATAAAAGTATTTCTTATCAAATTACAGAGCGAAGCTTTCAGTGTTGATTATAAATATTAATCTCTGTTTTTCTTCTTTTATATATTTAAACAATTTTAAACCCCTCTAGGACTGAACTTATACTTAAAAGATTTGACTTTAAAAGCAAATTAATAAACAACTAGATTCAGTATTTCTAATTCTTAAGAAATTCTTAATCTGATTCTGTTCCAGTTTTATCTGATGAAATGCTTAGACCGGTTTACCTCCACTAGGTACATCATTGCCAGCATGATGGGTTTCTACATGATAATCCAACTAGCACTGTTACCTTCTCAAATTTATTCAGGTGCCAGTAGATTGTGTCACATTTGTATACACAAACCCGTCTTAAAAGCTTATATACCTAAAAGAAAAACAATTCAAGAAAAATCGGCAGTGCTGCAGCCCAAACAAAAACAAACCTAAAATTTTGGCGAAAAGTAATGACTCTTAGGTCTTAGTGAAATTATACATTAATCATATTAGGTTACATCTCAAAGGCAGATTCTCAAACTCAGTCTCTGGTTTATACTTCAAAGACAGTTTCGGAAATATGAACAGTTAACATTACAGAGACATGCCCAAGTGAACACTGTAAAGAAAGATTTAAAGAATATCCCCAAAAGTTGATGCAGTAGAAGTAATCTCTTCCCTTGATCAAGTTTCCACTTTCAAAGTAGTTTTCATGATATGACTAAAGTCTGCAGTAAAAGGCCTTCTCAAGTAAGCAGTTCAATGGCAGGCTTTGAGAAACCTGAAGGAATCACAAACTACTCCGAGAAACCTGAAGGAATCACAAACTACTATGAGAAACCTGAAAGAATCACAAACTACTTTGAGAAACCTGAAAGAATCACAAACTACTTTGAGAAGCCTGAAGGAATCACAAACTACTCCAAGAAACCTGAAGGAATCCCAAACTACTCTGAGAAACCTGAAAGAACCACAAACTACTCCAAGAAACCTGAAGGAATCACAAACTACTCCGAGAAACCTGAGGGAATCACAAACTACTCCGAGAAACCTGAAGGAATCACAAACTACTCCAAGAAACCTGAAGGAATCACAAACTACTCCGAGAAACCTGAGGGAATCACAAACTACTCCGAGAAACCTGAAGGAATCACAAACTACTCCAAGAAACCTGAAGGAATCACAAACTACTCCGAGAAACCTGAAGGAATCACAAACTACTCTGAGAAACCTGAAGGAATCACAAGCTACTCAGAGAAACCTGAAGGAATCACAAAATACTTTGAGAAACCTGAAGGAATCACAAACTACTCCAAGAAACCTGAAGGAATCACAAACTACTCTGAGAAACCTGAAGGAATCACAAACCACTCCAAGAAAGCTGAAGGAATCACAAACTACTTTGAGAAACCTGAAAGAATCACAAACTACTATGAGAAACCTGAAAGAATCACAAACTACTATGAGAAACCTGAAAGAATCACAAACTACTCCAAGAAACCTGAAGGAATCACAAACTACTATGAGAAACCTGAAGGAATCACAAACTACTCTGAGAAACCTGAAGGAATCACAAACTACTCTGAGAAACCTGAAGGAATCACAAACTACTATGAGAAACCTGAAGGAATCACAAACTACTCAACACATTTTCAAAGAAATTATTAACAATAAACTAATGGTCGATATTTTCATTCTAAATTTGATAACCATATAGAAATTATCTATTGATCTAAATTTTGTTAGAATTTAATCCTTATAATTCATAAACTGGCTTTTATATAATTTTAGTAAAAGTTCCAGGAACAGTTACCAACACTTTTGAAATAAGGGGAAATCAAAAAAGGAAAAATATTAAATCAAAGAAAGTAACAATGAAATTAATGCTAACCACATCTTAAAAAATGACCAGTACAAATTTGTATCTGTATATTTTGAAATCTATGCAAATAAAAATATAACAAAAAACTCAGAGTCAGATATAGTTAAATCTATTTTAGTAGTTAAATTCTAAATTTCAGTAATTGCTGGACAGATTTTACGTTTAAAATAGTTTCCTTGCAATTACTTCAAATTGAACACTATATATTAGCCCTTAAATCTAAATATTCTCATATCAATTAACTTGTGAATCAACAACTAAATACAATTATTACATAAACAAAATAAATAGGATTCAACAACAATAAATATTTTCAGGTACAATAATCTTATTCTTCTTTCCATCCTTTTTCCTGGCAACAGTTTTGCAAGATTTATCCAATAGCTAAAAGTAAATCATCGATTAATTGATTAAATATGGTTATTCAAGACTTCTTTCAAGTGTATAAACTTAGTGATGTATCCTACCTGTTATGAATGCTCTGAATCCGGATTTCTGGGTTGCAGAATCAGAACTGAACTGGAGAACAAGAGTATCTGCTTTCGAGATTAAATTGAAACCAGATGGAACCTATGGATTTATTATTATGATTAAAACTTTAGTAAATAAAATATCATTAGACATGCACAGTAAAAGATTTTGGAGATAAAAATGAGGAGGGTTAAGAATAATGTTAATTTAAAGTAAATTACTCACTTTAGCTCCACAAAGTGTTGCAGATCTGTACTTTTGAACAGGTCTTATCTTGAGATAATCATTTGCACAGGATGAGTTCCATTGAATATTGAAGGAATCAAAGACGACATTGATTTTACCGGAAGTGGCCCTTATTGTCCAGGTACAATCTTGATCAGCAGGGTACTTGTTAGGATAGTCTGGAGAGGTGACAAAAGTACTAAACGGGTAGGCAGAGTCATTTGGGTCTATGAAAATTTCTTGGGGACAGTTGCATCCATCACATGCTGTAGTTGTTGTTGATGTTGTTGTAGTAGTTGTTGTTGTTGTGGTTGTTGTTGTTGTGATTGTGGTTGTTGATGTGGTAGTTGTGGTTGTTGTTGTGGTAGAGCTGGAGCTGGAGCTGGAGCTGGAGCTGGAGCTGGAACTTGATCTAGAGCTGGAACTTGATCTAGAGCTGGAACTAGAGCTAGAACTGGAACTGGAACTGCTGTAGCTAGAGCTTGAACGGGAGCTAGGATTGGAACTGGAGCTAGAGCTACAACTGGAACTAGAACTAGAGCTAGATCTGGAGCTAGAGCTGGAACAGGAGCTAGAGCTAGAACTGGAACTAGAGCTGGAACTGGAGCTAGAACTAGAACAGGATCCAAAACTCTGACTGGAACTGGAACTAGAGCTTGTTTCACATAAACAATCAAGCTCACTACTTGAAGAGCTGGAGGAACTGCTACTTGAAGAGCTAGATGAGCCACTACTTAAAGAGCTGGAAGAGCTGCTGATCGAAGAGCTGGAGGAGCTGGAGGAGCTACTGCTTGAAGAGCTTGATGAGCTACTACTTGAAGAGCTGGAAGAACAACTGCTTAAAGTGCTGCTACATGAAGAGCTTGAGGAGCTACTACTTGAAGAGCTGGATAAGCTGCTACTTAAAGAGCTGGATGAGCTGCTACTTAAAGAGCTGGAGGAGCTACTACTTGAAGAGCTGGAGGAACTGCTATTTGAAGAGCTGGAAGAGCTGCTACTTGAAGAGCTGGAGGAGCTGCTACTTGAAGAGCCGGAGGAGCTGCTACTTGAAGAGCTTGATGTTTCACAGAGGCAATCCAATTCACTTGAAGATGAAGATGAACTGTATGAAAAACTTGAAATTGAGCTTGAGCTTGAACTTAAATAGGAGCATGAACATGAGGAAAGGCTTGAACTTGAGGAAGAACTTGAACTTAATGATGAGCTAGAACTTGAACTTGAGGAGAAGCTAGAACATGAGGAAGAACTTGACGAGGAACTTGAACTTGAGCTTGAGCTTGATGAAGAGCTGAAAGAAGAAGAAGAAGAACTTGATGAACTGCTTGAGCTTGAGCTAGAGGAAGAAAAGCACTTTGCAGCGTCTGTGTAAGGTCCAAGACAATTGAGCTCAGCGTCAGTCACAGTGTCAGTAGGAGTGTAGGTCAGGGTTGTCTGACAGTTATAAAGATCATCTCCAGTGGTATGAACGAAACTTTGGCTATGTGTGAAGCTGTCAAAACTCTGAAAACATAATTAAAATTTATGGTTAAGGTTAAGATTTTTTTTTATAGAAAATTCAAGACAATATCTATTGATTGACTAAGTCCACAGATCAGGTAAAAAAGATACAACAGACAGGATTTAATTAGCATACAGCTGCATTTAACTGCACATCTTGAGCGAATCAATCAATCAATCAATGTGTATATTTGGGTTTACTGTAAATGTTGTGCACAACTACTCTCCACAGTGGTTCTAGTTAGGGAGTGTGTCTATAATTAATTATGGAAATGTACTTTATTTAAGCCCATTCTGCATTTTTACATGAACATTGCAGCATTGAGCACTTTCACATGACATGTATCGACACCTGATACGAGTCAACAGTGCATCTATGTCTACGTAATCTGTGGCTAAATATAAAAAAGATCAAATCAATTCTATTCAAGTGTATTTATGTTTAATTATTATGAAGAATTTATTATTATTTTCAATCAAAATTTTTGCATCAAATATAAAATTAAAATGTAATCTTGGCATTTTTTTAACCAATAAACATGAAGTCCGGGTGCATGATGATGTTAAAAAAAAAACAGTTAAAATTTTTTTTTTTTTGTTAATTTGCTGTGTTTAATGCAAGTAACTCTCTCTTTGAAATCGAAAATTCTAAGGCATGAAACAGTAGAAAATACTCAGTAAAAATGTGGACAAATTTCTCAAAAATGTATTCCCAAATACATATCATGTGGAGTTTATACTCTTTTATTCCTGAATAAAGGTCTTACAGGCACTTACCATTTCAATCCTGGGTTAGACCAGTTAATTTATTCTAGTTTTACATTTATTGATTATATCCTCATTTGTGTAATTATTTATTTATAAAACTAGCGGACACTATCCTTAATTCAAGCTTTTTATACGAAAATATTTTGCTGTGACTTTTTGGTGGTTGGTCTTATTACCGTTACAGCTGACGAAGTGTACTCTGTACATGAAAGGTCAGCGTCCTGTACAGTATCAGGAACACTGTACGTCAAGTTAGCCGAGCAGACATACAGGAGGTCACCTTCAACTAAACAAGGGTGAAAAAAGTGGTCCCAAATCATGTTATGATAGACAAAATAAATATAGAGTAAAATAGTTTTATTTAGATTCAATGTTGACTTTTCAGGTTTTAATGTTTTGTATTAAATAGATTGATGACAATTATTTTGTATTGTTATAAATAATCATCTGCTAGTAAAATATTTTACTGCAAAGTTATACACAGATAATTCTGCAATCTGCAAGGAAACAAGAATATATCAAAAAATAGTTTAGTTTAGTTTAGTCACTAAACCTTGTTTTCTCTATCTTTAATAACACTTTACATCGTATAAACCTACCTATCGTATAAACTATAAACCTACCTATCGTATAAACCTACCTATCGTATAAACCTACCTATCTATAAACCTACCTATATACAAACCTACCTATCTATAAAACCTACCTATCGTATAAACCTACCTGTCTATAAACCTACCTATCTATAAACCTACCTATCGGCCAGGAATCCAAGGTAATTAAAGAATCTGTGGAACGTAAATAAAGGGATTGAACATCAACCTGATTAAGAATAGAAATTGAATTAGCGATTTAGAAAATTAACTAAACTAAATCAAAACAAATTACCTAAAACCAAGATGAAACTAACCTAAACCAAGATGAAACTCACCTAAACCAAGATGAAACTAACCTAAACCAAGATGAAACTAACCTAAACCAAAATGAAACTCACCTAAACCAAAATGAAACTATTATAAACCAAGACGAAACTCACCTAAACCAAGATGAAACTAACCTAAACCAAGTAGAAGCTAACCTAAACCAAGATGAAACTAACCCAAACCAAGATGAAACTAACCTAAACAAAGATGAAACTAACCTAAACCAGGATGAAACTAATCTAAACCAAGATGAAACTAACCTAAACCAAGATGAAACCAACCTAAACCAAGATGAAACTAACCTAAACCAAGATGAAACTAACCTAAACCAGGATGAAACTAATCTAAACCAAGATGAAACTAACCTAAACCAAGATAAAACTAACCTAAACCAAGATGAAACTAACCTGAACCAAGATGAAACTAATCTAAACCAAGATGAAACTAACCTAAACCAAGATGAAACTAACCTAAACCAAGATGAAACTAACCTAAACCAAGATGAAACTAACCTGAACCAAGATGAAACTAATCTAAACCAAGATGAAACAAACCTAAACCAAGATGAAACTAACCTAAACCAAGATGAAACTAACCTAAACCAAGATAAAACTAACCTAAACCAAGATGAAACTAACTTAAACCAAGATAAAACTCACCTAAACCAACATAAAACTAACCTAAACCAAGATGAAACTAACCTGAACCAAGATGAATCTAATCAAGATGAAACTAACCAAAACCAAGATGAAACTAACCTGAACCAAGATGAATCTAATCAAGATGAAACTAACCTAAACCAAGATGGAACTAACCAAGATGAAACTAATCTGAACCAAGATGAAACTCAACTAAACCAATATGAAACTAACCTGAACCAAGATAAAACTAACCAAGATGAAACTAACCTGAACTAAGATGAAACTAACCTGAACCAAGATGAAACTAACCTAAACCAAAATGAAACTAACCTGAACCAAGATGAAACTAACCTAAACCAAGATGAAACTAACCAAGATGAAACTCACCTAAACCTAGATGAAACTTACCTAAACCAAGTTGAAACTAACCAAGATGAAACTAACCTGAACTAAGAAGAAACTTAATAGTAATAAAGGGATCCAATTTCTCCCATCCCGAAACTGTGATTGTTAAAAATTATTTCCAAATTTTTAGAACAAGTACATATTTGGGACAGTGTATGTATGTAGTTCGTTTAAACAATAACCTCACTTAAAATATGATTTTCATCAGATTTCATCTGTTTAAAGGGACTGGTAAGCGTTAATTTCAATGAACCCTTTTATGCAAAGATTTGCAACGGTACCTTTGAAACCTTAATCTGATCAAAATGTGGAAGATACCGTCGTTGTTCAAAACTCGAAAAGTGTTTAATCTGTGAGTTTCTCCATTGCTTCTTATAAACAAAAAATGCGCAAGTCACTTTCGCAGAAAACCCGCAAATGAAAATCAATAATTTAAGGAAACAAAAATATCAATATCTAATTCAGACAAAGCTGTTGTAAATCGGGCATTACCATCTTTGAATGGAGGGTCTGAATTACGCTTAACAATCCCATTAAAGGGAGTGTTCGAGAAAAATGAAAGGGGTACAGGCATACTGCAAAGAATAAGCGCTTTTGATCGCTACTAATCTTACTTCTATCTGTTTCGTCTATAAGGAGAAAATTGTTAAAAACGACATGTACCGAATAACGTAATCCAGCCCAAATTGAGAAAATTGCAATCCACAACTGGGATCGTAAAAAATCAATTTATTATCAAACAAATCATTTAGATATTAAAACCTTTAGTCATAAATTATTTTTCGATGCATTTGCAAATAGTTGATATTTCAAAATATTTTGTTTTTGTTTTATGTACAATGAACTTAAAACGCCGATTAGTTTGCCCACCAGGTGTCTCTGCTCTCGATACTCTTAATGATTCCTCGTGGCAGAGACACCTAGTGGGAAAAAATCGCTGTTTTAAGTGCATTGTATATAAAAAAGCAAAAAATATTATGAAAATAGAACTATATATACAATATGGCGAAAAATAAACGATGACTATAGGAATTGTAATATATAAATGATTTGTACTGTAGGTTGTAATATCTAAATGATTTGTTTGAAATTAAATTGATATTTTCAATCCGAGTTGTGGATTGCAACTTTCTCAATTTTTGAGTGGATGCTACGTTATTCAGCATAAGTTGTTCTTAACAATTTTCTCCTCTTAGACGCAACAGATAGTAAGATTAGTAGCGATCACAAGCGCTTATTTTTCGCATGTATGCCTGTACTACCTCTCATTTTTTCGTGAACACTCTCTTTAAACAATTTTCGCCGTACAATGAAACTAAAGAATATTTAAAGATTCATTTTTTCTAATGTGGAATTTTTTCTTTTTTTGTTTTTTTACAACAAGATCTTAATATTTTAAAGTTTTAATTTATATAATGGTTTATTGAGATAAGAAATAAATGTCGGTTTCCCATGAATAGTTTAAATTACAATCTATGGAAAACAACTTCATAGTTTGAGAAAAATGGCATATTTTCGCCCCATGTATGATTAATTCGAATAATTCAATTTCTAGAAAAAATCTGACATTTGTTTAAAAGCATAATATAAAACACTGGCTGAAGGTCCCGGCGTTGCCCTTGAAAACAAAAAATTTTAAAAATAAAAGAATTTTAAAAAAATAAAAAAATATTGAAAAAAAATTCGATTTTTTTTTGGCCTATAACACTCCCCGGCCACCCACGAGTGTACACAAAAAATTCCATCCTAATCGGTCCAGCCGTTTGGCCGGCTATACGCAACATATATATATACGAATGTGTTGTTTTATTATATAGATTTATGAAGAGTGATAAAAAATACTTATTTAAAAAATCAAATATTAAATATTTAAAGAAATAATAATTTTCCTGAACCATGGTGAAGGTTTCTGGCGAACAGCAACATATTTGCTTCCCCTTATTAACTTTATATAAACTAGGGGTTACGAGGTGCTGGTATAAAGGGGGAAAATATTGGTTAATTTGCAAACAAAAATATTTTTAAAAAAATTTCTTTCGATTTTAATCAAAATTTTATTTTTTTTTAAAAATATTAAGATTTTTAACCCCTCCACCCCCCCCCAAAAAAAAAAATGCTTATCCCTGAAGGGAAGTTGAATCCTTGACCATAGAAGGTTAAAGTAAAAAATTCGAATTAAACGGCTGTCTTCAATTTTTAAGCTATAAATGTACTTTTTCTTTATTTCACAAGTGTTATCTACCTATATTCAGTTTTTTTTATAAAATTCAAAACAATTTCTTCAACTAATTACTTGTCTTAAATTTTAGCTGTACAATTCTTATATCTTTGCAATCTGATGTCGTAGACCTTTGATTTTTTCAAAGTATGGAGAGAGAGCAGAGGAAGAGAAGGATTAGTATTTGTGTGTGTGTGTGTTAGTGTATTTGAATTAGATGAGATTAGGATTTGTACCGGGCCGGAGAGCTTCCATTCCTCAATCCTCAGGGGATCGGGGGGACGTACTAAAACCCCCTAATTTCAAAATATTTCTATGAACCATTACAAACTGTAAAACAATAGGTTTTCTTTTGAGAATTAGAAATTCCTTCAATGCACGATAGGATGAATTCTGTAAGCAGTGGATGAAGGGGAGATTTAGTTAATCCGGACTGAGCTAGGATAGTCGGGATATAGGCTCTCAATCCTCCCCCTCTATACTGCTCTACACTAGGTTTCAGTCCTCCGCTCTCAACCTTCTTACAAGCATCAATATAATCCTTATCAGAGTTTTCTAAACTATGGAGTTATCTAATCTAGAGTTATTTCAATCATGGTAATCAAAACTAGAGTTATCTAAACCATAGTAATCAAAACCAGAGTTATCTAACCCATAGTAATCAAAACCAGAGGTATCTAAACCATAGTAATCAAAACCAGCGGTATCTAAACCATTATAATCAAAACCAGAGGTATCTAAACCATAGTAATCAAAACCAGAGGTATCTAAACCATAGTAATCAAAACTAGAGGTATCTAAACCATAGTAATCAAAACCAGAGTTATCTAAACCATGTAATCAAAACCAGATATATCTAAACCATAGTAATCAAACCCAGAGTTATCTAAACCATAGTAATCAAAACCAGAGGTATCTAAACCATAGTAATCAAAACCAGAGGTATTTAAACCATAGTAATCAAAACCAGAGTTATCTAAACCATAGTAATCAAAACCAGATATATCTAAACCATAGTAATCAAAACCAGATATATCTAAACCATAGTAATCAAAACCAGATATATCTAAACCATAGTAATCAAAACCAGATATATCAAACCAGAGTACTTGAAACCAGGATTTTCTTAACCAGACCATTTTAAACCAGAGTAAACCATTCGGGGATTTTATTCTTGGATAAGTCATAAGACTGAAGCAGGGAGTAAGGAATAGAACGGAGAAATAACTGACGCGGTTCGCCCTACCAAATGATTATACAGCTTTGCAGACGGGTACTCCATGTATAAGAAATATTTCTCTGATGTACAATTACCGCGTATATAATAACCTTTTCTGAATATTTCTTATACAAATAGAGTACCAGTCTGCAAAGCATGTGTAATCATATGGTAGGGCGAACCGCGTCAGTTATATCTCCCTTCCATTTCATACTCCATAGACTGAAAACTATTTAAACTCAATAAAAGGGTGAATTATAGGAAAGAGCTTGTTTCTATATACCTGTTAGTTGTTATCAATACCGTAAACTAGGGTGAGCCACAAAAAAAAGTCTTCAGAGACGACTGTACGGAATTTATTTGGTCTTATTCCTTCTGTCCTTGGCTCACAGCAAGGTAAGAAGGTAAGGCCATAAGAGAATTTGAATTCAGAATACATCAAATTCCGTAATATACAATGAACTCATTTTCGGTGGCTGTACAATTGTATATTGGCTGTTGTTTGTAAACAAACGCAACCGAAACTGGTCTCATGAACCGACACATGAAATTGAACCCAGTATTCATACCTTTGTCGCAGTCCGGAGTTAAATAATAAAATGTAAAGATAAAATGGACCGAGGTAAATTAATTCATGCCTAGGCTACTCCCCACCCCCTCTCTCTCATGTCGAAACTGTAAATTATTGTTTCCTTTGTGGGTAACCCTGTAGTTTTATTGTAAATAAAAAATAATTAGTTAACACACATTTCCACAAGTTGGGCCTTCCGATTATCAATATGCCATATTCAGAGCCCATTCTCTCCATATAGAACGTGGTCGTGTATTTCACGTACTTTGGAGGACGATATGTTGGCCGCTAGATGTCTCATGCTAAATTCTTATCTGATAGATAGATATTTCGCCGTACATTCGACGACCAATATAGTACACGTCAAGTTGTCGACCATTATAGTTTATGGAAGGGACGGCCTCAGAAAAAATATGATCTTTGTTTATAATTTTAGTTTTTGTTTAAATTCTTGATTCTCATTTTTATCAAGAGAAGTGACACAATTGAAAAAAATCAAATTCAAAAAGAAAAAGATTAATATCTCATTTATTCTTGACCAGACACATCATTTAAGGATCCGTTGTGAATAGACCATGCCACACAATAAATTTATTATTTAGAGAGTCATTAACATGGTTATAATGCAAGGAAAGTTAATTGGAGTCATGCGTATATTCTGCGTACATATTTAAACCAGTTCTCTCTGGGCGGAAGATGTAAACAAGAATAGATGCCTCAGTGTTCGTTTAGTATCCGAGGAGGATAAAAGCATTGAATGTTGATAATTCACATAATAGTTTCCTATGACCAGAATATTTCATTGATTTTTTATGTGAAAGATGGATCCCATGTCAGGTTATGAAATCCGTCTTGTATTTACATTACCGCCCAGAGACAGTACACTGCAGTACAAAAGATCTGTACACCTTCACCTCTAAAATAACTTTCCCTGCATTATAACCTTGTTTATTATTAACGTATCAACTTTATTTGCTCATATAAAAATGTGTTATTATTTCAGAATAATTTCAATTAACTGAGAAAAGTATCTGATATTAGATCTCCCTCGGGTTCCCTGGAAAAGGCGGGTTGGAAACATGACCAAGGATATGGAAGGGAAGGCTATGGGATGGCATGATATGTCGTCTTTACTGTACCAGGTATAAACAATAGTAATCATATTCTTATCTCTAAAATGCTTATACACGATTTTCCATTTTTCTCAATTGAAGCCTTTCATTTCTGAAAACTTCATGACTCTAAATAAAATTATTTTAAGCAGTTTTGTTGATTATAAGCACAATTTCTAAACAAAAAGGTGTTGAACTTATACATTTGCCCATTAAAAATGAATTCAAATTATTCATTCTTTAAACTGACTTTCTAAAGGGGAGGCCAGGGGTATAGGGTCATTGAAAACATCGAGAGACAAAAGTCTTTTATTGTTAACCTTACTTTTTTGTCAAATATACCCAATGAGATTATACGTATAGAAAAAACCTAAATTTATATTTTTTCATTCATATTTAACGTTTGTTTAAAACGGTTAAAAAGTCGTTCATTCTTAAAATAATGGAAAGTTTAAGATAGCCCTGCCCCATTTACAACGGTACCCTTGAAACATTAATCTGATCAAAAATGTGAAAGATAACATAGTCAACCTTGAAAAGTGTTCATTTCTTTGAATTTCTTCTTTGTTACTTTAAAGCAAAAAATGCGCAAGTCTAATAGGGGAAACAACAAATCAAAATTGCCATCTTTGCATGGAGGGTCACTGAAATTGCATTACACTCCATTTAATAATTTAGGAAAAAATACAATTTTATTTAATTTTTTCATCCATTTTTTTCAGGGTCAGGCAGTCAATCACACAGATAAACGAACCAGGTATTATTTATTTTTAATCTAAAATCTTCTTAATTTGGAATTTTACATGCAGGGGACTTCAGATACAACTGTGCAGAATTTAATTACTATATTTGCATACGCTATGCCCGTTCCCATCCCCCCTCTGCAACTCTACACAATTGTTTGTTCTTTCTTTTCAAAATCATTAATAATAGAAATTATTTGCACTTAATAACTACATCACTGTATAATGAGTTTTCTGATTCTTATTTTGACAGAACCATTCTTTGATTAAAATAACCCCATGTTATGGAACCAGGAACCCGAACTGGACGGATGGTGAGATCTCCAGGTTCCTGGAGATACTGATCGAGGAACCAGTTCTCAGGGACCTTAAGGAACAAAAGAACAAGAGGGTAAGAGCATTAGTTATTTTTAGCTACTTTTTTCATAAAGCAAAACTTAATAATTGACAAAAATTTTAAAAATACAGGGTTGCTAACAAAGAGAATTTTTATCTATGCACTTTAATTTCCAACAAAAGAAGAGACTGTAAAGACGACCTAAAACTTATAAAAATGACTATTTTTTAAGGTTGAATTAAATGTCTGTCTTAAATATAGAATTGTAATTGTTTATTTAATGAGATGTCAAAGAAAGAACAAGTTTATAGTTGCAGAGAGGTATGAATATTTAATATAAACGAACACACAGTATTCCGTACAGTCGTCTTCGAAATCTCATCCTTCGTGGTTTACATGTACTTTCCCAAATTTGTATACGAGTGTATGAAATAAAATATTACAAAATGCATAAATTTTACTTAATTTCTTAATGCAAAATTTATCATTTTTTATTCTAATGTTAAAACTTATATGCAGGTATTCTGCTATGTCAGTCAGAAGATGTACCTGGAGGGAAGTGAGAAATCCTGGGACCAATGCAAAATTAAACTAAAAAATCTCAAATCTCAATGGAGGTAAATTTTAAAACATATATGGTGTGGTGTTCCACTGAACATGAAAATCTTTTTTGAACTTTGTTAGCTAATAAGGGAAATGTACAAAAAAGAGATAACAACTTTATAAATACAGATAGATGATGGAAAGCTTTAATAATTGTTTTTTTTTGTCAGAGATAAAAGACGATATTTAAGTGGTCTCTTAACTGTCTTACTCAGTGGGACGCAAAATTTAAAAAATGTCATTATTTCCATGTTTTCTGGTTAGGAATGTGAAGGACCGGGTCCCGAGGTTGGACGAGATCGATCTAGAGGACGAGGCCGAGCTCAAGGATCTGATGCATGATTGTCAGAACAACGGAGTCTCTCCATTTTGTGTAAAACACCTCAGGTAAAAACTTATTGGTGAATTTCAAAATGGCGGATATTGTTGACATAAAATATTGCGGATTTTACTGAAAAAATAAATTGCGGATTTACAAAATAGAAGTCTTTCTGGAAGTTAAAACTATTTTATTTTCAGAGGATTAAAAAGATTCTTAGAATCGTTGGCAGCCATCAAGAGGGGTCTACCAATTCCTCAATATGGACCCCTAGACCCAACAATAATGCCGCCAAATCTTCAGATGCCCCATATAGTAAATATTCCTGAACGGATTCAGTCTGTTCCTGATATTGACACAAGGATGAAGAGAGAGATTGAAGAGTCGGAAAATGATGAAGGTATTAATTACAATCTTGATTTAATTCATCGAGCAATTTATTTAACTTTTTTCAAGTTTAAATTTTAATTTTAAATTTAAATGTCGTCATCATGATCGTGACTTATTTCGATTCTCATTTAGTTTGTCATTGTTGCATGTGCATTGTGCACAATTGCTTGTAAAACAATTTTTGAACTAAAAAAGTTGTAAAATGGTCATTTTAAATAATTTTCCAGTTAAAATTTAGTGAATTTTTTAACTGTGATTTTTCCAGAATTTATTGAGCCTCTGGTTGTTGATTATCCGCCAGAGATCGGAGATCCAGATAATTCCAGTTCTTCTCCGCTCCAACCTGAACCTGATCGTCTAGCTCTTCATCCTAAACTTGAACCTGGTCGATTAGATACATCTCAGGGTTCTACCGGAGAAGGTTTTACAGAATCAGGTATGGAAACCATTTTTTGGCAGTTTAAAAAAAAAAAAACTTTTTATTCTAAAAATAATTAAAAAGAGTAGTCTGGTTTACTACAGGGTGTCCCAAAAAATATAGGAATTCAGTGACGAATTTGTGTTTTGAATTAGTATTGTAATACCTAATTTCAAAAGCCATAATATTATTATGTCTGCTAGAGTTTATTTTATGAAAAGGGCAAAAGACTGTAAAGATGTGTCTATAATGTCTCCGCAAGATGAACAGTGAAGACGGTCAAGCTTACTCTGTTTGTATACTGTAATTTTCTTGTTTTACTAAGTACAATTCGTATGCAGTCAAAACATAATCAAACAAAACGTAGCAGACGAAACTCTTACAGATTACAGCTTTCTCAGTAGGTATCACTAAATCAAAGAATTATTTTAAAAGACGATATCGAATTCGTCACTGAATTCCCATATTTATTGGGACACCCTGTAGCTTGGGAACCCAGCTTTGCCTGCAAACCGAACTTTCTCTATTAAAGCCAACCCAACTAATTTATATTTTTAAAACCAAGCTAGCTTGGTAAGAACATTCTCAAGGGTCTACCAAGTACTTTAATCAAAATTTGAGACAAATCGGTCAAAGGGTTCACAAGTTATGATCGGACAAACAAACAGTAACAATCAATTTAAAACATTTTCCAGGGTTTTAAAAAGTCATCTTTTTGATTTTTAAAAGGTTAACCGGTTGCAACTTATTTAAGTTTTCAAACATGGGTTCAGTCGTGTTTATTTTTGGGTTTGTGCAGTAAGCATGTTTTCAAACCATAAAATTGATGGAATTAGGGAGAAATTTATTTTTGTAAACATTTGAAGTTGATATATGTATATATCTAAAATAAAACAAGACATTCTTATATATGTTCCCTAAAGCCGGCCAAACGGCTTGACATATTTTGAATAAACTCATGAGTAGCCTGGGGGGGGTGACAAAGGCTAAGAAAGATTCGCCCTTTTTTTATTTAAATCGAAATTTATTTTTTTCAAACCTAGATTTTTTCTTCAAAAAACCTGAATTTTCAAAATTCCACGGATAACGACGGGCGCTTCAGCTAGTAATTCATTTCATATTAAAAGTTTTTTCTTCTTTTAGATGTTGAAAATTAATCTCAAAGAGTTTTGAAAAATTCTTCATGTAAATTCATATTTATACACTTTTCAAGGCATAGGAAATTAAATATAAAGATTTAGATGAAACTTTTCGTATTCACAGTTATTCTTCTTTTTGTTTAATCTGAACATAAATATCAGCACAATACATACTCATTAAACAAGGTGTCTAAAAAGGAATAAAGACGACTTCTAAATTGTCCTCGATGGTTGATATTGTTGATAAATCGACAATGAATTTGAAACTAGATACAAATTTCTCAATATTTCCGAAGGAACTAAACATACTAAACCTCTGATTTTCCAATCCTTCTATCTCGTGAACAAGAGGTCTGTAATTGTCTGTAATTTTGTGTAGAGTATCATTAGTTTTAGACGTTTTATCTTGATATCCAATGTAGGTACTTTAAATGCTTGATCTGAAGAATTAAAATTATCCCTGTAAAGTATAGGCTACACTACGGGATATTATAAGAAGGATTAAATGAATTCATAAGATGAAGAATAATGCTTGATCCGAAGAATTAAAATTATCCCTGTAAAGTATAGGCTACACTACGGGATATTATAAGAAGGATTAAATGAATTTATAAGATGAAGAATAATGCTTGATCTCCCAAGATTTGCAAAACAAAAGTTCCGATCTGTGAGGACAGAACTTTTGTTTTGTGAATCTTGGGAGTCAGGATCAAGCAATGATCTCCCTCATGGCAGATCTAAGGCAAAGGAGTAGGGATTAAAAAATAAGAGTTTGTTGCATTTGATCAATTTTTTTGGAGCTTAATTGGTGACACGGAAACGCCTCAACACGGAAATGTCTCAAAAAAAGGACTCATAAAACTAATTTAATGTCGTCTTCTCTCATTAAAAAAAAATATTTTAACAATTATTTTACCATTAATTTAGGGTAAGCTAGGTTGCGCCGCAGGCTACGGAGGGGGCCAGCGCTGCGGCTATGATCTAGGGGTCCGAGCGCTGCGACTAGGACAGGCTAGGGGGCCGTGCGTTGCGGCTAGAACAGGCTAGGAGGCCGAGCGCTGCGGTCATGGCTGTGAAAATCGTTAGAATATAGTCTTTTTAATTTTAAGTTGAGAGAAGACGACATTAAGTTAATTTTATGGTTCTGTTTTTTGAGGCATTTCCGTGTTGAGTGGTTTCCATGTCACCATGAGTTTCTATTATTCCTGTGAAGACGACAGCATGCGGCACGGATAAATATCGATGAACAAACCATCCATAGATTAATAACAATGCAGATAGAACACTAGATGTCGTCTTTTCTAGATTAAAGGGTTCATCTATAGATTAATAACAATACAGATAAAAACACTAGATATCGTCTTTTCAAGATTTAGGGATTTTTCGTTCATAGTAACAATAACAATAGCAATAGCAATAGAAACAGCAACAGCAATAGCAATAACAATAATCACCAAATTAATAAATATTAATGTTAAGATAATACGAGTCCAAGGTTACCTAATCTTTGGATTAAATCACCAAGTGTTATAAACCAGGACGGATCTAATAAAAGAAAATTCAGCCAGCACGATCAAAGTAAGTTATAAACTTGGAACTGCAATAAAGGGATTGTAATTATAATAGATGTCCAATTCACGACGATACCTTTAAAAACTTTCTCTGATCAAGTATGAATTGAATATCAATGTTTACAATTTTTGATTTCTCCACAAAAGTGACTACGGAGTACGGATTCCATTAACTGCAGAAAAAAATATAGGAAATTATCAGAATTAAACACTTATAAATTTAGGAAAACGAAAATATCTTCGACATTATTACTCAGACAAAGCTTTTTAAGGTACCCTTGGGAATCCGGCATTGTTATCTTGTCATGAAGGAACACTAGAAGTTAGTTTTGCCTCTTTAAACGTTCAGAACGCTTTGCGCCAATCTTCTATTTCAACTTTAAATTGTTGCTCTATCTTTGACAACTTTCCGGAGGCAAATTTTTTAGATTCTGAACTTTCATAAACCCTCCTTGGAGTCATGTGAGGGGCCCAAACAAAATTTAGGCCTGATCGGTTCAACCGTTTAGACGATTATTGGGTACAAATAAACAGTTATATAAATAAAGTTTGAAGTATCAATTAATTCTGTCCCTATGCTATGTCTTCGATAAAAATATTTATATTCGTAAATACACCATGGCCTAAATTTCAACTTCTGAAAATGTTGTAATTCCACAATTGAAAAAATTAAAAATCTACAAAATGTTTTAGTTTGTAGGAAGGGAAAATTGATAAAATGCCTTACCAAGTGTTTAAATTATCTTATGATATATCAAACAACACAAACAAAGCCAGCATGATATAAAGTTGAAAAATTTAAGCAAAAAATAACCTAAAAGACCTAATTTTTTCCAGGTTCCGACAAGAAGGTTAACCGGAGTTCGAGTTATGGCGGAAGTTCTCCAGAGTCTGATTCCGTCCTGGGATCTCGGGTTGGATCATCTTTAACTCTGGAGGGAGCTGAGGTCCTGGCGAGATTACAGACCAACCTCGCGGACAAATTTCTTACTTTTCAAAAAGAATCCGAACTTAGATACATAAGCTGGGAGCGGGTAGGTTCAAACAAAAATTGCTTTTAGAAATGATTGAATTTTTTAAATGTTTAGGAACAGGTTAGAATGGAGCAGCATTTTATGGAGCAATGGAGGTTGGAGCAACGTCAATCTTTGGAGCGGTGGAGGGATGAGCAAAGACGACATGATACAAACTTATTAAATCTTTTTACCAAATTTGTTTCAGACACAACAGAAGTCTTCACCAAAAAATAAAGTCGCATATTGTTCTCATCCAAAGATTTTTCTATTTTTCAGAAAATTAATTTGTTTATGGAAATAGTTAAAAATAAAAAATACTTCAAAGTAATTAATCATAGTTGTAAACCATTTCAGATCATTTTGATTGGAAACCAATGAAAACATTTTTTTCTCTTTTTACGCGAAAAGTAAACTTCAAACCCATTTCTAGAAAAATCTCACGTTAGTAAAATATTTTGGATTTGTATTTTGAAAGAAAAAGGTCTGGTTAGTTTTACCCTTGGATTTACATATTTTTGCAGATCCAAATCCAGGAATTTATCGCGGATCTAACGGATTTAAGTTCTAATTTGGCAATCCAATTCTCAATCAAAAATGTTAAAAACCTCAAAAACTATGATCTCAGTGAAGAAAATTACAACTCTGCTCATGAAATAATTACAATATTTATGTGATGTCTTGTTATATTTATACCTAAATGTTAATATTACAAAATAAAAAATGAAAATCACTTTTTGTACTATTCAATTTTGTTCTTGGTTTTATCCTCAACCCATCTCTTCATCCTCCTCCCCGGGTATCTGGCTGTCCTCTACTTTTCTTGAGGACGGGATATAGGTTTTAAAAGAGTAATCTTGACGCTGAAAAGATCCTGAAAAATCAAAGTTTGAATCCAACATCATTAAAACACATTTAAGTGTAAATTAGTTTACAGAGCTGAAAACTTTAGAATTGTGGAAATTGTAATCCAGGCTTAACCTCATCATCAATCTTTGTTTGCATACAGAAAAGTGTAAACAATTGAACAAATCGTCAGAGCTGAAAACTTCAGAATTCTGACCAAGGTTTGATCTCATCGTCAATCTTTGTTTGTATACAGAAAAGTGTATAAAATTCAACAAATCTACAGAGCTAAAAACTTTAGAATTGTGATCAAGGCCTGATCTCATCGTCAATATTTGTTGTATACAGAGAAGTATATAAAATTCAACAAATCTACAGAGCTGAAAACTTTAGAATTGTGGAAATTGTGATCAAGGTTTGATCTCATCGTCAATCTTTGTTGTATACAGAGAAGTGTAAAAAAAATCATCAAATCAGACCTCTATTAGCAGTTGAGAAAATTTGAAAAATTTTGCCCGCAATCAGTGAGAAAACTCTTAATGGTAGTTACAAAATAGTGTTCTCCAAAAAGAGAAATAAACAGCGGATTAAGGCTTAAGCAGAAATCAAAAGTGTCCACATTGGATATTTAGATAAAGCGATTGGGATTAAAGGTATCTAATTCTAAAGGTTCAGCTCAAATTTCACAGTAGCCATCAGTACAACGTGTATTTGGATTTGTCGACATAAGAAAGTGTTCAAAGGTCCAAAAGTACAAGGATCTAATTTGTGCCACAAACTTGAATTTTTCTATCTTTGCAACCTGATGATGTAAACCTTTGACATTTCGATGTATTTCATCGAACAGACTTCATCGTTTTAAATATCAAAGGTCTACGATATTGGGTTGGGAAGATATAGGGATTAGAGAGCTCGTGGGAGAAACTCCTTAGAGTCCTATTGCCATATTACAGCTCCTATAAAGCTAGAAGAGGATTTGTAGATTTACAACAAATAGGTACAATCATGTTAGGTACTTTCCCAAAGGATTTTTCCCAAGTGGCAACTTCCTAATTATGCAATTTCCCAAACGGCAACTTCCCAAGTCTGTCCTAGTCGCAGCGCTTACCCCTCCTATTACAACCTGCGGCGCCTCTGAGGGCCTAACCTAACTCTTGGGTTGGGAAGTTGCCCCTTGGGAAATTGTCATTTGTGAAGTCGCCCTTGGGAAAAACCTTTGGGAAAATACCGGTACAATTATTCAAACTAATTCCTTACCTGGGTTTATAACTTTACATTCTAAATGCTCTGCAGTAAAGGGTTCAAACTTATCCGCGATCACCACTAGGTCAGGTAGTGGATACAAGTACAAAGATCTAGATATAGGGGAATGTTGGGAATCAAGCATGTATCTTTTAAAATTATGGGTCAATTAAAAGTAGAACGAGTGTCCCTTGAAAGAAAATCTTTATAATATAAAATACTATGCTTTTACGCACCCATCTTCTATTTAAATTGTGAACATTTTCTCTTTGTATATATTGTAAAACAAACTAAAAAAATTCGCGGATTTTATAAAAATTAAATTTCGTCTATTTTGAAGATTTTCAAAAATTGAATTTTGTTAGAGGCAAATTTTCAAAAATTCGATCATATATAAACCTTCTCTGGGGTCCCGTGAGGTCCCACAAAATTTGTTGGCAAAATCGGTTCAGCCGTTTTGAGGTTTGTTAGATACAAACAAACAAAAAACACCCAGACAGTCAAGCAATATATATATATATATATATATATGAAATATTAACATAAATAGTAAAGAAATGAACCTGTCGAAGTCCCAGTATACTGGTGCTGTGTTGAGGGGGAGTGGAGCTAGGTGTCCCTGACAAGCTATAGTTTGAGCGAAATGTGTCGGAATATCTCCACTTTCAGGGAAATAGATTGCGTTCCGGCACATCTTTGTCACTATGTCTTCCCTAGGAAAATTCAAAGTTATTGATTTAAACATAGTTATACAGTGATAACCAGAAAACTGTAGAACAGGATGACGACATTTAAGCAAAAATTAAATGTATTTGATGTTGTCACAAAGCAAATGGTGTTACTAGTAACTTATTAGATCACTTATAAAGGTTTATGGGTCTGTTTACACTGCATCATTACTGTTTCTCATGTTCATCGGACTATTCTAAGTCAAAATATAAATCTTTATAAGTGGTCTTCCTATTCTAGAGATTTCTGGCCCTGGGTCAAAGTTAATAATTCTAAATTATTAAAAATTACATTATACTGAAAGAAGNCCCGGAAATAAAGAAACTTCCCAAGAACGATTCAGTCTGCGTTCTCCGCCCACTTGAAAGAAAAAATGGTTTCGCAAATATCTCTATACTCTCCTGTACACTGTACAGTGTACATAAACTACCTGAATAGTACAATATGCTGTGTACAGTACTGTATCCGGGCCGGGTTGGTTAGAAATCTAGAGGTAGGTACAAGGTTTCTCAGCTCAGCAGTTAGGTGCTGGGGTAGGGGGGATCTAGCAGTTGCAAACATATTCATTATAAAGAAGGTTAAGTGTTTCCCATGAAATACGATTTGATTCGACTTGACTTGAGCATTATTAAGTTTTTTTTTGTCTCCTGATTGTTTGTATCCAATAAACGTCATAACAGCTAGGCCGATTAGACTCAAGTTGTTAGTGGCAACTGACAAGACCAAAGGCAAGGTTTCGGGGAAAAAACCTGGGAAAAAAACACATAAAAAAAGAAGGTAAACTGGTCAAAACTCTTAAAATCAAAATCTTAATATATTCGGGAAACTCTAGTCATCATTATTTGCAATGCAAAAATAACTGGAAAAAAACTGAAAAAAAGAAAAAGATAAAAAAGAAGGTAAAAATGGACAAAACTCTTAAAATCCGAATCTTTGAGATGAATATTTGCGTGCCTAAGAAATATAGTAGAAGAGCTATATTTTTTTTAAGGGAGTGACCGGCTATGTAAGGTAGTTGAACTGAGTATGCAGTGTTGTGGAAAACTTCTTTCGGATTCATTTGAGACATATTAAACTTTTTAAAGATCTGTAAATCCTGAGTTTGAGTGCAAATTCGACGTTCAAAACTCCTACTTTGGGAGTGGATACGTTTTCAGAATTAGCTTTTTTAAATTGTTAAATAACGACGACATAAAATGTAAAAAAGTTCTACAATAAACTACAGACGTCATGTATAGGAACATGTTGAGAAAATAAAAATTAATCTTATCGAAAATAAGTAATCTTGTTTAATTACTAGTTTCTATTTTCTCATTATTCTGATTTCTCATTATTCACAAAGATTTTCTGCAGATTTTCTAGAATTATTATTGAAAAGACGGCATTTGAAGAATTTAAAAAATCTGCGAATAAATTCAGAGAAAATAAGAAATTCAATATAATAATGAAAACGAAATAATCGATTTTAGCATTGATTTATTGACAAATTTCTTTTGAAAATATGTTCCTAACCATCTAATTAAATTACTGTATAGTTTTTACTTTATTTTTTCGTTCAACTACCTTACATAGCCGGTCACTCCCTTTAATGCAAAAAAATGAAAAAACTGGAAAAAGAAAAAGATAGAAAAGGAAGTTAAAATGGTTAAACTCCGAATGATAAAGATGAATGTTTGCGTGCCTAGGAAATATATTAGGAGAACTAGGATCTGAAGGTCCAGGTACAAACAAGAACTGTGATTGTTCAGCTAGGGACGGATGGTAAGAGATCATCTCTCCCAGCAGCTTCAGATGATCCTGAGGAGAAAAGATTTAAAAGGAACTGATTACTCTTCTCATACTCTAATTTTCTCATCCTTATATCTTTAAAAAAGTATCGTAAAGCTTCTTTGTTTCATTTTATCTCCCAACATACAGTCAAATTATCATGCCTTGCGGGCTATGGTAAATTGAGCTCATAAGACTAACTTGAGTCTGCATGGGATTTAGTGAATCAGATCTGGCAAAACTTTTTTTAAGATTTCAAACTATGAATATTGGTAATATTGGGGCAAATTTGCAAATATTTCCCCGTACTCTCGTTTTAGTATCGATCCCTTTAATAACCTCTTTGTACATATCTCTCAGAGTATAAATGAATTGTGATTGATCAGTTTCATAGTTTATTATACACCAGTAATGTTTGTTCATGTTTTGATAAGATCCTTTAGATATTTAACTGTTACAGTTCACGATCTGTCTGAGCAGCTTCCTCTATTACTCTATCTCGTTTAGCTGCTCTCAGAGTCTCTGTTATCCTGGCCGCTCCTACAACCTGGAGCTGCTCCTTGAGTCCATGTAATGATAGCAGTTTTTACGATCTGAACTGCTCCCTGAGTTGTTCCTAGAGGCTCTGCTATGTTAGCCTTAATGTTCGAGCTGCTCCCCAGAGCTATCCCTTGAGTCTCTGCTATGTTAGCCTTACTCACAGTTCGAGCTGCTCCTAAAGCTACCCCTTGAGTCTCTGCTATGTTGGGTGTTCATTCCCAGAGCTATCCCTTGAGTCTCTGCTATGTTAGCCTTACTCACAGTTCGAGCTGCTCCTAAAGCTACCCCTTGAGTCTCTGCTATGTTAGCCTTACTCACAGTTCGAGCTGCTACTAAAGCTACCCCTTGAGTGTCTGCTATGTTAGCCTTACTTACAGTTCGAGCTGCTCCCAGAGCTATCTATCTCTAGAAATCTCTCAACAAGAGCTTCCCATTCACTGCTGATTTATTTGCAACTTCTACTGTAAACCAAACTGCTAATATGGCTGCTCCGGAGTCTCCGCTAATTTGGCTGATCTAAGATGATTCCTATACTGGTCTGGCAACTGGTCTGTGAATTGATGCCTACAAGGAGCAGTGTCTTCTGCATCAAGATCTCTTGTTCCTCAACTATTTTTACAATATATCTGTGAAGAGCTGTCTGTAAAGAGCAGCGTCTCCTGTCCCAGGACCTTCTGGTTCTAATACTGGTTCCACAACAGGTTCGTGAAAAGCTGTTCCACAATGAGTGGCGTCTCCGTACTCAGAATCCTTTGGTTCCGCTAGTGGTTCCACAACAGGTCTATGAAAAGCTGTTACATAATGAGCGGGTGCTCCGTTCTCGGGATCCTGGATTTTCTAGTTCTCTTATGTGTCCTGGATACTTAAGATCTCCAATCACATCATCCAGACAGAACAAACACTAGGCTGAGAGAATATCAGAAATATGAAGACGACATTTAATTTTTTTGAAAATCCACGAAATTCTTTGTTAAATCCGCCAACTTTTATTGTTTTGTTTTACAATCTACATAAAGAGAACATGTTCACAATTAAAATAGAAGATAGACTAGTATTTATATAATCACAAAGAATAACAAGAAACTAATTGCAAGTTAAATGTACATAGTACAAGACAACTATACTGATGGTAATAGTAAACAAAACAGAATTTTGGAAACATTTACGTTAAAAAATTACAAAAATTTGTATTGCAAGGGGTAATAATGTATCTTAATTGTACAAATATGTATCCTCTTGGCTTCAATGAACTTATAGAATGTCGTCTTCTAAATATATTCGAGCCTGGTGTTTGTCCAGTCTGGATTATGTGATGTGTCCTGGATATCCTAGTTCTCCTATGTGTCCTGGATGTCCTAGTTCTCCTATGTGTCCTTGATATCCTAGTTCTCCTATGTTTCCTGCAGATACCCTAGTTCTCCTATGTATCCTGCAACTATTGTTACGACAGATGTGTACAGAGCTACTATGCAATGAGTGGCGTCTCCGTACTCAGGATCATCTGGTTCTGCTGCTGACTCCACAACAGGTCTGTGAAGAGTTGCTCTATAATGAGCGGCGTCTTCGTTCTCAGGATCCTGAAAGTCCTCCCTCTCCTATTTGTCCTGGATATCCTGGAAGTCCTGGTTGCTCTGTATCTCGGGTATCCCTTTCAATAGAACCAACTCGAGAATATGGAGCTTCCGTATGTCCTATAGGTCCTGGATACTCTGTATCTCGGGTATCCTTTTCAATAGAACCAACTCGAGAATATGGAGCTTCCGTATGTCCTAGAGGTCCTGGCTGCTCTGTATCTCGGGTATCCGTTTCAATAGAACCAACTCTAGAATATGGAGCTTCTGTATGTCCTAGAGGACCTGGCTGCTCTGTATCTCGGGGTGTCCCTGTCAATAGAACCAACACGAGAATATGAAGCTTCTGTATGTCCTAGAGGACCTGGCTGCTCTGTATCTGGGGGGGGGGTGTCCCTGTCAATAGAACCAACTCGAGAATATGGAGCTTCTGTATGTCCTAGAGGACCTGGCTGCTCTGTATCTCGGGTGTCCCTGTCAATAGAACCAACTCGAGAATATGGAGCTTTTGCATATAAACACCATAGCTACTCCAAGGCTCAAGTAACTCTGTTCATCGATCCAGCTGGAGAATAAAGACTGGATCCTCTAGCTGCTATGCGTCTCCGGTGGCGCTGGGGAACAAAGAGCGTCCTCTGATATCCTTAGTGATGTTGAGGATTCCAAGGATTTATATTCATGCTGAAGGATGGGAAGGAGACTGGCGTCCTCCTTAGTCCTCTGTTAGTCATGGTAAGATATATCATTCTGAGAGCTGTCCATGAAGTACAAGTCCCCAGGCCTTAGTGGGATAAACGGAGCTAAGCTCTAACGTCTCTTCTGTGTAAGATCCTGGAGTGTACTGCTCCTATTCTCCAGGTTATCTACTCAGCTTAGATTCAGACAAAGGGTTGAGAGGTTTTAGTATCTGGTCAAATTCTAAATATTACAACATGCTTTAAATATTAGAAAATCTAGCTTTACTAAATTATTTATAAAAACATTTCGTCAATAGACAAAGGTTTGCATGAGCCTTTCTTAATTCTTTAGACTTAAAAAGCTAATTTTGTTGTACATTTTATTGTCCTACCTTTAAAGAATTATTATAGACAGTTCCACTGGAAGAATTGTTTAGAAAGTTTCCAAAAAATATAAAAGCAGTTGGAGGCATTTCAGAGTATCCTAAATATACAATTTTAGTTGGAGGGATTTCAGAGTATACTAAATATACAATTGTAGTTGGAGGGATTTCAGAGTATACTAAATATAAAATTGTAGTTGGAGGCATTTCAGAGTAATATACAATTGTAGTTGGAGGGATTTCAGAGTATACTAAACATAAAATTGTAGTTGGAGGGATTTCAGAGTATACTAAATATACAATTGTAGTTTGAGGGATTTCACAGTATTCTAAATATAAAATTGTAGTTGGAGGGATTTCACAGTATACTAAATATACAATTGTAGTTGGAGGGATTTCACAGTAATCTAAATATACAATTGTAGTTGGAGGGATTTCACAGTGTACTAAATATACCATTCTAGTTGGAGGGATTTCAGAGTAAACTAAATATACAATTGTAGTTGGAGGCATTTCAGAGTATACTAAATATTAATGATATGAATATCATTGATATGAATATTGGTGAGATATGAGATATGAATATTAATTATATAAATATTCGTGATGGTGAATATTGGTGATCTGAATATGTGTGATGTGAATATTTGTCATCTGAATATTAGTGATAAGAATATTATTATTATTATTAAAGATTTATTCACACACATTTAATATACATACATATATTATGATAATCTTATGAGGAAAAAAATGTAATAATGGAAATTCTTAAACGAGATGAAATAATCTTGATGTATTCTTTAACGAAGGCCTGCGGCCTTCGTTAAAGAATGCATCAAGATTATTTCATCGAGTTTAAGAATTCCATTATTAAATTTTTATCCTCATAAGATTATTATTATATCATATTTGTGAGGTTCCATGGGCACATACCCAAGAAATCATACTAAAAAATAATTCTGGTGAAATCCGACTATTTCAAGGTGAAATAGTTAACATGATGAAAGGTTACAAATAAGTTTTATGCTCTTGTGCTGACTAACACTGTTTTTTATTTTCTAATGTTAAAATGTTAAAAACCATTTTACAAGTACAAATTGGTTCTTAATTTGAAAGTAATGCATGTGGTGTGATTGTTTCCTTTGTTTAGTTTGTTTGTTTACCAATTTCTAATGAAATTGCTTGTTTTTCAAGTTGATAATACATTTCAATACAGCATGATGAATGTGTCCTGAGTTTTTTTAGATGGGGAGAAGGTATTGTAGTGGGTTGTCTTAATCTACTAAACAAAATCTTGAAATCATTTAAAGAAGAAATCATGTCCTGGATATTAGATCCTAATTCTTCCAAGAAGAGGAGATTAAAGCAGGTTATCTAGTAATCAGTTCGGCATCAACTGATAGAGATCTTTTATTCATGAATCAAGATTTACTATTTTGTTTTCATTGTTATGGAGTAATAAGACCCTATTAAAAGTTTTTGTGACACTAGTATTTCAATGATAAGCTTTTATAAACTAACTTTTTCTGGTTTTGATTGTGGTTTCACTTTATCATCTTGAGGTATGCGAGATATTGTGACTGCTGACTCAGGCTGAGGTACTTTTAAAACTTTAGAATAAAGTAAAAAAAAACAATTAATTGAAATTGTGAAGACATGACAAACCTTTCTATTTTTGAAAAGCTCTGACCGTACTATAATTACAAATATGCAGAGATTTGCAAAATCTCACCAAACTTGGTTTGGAATGAAGAAAAACTAAAATAAAATTAAATAAAGTAGGCAGTCGGGCAGTATGCTTTGAGACTCTGTAGTTTGATGAAAATGTCCAATGGAAGACTTAAAGTTTAAAGATCATGGTTAATTTTTTTTGAAAGGTCAGAAAATGTTAATTAATCACAGGGGGTTCCACTCTTCTGTCAGGACTAAGGTTAAGATTTAAATGGAAATTCCTGAATTGAGATATATCAATACTTCAAAAAACGAAAAAGGTAAGTGAGCATGAAAAGGTAAGTGAGCATGTTTTACTAAACTAAAAAAAAGGTAAGTTTGCATGTTTTAATATTAAAGATAAAGGTAAGTGAGCATGTTATTTTTTAGTGTAAAAAGGTAAGTTTGCATGTATTAATATAAAAGAAAAAGGTGAGTTTGCCCTGTGCATGTTGTCAGTACAAAATAATTAAGTTAATATCAATATTGATTTATTGAAAAGATCAATATAAGGAGCGTGTAAGAATGAATATTCTTCAACAAGTGTAATAATTTCCATTCTTTAATGCTCGGAGCGTGTAAGAATATACATTCTTTCACGCTCTGGCCATGTAATAATTTCCATTCTTACACGGTCTGAGCGTTAAAGAATGAAAATTCTGCCCCTACAGTGTAAGAATAAGCATTCTTAAACGCAAGGAAGCAAACAATAATAAAAGTGTTCCTCCTGAACCGTGTAATAATGGGAATTCTTACACGATAGGTTTACTACTATGGAACCGAACAGATATGATATAATACATATTACATATATTAATGGTATAGTTTAAATTTGTTTTGTTATGAATGATATTAGATGTATTCATTATTCACTCTCATAATCTCAAATTTCATAAACCTGCTATTTTTAAAGAAATCTATAGTGATATGAATATTAGTGAAATGAATATTAGAGATATGACTATTAGTGAAAATAATAATAATAATCGCTGTAAATTCAGAGGTGGGAGACAGGCCTTCTGTACACCCTCAGATATGAATATTAGTGATATGAATATAAGAGATATGACTATTAGTGATATGAATATAAGTAATATAAATATTGGTGATTTGAATATTAGAGATATGACTGTTAGTGATATGAATATAAGTAATATGAATATTGGTGATATGAATATTAGTGAAATGAATTAGTGAATCAAGTTATATGAATGTTATTGATATGAATATTGGTGATATGCATATTTGTGATCTGAATATTGGTGATAAAAATATTAGTGATATCAAAATTTGTTATATGAATGTTATTGATTTGAATATTATTGACTGAAATATTAGTTATAGGAATATTAGTGACATCATATGAATATTGGTGATGTAAAATATTTGTGATATAAACGCCGTACCTGCGAATAGTTTGCGGAGTCTCGCCTGGACTTCCGGTTCGTCCAGCCAGACGTCAGACAAGAAAACAAACATGGCGTCAGTATTGTTCTGCTCAGCTAGAGACAGCTTCTCACTAGGCCAACACGTAAATAAAAGATCTATTCAAATATTTCAGACAAAACTAACAAATTAAATTGATTTCATAAACATTCACATTGGACCAATTCCAAATAATTTTTTTCTTAAATTCAGTAGTATTGAAAAAAAAAATATTTTTCTTTTCTAAAATATATTTTTTTTTAATGGCGGGAGCACAAGTCTTTAAATATCCATGTTCCCTGATTTTCACGGTAGTCTCAGCTGGGCCTCCGAAGAAGTTGGTGCTACCAAAATGTCCCCTGGTGGTGGAACTTGCCTCAGCAGGAGGAAACCCTGACACAATCATCATCTCATGACATGATAAAAACTTCACGAGAAATTTATAATATATAGATAAAGTTGTCTTTTAGAAAATTTCATCTTAAACTGAATTGAATACTATTACTAAAAGTAAATAGTGACTGGTGGACAGAACTGGTTTAAACAATACATCCCAATCAACACTGATATGATCGGCAGCTCCCGGCTCACAGCTGGCTCATCAAAATCCAAAAACTTAATATCATTACTTTTTATTTCCAGACTCTTTTCTGATACATTTCAAACATGATCATCCTAGGTTTGATGAGTCTCAAACTTCGATTGGAGTGAAAAATAAAAATAATTCAAATTTAAAAATATTAAAAAAAACAAAAGACGAAAATTTCAAAGTGAGCTAGTGCTTGTACATTAAAACCGAATAAACGATTGAATTTGCTTAGATAGTTGTGATGAAATTTGCCTAGAGCGATGACATGAAAAACCTCGTCATCGTACCATCCCTCGGCCAGAACGAAACAGTTCTCGGTGAAGAGCCCGGTGTGGAACTTGGTCTTGCTGAGGTCAAGCTTAACCACGCCGGTCGGATCCTCTAGGTAGTAACTACCGTAGGTGATCTAAATATTAGTATTTACTCGTACTCGTACAATATATAATATACTTTGCTTGTCTGTCAGTCTGTTTATTAGTATCTTTGAAACGTCAAAACGGATGAACTGATCGGGTCCAAATTTTGTATGTCAACTCACATGACCCCAAGAAAATTTTATAGACCGTCAAAGTTGATCCAATTTGCCCTAAAAAAATGTCGAAAATCGTTATTCTTGTAAATGCACAAAAAAAACCGCCAAAACTGAATGATTAAAAATGACCACTTCAGAGCAACAGCTAAAAGCTAAAATATAGAAAGATATCCCAAAATATTCTTTTTGGTTCAATGTTCTTTATCAATTATATATTTTTGGTTTTTAACAGTTAATTTACAACATTTAAGTTAATAGTGGAGAAAAAAGACAAAAAACGTGTTATATATTTTCTTCCAATTAAAATGTATACAAGAATATTATGTTTACATTTTGTACTTTTTTAAAGGTAATTTTGCTTTACTTATGTGTTTATATGACAGCCTTTTGAAAATCTTTATCTGCAAAGATAATAATGGGATAAAAAGCAAAAAGGAAATGATACGATTTAGATAAAACCTGTTTTGAGAAGGCCTTATATTGCTCTACATGAAACAATTGTCCGCTTTCATTAATATTTAAAAACGCTACCCCAGTTAAAGAACAAATGTACAATTGTGGACAAATGTACATTGTAAACTTTAACATAACAGCTCCTAACAAGAACTAGTTCCTCGATCCTACCTGTGTAAGCATACCAAGAACAATAATATCATCCATCCTGTTTGTAGTTCCTAACAAGAACTAGTTCCTCGATCCTACCTGTGTAAGCATACCAAGAACAATAATATCATCCATCCTGTTTGTAGTTCCTAACAAGAACTCAACAGGTTTCAGCTTGTATTTCTTCTCAGATCCTGTAGAACCTGAAAACAATCAATCAATCAAATGCTCAACAATTGATCACAACTCGAAAAGGGACTGTACGTGTAATTTCAAGTGACCCTCCATGCAAAGATAACAATGCCCGATTTACAACGGTACCCTTAAAACTTTGTCTGATCAAGTATAAATTAGATATCCATGGTTTTTTTTCTTTAAACTGTTTATTTTCGTTTGAGGTTTTTCTGCGAAAGTGACTTGCGAAAATTTCTTGTTTATAATAAGAAATGGAGAAACACTTTTCGTGTAAAAAAACGGAGATTATCTTCAACATTTTTCATCAGATTTAGGTTTGATGAGAACCGTTGTTAATCAGGTATTGCCATCTTTGCGTGGAGGGTCACTTGAAATTACGTTTACAGTCCTTTTAATGAATGCAAGAGGAGATTTTATTAAGAATTTATACGAAAAAACGTAATGAAAGAAAATATAATTAAAAAGAAATTATTTTTCTTTAATATTTTTAATCTTATTTTACCTGTTCCGGAGAAAAGATCGTGGCGAGCAGTTCTCTGAGAAACCATAACAAACCTGAACAGGATAATTAAATATTTCATTTTAAAACCTAGTGTTATAGTATATTCAGTTTTTACAGGGGTATCCAATATCCACTTTAACATCTTATTGTTGAATTAAATCGTATGCAATATGCATCCGAGTTTTTTTATAAATAATAATTGATGTTTTACTATCTGGAAATTGATAACTTTATATCAAGGTTTCTCTCAAGTGATTTGAAGATTTATGCAGCCGAGCCAAACAGTTACAATAATTTAGCATCATGGAGAATCTGGCATTCCACTCCATACATGGAGGGTTAAGTGAAAATGTATTTTCAGTCCTTTTAATGTTAAATATGATTACCTGTCGTGATAAATATTGTTTTTCTCGGCTGCTGGGGGCAGAAGAAGTGGCTTATGTCTACCCATCATGTCATCCTTAACAGTTTAAAGTTTTATATATTATTATGTCTACCCATCATGTCATCCTGAACAGTTTAAAGTTTAATATATCATTATGTCTGTCTACCCATCATGTCATCCTTAACAGTTTAAAGTTAAATATATTATTATGTCTACCCATCATGTCATCCTTAACAGTTTAAAGTTTAATATATTATTATCATGAATGAGAACCACGCTTTCAATGAGGAAGGGGTCGGTCTCCAATGAATATTAGATACTGTTTTTTAAAAATATTTTTTTTTGTTTGTAAAAATCAATCCTACCCATTCGCAATCATCTATTTTCCTGATATGCTATTAAGCGATGTGCGAAGCGCATTTGTAGTTTTTTTATATTCGGATATTATTATCGGATTATCGGATATTATATTTTTTATATTGATCACAGTTCTAATATTTGACAAAAAAAAAGTCGGGTCTGCTCGAATAAAGTTAAAGGGACTATAAGCGGAATTTCAAGTGATCCTTCATGCAAAGGCGAAAAGGCCGATCTATAACGAATATGGTTTCCTGCAGTGGAAATGCGCAAGACAATTTTTGTATAGAAACCCAATCGAAAATTACAGGGTGGCCAAAACTTTTTTGAAAAAATCCGTACAAAAATCCGTACATTTTCAGAGAACAAGAGAACAAGAGAACTTAGAACTTAGAACTAGAGAACTAGAGAACTAGAGAACTAGAGAACTAGAGAGCTAGAGAACTAGAGAACTAGAGAACTAGAGAACTAGAGAACTAGAGAACTAGAGAACTAGAGAACTAGAGAAAAGAGAACCAGAGAACTAGAGAACCAGAGAACCAGAGAACTAGAGAACTAATGAACTAGATAATAGAGAACTAGAGAACTAGAGAACCAGAAAACCAGAGAATCAGAGAACCAGTGAACCTGAGAACCAGAGAACCAGAGAACTAGAGAACCAGAGAACCAGAGAACCGGAGAACCAGAGAACCAGAGAACTAGAGAACTAAAGAGCGTTGATTCTAATTTTTAAAACTGTTTAGATCAATGTGTAGGCCATTTAACAACCAAACAATTAAGTTATAATTAGAAAGAGTGGAGTGTAGATTTAGGATCTAATATAATTAAAAATAGCGTGGTACAGGGGTTGCAAACTCAATTAAAAGAAAGTTAATATTAGAAAAAAATGAAAAGATTTACAGATAAACGGAAGAAACCTGAGAGGATGTTCTCAGATCTGATAAAGAGACAGATAGATAGATAGATAGATAAACAGATAGATAGACAGAGAAACAGATAGACACATACACATATAGATAAACAGAGAGACAGATAGGATATATAAACAGATAAATAAAAAGATAGATAAACTGACATGCAGATAGATATACAGATGGATAGACAGATAGCTAGATAGATAGCTAGACATATAGCTAGACAGAGAGCTAGACAGATAGATAAACAGATAGATAGACAGATAGCTAAACAGATAGCACATTCTCAAATGAACACTTATGGAACATATTCTCAAATGAACACTTCTGGGATCTCGAAAATTATGAATGAATTTTGATTGTCAATTGAAACGTTAATCAATCTAATATTATTTAGAATGCAGAAAATAAGTTAAACTAACTTCATTTTGACGAGATTTTTTTTTGAAATTTTCATGAAAAACTTGCTGAAAAGAGTGAAAATTAAAAAAACCGGTGTATTTCCAGGATAAAAATCCGTACAATCCGTACAATTTGAAAAAAATCCGTACAATCCGTACAATTTGAACAAAAAATCCGTACAATCCGTACAATTTGAAAAAAAATCCGTACAATCCGTACAATTTTAGGGTTACAAAATAAAAAATCCGTACAATCCGTACATTTTGGCCACCCTGATTAACAAAATTGTAAACATTGATAACTAATTCATACTTAATCATTCAAAGCTTTTAAGAACACCGTTGTGAATCGGAAATTGCCATCTTTGCATGGAGGGTCACTTGAAATTACGCTTTAAATCCCTTTAAGATTGTAGCTTTTGAAACAGTTAACGTTATTTAGCTTAGAGGTTTCATCTCAATGAAAAGTTTCCGGCACTGAGCTGGAAACTATGGTGTTGGATACCCTCATCACAGTCGCTTAATCTCGATATTCACTGTGGACCCTTATAATTTTCTATTTAATTTATTCTTTTGGATATCCATAATGGGTTCCGACCAATGAGAGTTCTCCCATTGGTTTCCTGGCTTCTAATTGGCTGTTCGGTTTCTGAAAACGACAACTGAATCAGTTGAACTGATTGGTTGAATTTTTGACACTTTTCTAGCTGGATATTAAATAAAGATTAAATTAATCTGCAGATTGACACAAATAGAAGATCAAACATTGATCTCGATATCGACAATACAAGAGTTACCAGCTATGATCCTAGATAGATTATCTCTAATACAAAGCCTACCTTGAGATATTTCTTCCTCTCAGCAGAGAACGTATATCTGGGAACCTCGAACCCACTAAAACATGGTTTATCAAAAATATTTAAAAGGATTATAGTTGTTACCATTATTAGTAATATAAGTAATAAGAGTAATATGAGATGAGATCTACAAAAAGCCCCATCTTGGATAACCCAGACCGCTTACTTACTGAAGTGCTCGGAGTTGCCCGTGAAATTTTTAAAACACTGGACATTATTTTCTCCAGAAAATTTGGAATTTTATAAATAAAGAAGTTTCGGTCTTTTTGCCTTTGCTTTCTCCAAAAATGTCAGCAAATTGGTCCTGGATCCGGATCCGCATTAAAATGGATCCTAACCACTGCACTGGCTAGAAAACATATCCCATTCAACACTGCTCCTAGCTTTTCATGACTGGCTCATGGCTATTTTAAGTATTAAGTAACAAAAGAGGAATCTGTAAAGGACCCTTTAATGGACTCAATGGACCCCCAGACTGCCGTAAGGTGAGAGGGTCATAACTCAAGATGCCATAAAAACCATGAAAAAATAAAATGTTTGACCTGATAATATTAAAAGTATCCGTATTCTCATCTCCTCCTTCTTCTGCTGTGCACTCTGATATAGCCTGATAATATTGGATAAAAGACTAATTTAAGCTCCAAATGAAACGAAATGAAACGAAAAACGAAACGAAAAGAAATGAAATGACACTAATCAAAACCAAATGAAATGAAATGAAACGAAACGAAATGAAATGAAACGAACGAAAATAAATGAAATGGACTGAAATGAAATGAAAATAAATGAAATGACACGAAACGAAACCAAATGAAATAAAAAGAAACGAAACGAAATGAAATGGACTGAAATGAAATGAAACGAAATGAAATAAAATGAAATGAAAGCATAACAGGGATTGTTAACTTAAGGCATTTACTGTAGGGATCAGAGTTTCAATTCTTACCCAAACTCCGGGGTTTTAGCCCGATCTTTATTATAAATTTGTTTTTGGTTTTACTTATAAAAAGTTTTATTTATAAATTGAAATAACGGATCAGAAGAAATGGTTCTCAAACATGGATCTTAAATTGAGGAAAAATTATTGTAATTCATTTAATTGGAATACTGTTTAGCTTTTACTTGATTTACTTAACTAAGACCTTTTTGACATTTTAACTGTTGCTCTGAAAGTCGGCCATTTAAATCATTTTCAAATTTAGGCGGATTTTTCTTTTCGAATTGGCGTATTTAAAAAAATAAGACTATTTTCCAGTAATTTTTTCTTAAAATTTTGATGTTCCATAAACATTCCATTGGGCCATGTGATATCCCACAGAAAATTTGGGCCCTACCAATTTACCAGTTTTGACTTATTTTGTTTACAAACAAACAAACAGACAAGCAAAGTATATTTATTGATTTGAACCCAGTACAAATAAAATTCTTGGATAAATTTTTGGACCCCAGCGAAACTTATGTTTAGATCTGAATCTAAAACACCAATATCCATTCTATTAAGGAGAAGGTATTTTCATAATTATAATTGATATTACCATTATAAATATTTTCCGCCAGAAATGTATCACTGAATCTTTTTTCTTTCCCAAGAAACGTATTTTCGGAGAAAACTTAAGATATTACAAGGAGTACAATTTAAATTTGTAATATTTGAAGTCACAGAAAAAGTTTAACCTTCCGGTGGTATTTTTGAGATATTTATATTTACCTGTTCCATAATCTTAATATCAATAACAGCTGTTTTCAGTTTCTGCTTTTCCACTTGACTTAGAATTCTAAAAAGTAAAATATATGTACAGTACAGTGCAGTACAGCTGGTAAAGTACAGTACTTCTGAGTTTTTTTTTTTAAGTAGAAAAAAATTTACAAAGTAACATTGTTATAGGAGTAAAGTAAAAAAAATAGTGCAACATTGAAATGCAAAATTTTAAACGTTTATGAAATGTCAAGTTCCAATGACCGAAAGTGGGTCTAAGTAGAGATTTATTTTGTCATATGTAAAATTAGGCCTAAGCACTATGGCAGTTGGGATCAAAGCCCAGATTTTAGTCCCAAATGAGGAACGTGTGTTTCTAGGAAGAGTAACAGCCTCAGACCAATAACTTTTAAGATATGCCCAAACATAGTTGGGAAGTGGTTTAAGAAACATGTTGGTAACTCCCAGAATACCGAGAATATTAACTTACTTATCAATCCATCCGTTCCTCTCAACATCCTTAACTGGGGCTAGCAGACCGGTCAAATAAACAGCTGCTTCCTGGCTCAGCTGTAATCCATTCAGCTTAAACAGCGTCTGTACACGCTGCTTTATCTGCTTGGACATCTTGTTTTCTGAAAATGCGACTGTCTTGTAAAACTATCTTGTAGTTAAAATGTAGTAAAAAATAAGAATTATATTAATCTCTATGAGTAAAATTGGAAAGTTTAGTTCGAGAAAGACCATTAAAAGATAACACTGAGTCATTTGCGATTAAAACATAAATGAAAATTAAAAATCATGTTTCTCATAAAAATGTTTGTTTTCATTTAAAAACCGGTTAAGGTTAGATATGCTCTCACTGGCTGTAGAGATACTTCTGAATCTCGAACTGAAGAGATTTTGAGATGGTTCTGATAAACTCCAGGGTCACATTACACTTGTATTTAGGCTGGTCCATCTGATCTGTACCTGGATAACAGATCATTTAAAATAATCCAAAAAATCGTAATTATAAAGATTTTTATAACTTAGAAAAAAATTCATTTTGAGTTGTAAAAATGTTGCTAATTTGGCCAGAAATATTTTATTTCAACATAAAAAAATGTTAGGATGCTTTTTTCTTCTCAAAATGTGCCCTTACTCTAGGTCTTTACTTTCGTCCTTCAAAAGGTTTAAAACCTTTTCAGAAATGTAAAAAAATAAACCGACATTTAATTTCTATCGGCTTAAATCATCGATCTCTCTTATTGGTCAAGTCCTCAACTGTTGACCAATGAGAGAAAAGAATTTTTTTTTCTGATCCGATTAAAATTGGTTCAGCCTGTTCAAAAGTTCCAAGCTCCAATTTAAAGAAGAAAATTATAAATAAAGGGGTAATGCGAATATATTCTTATTATATTTAAAATTCGGTAATGGTGATGGACCAAACCTCTGTAGAGTAAAAAAAGTAGATGTTAGTTCCACATTTATTGAAAATATATTTCGGTCTGGGTTATCATAAACCTACCAACAGCTGTGATAAGCTGTAGTCGAACAAGACTGGAGATTTGAGTGTAGATATTAGCTGTTGGATTCACCCGTTCCTAAATAATAGAAATATTTCAGCATTTACCTTCAGAACTTTTGTGTTGTGAACCTTGAGATATACATTGATCTTGGGATCAAGCTTTTATCTTGGGATCAAGCATTGATCTTGGGATCAAGCATTGATCTTGGGATCAAGCATTGATCTTGGGATCAACCTTTGATTTTAGGATCAAGCTGTGATCTAGGGATCAAGCTTTGATCTTGGGATCAAGCTTTGATCTTTGGATCAAGCATTGATCTTTGGATCAAGCATTGATCTTGGGATCAAGCATTGATCTTGGGATCAAGCTTTTATCTTGGGATCAAGCATTGATCTTGGAATCAAGCTTTTATCTTGGGATCAAGCATTGATCTTGGGATCAAGCTTTTATCTTGGGATCAAGCATTGGATATCGAGATCAAGATCAAGGTTAACAATGTCCACACTGAAGTTCCGAACTCTGGAAAAATGTTATGGAAGTTCAAAACAGTCTTTTATATTTACGTTAAAAGAAGAACCTGAACTCACATAAACAAATTGCTGCTCATAATAATAAAAAAACAGTCAACCATCATTCCGTGGAAATCAAGGCCGAGGCCCCTAAAGAAAACTCCACATCTAAGCCAAAAAATACTTCACACTGAATGATAAGAAAAAGACGTATTCTAATCCCTGCCACTACTCCAATGGGAACTGTTCAGGGCAGGTGAACTTGTCTCAATAACATTGTAAAAAATAGCGAGCATACGCTCCAAGGGAAACTGTTTAGAGCGGTTTAACTTACCTCAATAACATTGTAGAATATAGCGAGCATACGCTCCAAGGGAAATTGTTTAGAGCTGTTTAATTTACCTCAATAACATTGTAGAATATAGCGAGCATACGCTCCAAGGGAAACTGTTTAGAGCTGTTTAATTTACCTCAATAACATTGTAGAATATAGCGAGCATACGCTCCAATGGGAACTGTTTAGGACCGGTCAACTGGCTATTAAACTTTTCCTTAGCTTTTATCTAAATTAAAAAAAATTTGAAAAAAGAAACATAAAAAATAATTCTATTTCGAAAATTTACATTATTTTAAATTTAAAAATATCATAAAATAAATTTAAAAACCTTGAAATCAATAATTCCCAATAGGACCTAACATTTTATATTCTCCTACAAACTTCAACGTCTCCGCCGCAAAAAAATATTAAAACCCGTATAAAGTTTTTTAGCACTGTAAATACCTAGACAGATTATTCGGAAAAATATCTTCATTTCTAGGTGTATAAACCTACCGACTGTGATGTTTTCCTTTGTTTTCCATGATGTTTGACAAAGAACCGTTTATCCGTCTTGGCGGGGTTGTAAGAGGCGAGGTAGGCGGAGATCAAGAGGAACTTGCTGTAGAACGGTAGCTCCACACTCAGCCGGGTGGGATTTAAGGCTATTACTCCACCAACACCTTCAATCAACCAATCAATCAATCAATGAAGCAATTAATCAATCAATCTTGAAATCAGGACTAGCTGTAAAACCAACCATTTAATTATACAATAACCATTTAACCATCTGTCCATCAATCAATAATCCATCCAACCAACCATCCAACCATCNACCAACCAACCAACCAACCAACCAACCAACCAACCAACCAACCAACCAACCAACCAACCAACCAACCAACCAACCAACCAACCAACCAACCAACCAACCAACCAACCAACCAACCAACCAACCAACCAACCAACCAACCAACCAACCAACCAACCAACCAACCAACCAATCATCCAACCAACCAACCAACCAACCAACCAACCAACCTGTATCCTGCTCCTCTTGTTCTTCCTTCTGTTTCTGTAGTTCCCGAAGTTGTTGACTTGAAACTTCACGAAGATGAACAACGGACAGACATTTCTTTAAATCCTGAATGGCAAATTCAGTTCTTGAACTCAAAATGAAATGATTCATAAAGATAGCAATTCAAATTTTCACGCAGTTTCTGAGCTGAAAACTCATTTATTGGATAGTATCTTTGTATCCACTGTCAACACTTTCAATTTTATGCTTAATCCTCTCTTTTGGATTTCCCTGCTGGGGTCGGACCAATAAGAGTTCTCTCATTGATTGCGCGCCAAAATTTTAATATTTATCGGTTTCTTATTGGCTGTTCGGCTTCTTTAATCGACCATCTAATTGGTAGCATTTTGGATCTGATTAGTGCTTAGGATCAGTTTAATTTTGATCCAGATCCTGAGATCCGGATCCTAGATCCCCACTGGAAAAAAATGAATCCGAATCCAGGTTATTTATTTAAAATTTACTGAATTTTATTAACGAAGAATTTTAAATTTTTCTGTCCTATTTTTTTGGCATTTTAATGCTTAAAGTTGATGAACCGTTCAGAAATCAGGAAATTTTTATAATCTCTCTTTTTCAATAGTTTAGATTTGTGTTTTGAGAGTAAACATTTTTTTGCCGTTTTTGGTTGTTATTTTGCCCCTTGGATTCAGATCCGTGGATCCGCATATTTTCGCGGATCCGGATCCAGGAATCTAAAATCTTGCTGTTCCAAAGGATCCGGATCCTAAGCAATGATTTTACCTTGTCGATATTGAACCATAATTTCTTAGTATCAGTTTCCTTGCATTCTCCTGAGTCGACCGGTCTGCAGTATTCGCTGTAGTGTAGTCCAGCAATATGGGAGAGCTCAGTAAACGATCTAAAAGAGAGCTCAGTAAACGATCTAAAATATTGCAACAAGAGTTAAAAATTAATTCAGTTCTAATGAAGAAATATTAAAATATTGAAACAAGAGTTAAAGATATAATTAAGTTCTGATGAAGAAATATTAAAAATATTGAAACAAAAGTTAAAGATATAATTAAGTTCTGATGAAGAAATATTAAAATATTGTAACAAAAGTTAAAGATATAATTAAGTTCTGATGAAGAAATATTAAAATATTTGGTACACACGAGTAAAGCAGTTTGTGGGAGGAAACATTGCTGGGAGGAATAACGTTCAGCAATGGGCGGGTCACTTTTGTAGAGAAAGCACAATTGAAAATAATGAATTATAAAAGAAATAAACATGATAAAATCCTTGATCAGACAAAACTTTTGAGGGTATTGTTGAAAATGAAAAATGCCAGTCTCTTTTTTAAATCCTCTTCCCCCTTTCACAAGAGGGAGGGGGTGCAGTAGCGCCATGATCCCCGCAAAATGACCTCCGAGCCTCCAGATTTGCAGAATGACCACCAGGCCCCGGGAAAATGTTTCCCAGCCACAGTGACATCATGGAGGCCGGGAGACAGTTTCGTGGGGCCTGGAGGTCATTATGCAAATCTGGAGGCTCGGAGATCATTTTGCGGGGATCATGGCGCCTATGCTCCCCCTCCCTCATCACCATCGGACCTCATTTGCAAAATAATTTTTAATTTTCACAAAAATTTAGCATTTTGGTGAAATTTAGCATTTTGGTCAACGATTTGTGTGTGGGGGGAAAGGGTAAGAAGTTTTTGTTAAGGTTTGTCCTTTCAGGTCCTGGATAAAGCAATTTGTTTATAACTAACCTTGCAACCATAAAGAATATAGATTGGACCAGGGATATAAAGTCTCTCTTAAACTCCCAACTTTTCTCCCCGGGAAGCTGGGATATTAAAAGTTCCGTCATCTCACCCTTTTTGTACTGAAAAAGGAGCAAAGTAGTTTTTGGAAATATATCTTTATTGAACTTTTTATTTTTTAAAATAAGTATTATTTTTCATATTCTTCTTTTTTGCTAAATGCACTGGCTAAATAAGAATAATAAAGATAATAATCATAAAAAATTTAAACAATTCATGACAATAAATAAAAATGTTACCTGAGGAAAATGAATAATGTATGGGTAGGGTAGTCCTCTATTTGGGAGAAACCGTGTCCAATCTATTCTATTTAATGTACCCTGTAAACTTTTAAAGCAAAAAAATACCCCTAGGTTTTTTGGAAATGGCAAATGTATGGAAAATAATAATAAAAATGTGTAGACGGACACTCAAAAACTAAATACCACATACTGCTGTCTCACTTTTATCTCCAAAAATAAAAAATAAAAATTCCACACACCNCCCCCCCCTCCCATCAAAAGGCTGCATTAAAGAAGACTGTACAATTATTTAGCACATAAGAATAATAAAAAAATCTTATTTTTTTAAAAAAGTAGTAATTGAATGTAGTTGACAATGGCTTTAAGGGTTGATTACAGCACACCTTGAAACAAAACCCCTAATTTTAATTTTGAATGTTGTTGTACAGTTAGTAGATTCCTTGATTCGAAGATACAACAAATATTTAGTCCAGTTAACTCCTGTAGTCTACAGAATACTAAACAATAACAAATATTTAAACCAGTTAACTCCTGGAGTCTACAGAATATTAAACAATAACAAATATTTAAACCAGTTAACTCCTGTAGTCTACAGAATACTAAACAATAACAAATATTTTAACCAGTTAACTCCTGTAGTCTACAGAATACTAAACAATAACAAATATTTAGTCCATTTAACTCCTGTAGTCTACAGAATACTAAACAATAACAAATATTTAGACCAGTTAACTCCTGGAGTCTACAGAATACTAAACAATAGCAAATATTTAAACCAGTTAACTCCTGTAGTCTACAGAATACTAAACAATAACAAATATTTAGACCAGTTAACTCCTGGAGTCTACAGAATACTAAACAATAGCAAATATTTAAACCAGTTAACTCCTGTAGTCTACAGAATACTAAACATTAACAAATATTTAAACCAGTTAACTCTGTAGTCTACAGAATACTAAAAAATAACAAATATTTAAACCAGTTAACTCCTGGAGTCTACAGTATACTAAACAATAAAAAATATTTAAACCAGTTAACCCCTGGAGTTTACAGTATACTAAACATTAACAAATATTTAAACCAGTTAACTCCTGGAGTCTACAGAATACTAAACATTAAAAAATATTTAAACCAGTTAACTCCTGTAGCCTACAGAATACTAAACAATAACAATACAAGTTATTGTTATTATATTAGGAACGTCTTAATATTACAATTCTTAACTGAAATTACTAAACTGTATCGTTAAATTAGAACGCTTGATCTCAATATAAAATTTGGGCATTTATAAATTTTAGAATTAAAGCTTCATCTATTTATTTTAGTTATCCCTCCAGGGTATGACCAACTGCAATGAATATCGAAAAGAAATCAAATTAATCCCTAGGTTTACACAAGATGAAGATTAAGGCTTGATCCAGAAATTAACAACACTGAAGTACTGGCTTTAGTACTTCAGTCATGATTATACACTACAATTTAGAACAATAAGAAAAAAAAGAAAACCGACGAATAGCATTGAAAATAACAGTATAAAAGACACTAACACTAATAAAACCAATGACAGAGAAAAATAACGTTAAAATAAAACACACAAAGAAAACCAGAATTGAATAAGAATTAGTAAAAAACAATTTAAATTAAAAAATAAGTTAAGTAAAACACAATCTCTAAGCTATGCAAGTCCTTTATCAAAATTAAAATAACATTAAAAATTACATTTCCGAAGAAAATGTGGAAACAATTTTTTATTTTAGTTGTTACCGTGTTTTAAATGTGAGTCCGCGTCCCGAAACCTTTCTGATTCTTCAAACAATATCACGTAAACCTGAATAATTACAACTTTTTATTAATAATAATAATAAAAATTCCGAATTTTTTTGTAATTAACGGGATAAACCAAGGTACTAATGTAAGGAAAGTTATTTCTGAGGTATAAGCATTTTTTGTACTACAGAGTACTTCTTTGAGCGGAAAAGTAAACACATAACGGATGTCACAGTCTAACATGGAGTCAATTTTCACAAAAATAATCTATGAAATATTCTAGTCATAGGAAACTATTATGTAAATTTTCAAAATTATCAAAATTAAATGCTTTTAACCTCCTCGGGTACTAAACGAACACTGATGCATCTATTCTTGTTTACAAAGTCCGCCCAGAGAGAAATGGTTTTAATATGTACACAGAGTATACGCAACTGCAATTAACTTCACTTGCATTAGTACCTTCGGACAAACCATGTTACATTTAATTATGTTTATCCTTAAATAAGTTCTGAAAGGTACGGACATTTTTTTTCAATATTTTGTTAGAGCCTACGATTAAAACCTTTAGATCAAAATCAAAGAAGAACATTACATTATTTGATAAGCATTTCAGGCAGTGCTTAGAATCTATTGTATTTTGATCCGGATTTTTCTCTTCCTTTTTTACGCCTTTTTTATGCTAAAACTTATGAACCATTCAGAGATTAGGAAATTTCTAATAATTTCTCATTGTTCAATCGTTGAGATTTGTGTTTTGATGGCAAAAAGGTTTTGGTTGATATTTTGCCCCTTGGATCTGGATCCGGAACCAGGAAACCAAAATGTTATATCTTGATAAAAATACATATTAAAGTTTAAAAAATTGAATTGTAAATCGTCAATGTCGACGGTAAAATTTGACAGTGAAAGCGTAAGTAAAATTCTAATATAATTTGGTTCACTAAAACTAATTATATCTGATCTAACCTGTTTAGGGTTTAGCTCCTGACCAAGAATTGAAATAAAACTATTTATATCTGATGCAACCTGTTTAGGGTTTAGCTCCTGACCAAGAATTGAAATAAAACTAATTGTATCTGATCCAACCTGTTTAGGGTTTAGCTCCTGACCAAGAATCGAAAAAAAACTAATTATATCTGATCTAACCTGTTTAGGGTTTAGCTCCTGACCAAGAATCGAAATAAAACTAATTACCCGGGTGGACCAAGGTCGCAAATTTTAGAGACTATTTGTGACTAGTAGTCAGTATTATTTAGGCGCCTTGAGACACTTATCATTCATCAAGAGGATCTCGACTAAATACAACTGAAAAGCCCATTTTTAGGCAGTGCTCAGAACGGAAAAGGTGTGGGGTTACAAGTTCAATATCCCGACAGGGGGTCTCGCTATATTTGTCCGTATGTGTGTGTCTGTGTGCCCAGCTGTGGCATTTACAGCTACCATGGAAGGCAGCTGGGGCAGCTGGCAATGCGTCCAACCCTGCCTAATCTAAGCAACTAGGCCCGCCTAATTAGGCAACTAAAAATAGGATTGCCCGCCTAATTAGGCAACTAAAAATAGGATTACCCGCCTAATAAAGCAACAAAAAATAGGATTGCCCGCCTAATTAGGCAACTAAAAATAGGACTAAATATGAGCCTAAAATATTGTTTATAAGCTCTCTCAGGTCAGGGGCGTTCACAGGGTCAGTGTACAGGGTACCCCCCAACCATAAAAATCCTGTCTATGCTCAGATTAAAAAAGTAACTTAATCACCCTCTGAACAGACCATGTGTCTCAATTCTCATCATCATGGCTGAGTAAGATTTCAAGTTTCAGACAGGAAACTTGTCAATCATGCTACAGAAATAATCCTGTGAAGTATATTCATAATTAACAACAACTTGCTCTGAGCATTTAAAGATTCAACCCCCCTGCCGAGTCTGCGAGTATATTCACATAAGATGCAATTGAAAAAAATATTAAACAGATAATTAAGTTTATTAAAGCTTTATGTAAATTAGAAAATATTTTGAAGAAAAATTTGTAAAAACTTAAATACATTCATACATACATAGATTTTAAACTAGCACTACTAGAGTCATCTAGTGGCATCTAATGTAGTTTCATTCAAATGAAAGTATTTTCACACCTCACTACGTTCAGTGTGAAAATATTTACGCACCGTTGGTGAAATACAAAATTTGGTAAATAGGGATATGTGATATTCTTCCGGCCATATACTTAACTTCTACCCCCNATATCTGATCCAACCTGTTTAGGGTTTAGCTCCTGACCAAGAAATGAAATGAATTCTGAAATATTTTCACATTTTCTTGATTCTTCTCCAGTTAGTTGGACCACAAGGGATTCAAGCATCAATCTAGAGATATAAATTTCATTAATTTTCAAAAAAAATTTAATCGTCATGTTTGGAGATTCTTTATTTCTCCAGAATTACCCCCCCCCCCCTGGGAGCGAATGATTTTTGATGATTGAACATCAAAAGACAAGTTCTTTTCATTGTCTGTGATACTGTTTACCCAAAATTCATCTATTTTCCCCGAATAATCCTTTATTTTCAGCGAAATTTTTTTATTTTTTTATTTATCAATTTCAGGGGGAAAATCATTTTTCGAGAAAATATACACCCCTGAAAAACTTAAAATAGAAGGATTAAGTTCCGTTGAAATCCACCAAAAGATATTATAGAAATGATGCTGAGAAAAATAGAGTTGTATCCTTAAACCAAATTAAACCCCCCAGGGAGGAGGGAAACATATTGAACGCTTTATAATACAGAGATTCTGAACTCAGAGCTGGAAACTTTTGAATGGTGGATATCGTGATTAATGCTTGATCCACTCTTTTTTTAATATTCAGATTAAATAATGCTTGCTCTCCTCTTGTTATATAATCTCCAGATTAAATAATGCTTGATCCACTCTTTTTCTTAATCTCCAGATTAAATAATGCTTGCTCTCCTCTTGTTATTAATCTCTAGATTAATTAAAAGAACGGGATTAAGGATATACCATTTTAAAGTTTTCAGCTCAGAACTGAAAACTTAAGAATGGTGGATATCGAGATTAATGCTTGATCCTCTCTTTTTCTTAATATCGAGACTAACCTTATCTTGTACTGGTAACCTGAAAAGTGAATAAATTCAACCAACCAGAGTCGCGTATATAAAGCCGATAAATTTGAAATTTTGCGCGCCATTTAAGATTATAAATAGAAACGGGAAGGACTCTCTAAATTAAAAAATGATTTTTCCTTATTATATCCAAGAAAGAACGGTTTGAAAAGAAAATTAAAAGTGTGTCCATTGGATAATCACGATTAAGCGATCAGGATTAAGGATATCTCATTCTAAGGTTCTCAGCTCAGAACTTTAATAATAATGAGATTAAGAAGTATACCTGACATTGTACATCTCTACGCAGTGGAATACAGCGTGCTGAATCTGCTCCGTTTCAAGAACCCATTTTATAACACGGGTCTTGCCTATATATAGTTCATTATTATATTAAATCTGACTGTATACGATTTTGGCAAAATAATCCTTTAAGGGCAACTTTTTGCTACTTCTTTATTATTAAGGAATAAGGATAAGAAGCAAAAAAATCCCTTTTTTTGGTTTTATTAAAAAAATCACTTTTGCGGCCACAAAACATACTTTATTTATAAGTCACATCAATTTAAAAGTTGTGATCTCTTTTTGTCTGTTTGTTTGTCCGATCATAACTCGGAAACCCCTGGACCGATTTGCCTCAAATCTTGATTGGGGAACTCGGGAGAGTCACTGGAATGTTCTTAGCTTGGTTTAGAGATTCTAGATTGATTGGGTCGACTTTTATCGGGAAAAATAGCTAAAATCGTAATTTACAACAAAGCGCGAATAATCGACCTGGCAACGTTGGGTTCCCAAGCTAGTTATAAAGTAGTATAAAGTATAAATCTTTGTTCAAGGATATAAAGCAAGTTGTACAGTACACACCATAAACACACTATTTAGTATTAAGGCAAAACGGGACGGTAAGCCAAATAAATTTTGATCGGGGCACTTGGTAGAACCACAGGACTGTTCGAGATTTTTAAGTTGAGTTAGGCGACTTTTTTGGGATAACTTGGTTGTCAGGCAAAGCTGGGTTCCCCAGCTAGTCTATATATTTAAAGCTGTAATCAGCTCTGTTTCTTTATTTGGTTTGTATGTCCGATCATAACTCAGGACCCTCCTGAATAATATGCCTCAAATTTTGATTTAGGAACTCAGAAAAACCACAAGGATATTCTTAGTTTGGTTTTCAGATTTTTAGTTGAAACTTGAGTAGGTCGACTTTTTAAGGGAAAAATAGCCAAAATCGTAATTTAAGACGAAGCGCGGGTAAACGGCGGGATAAAATATGAGATCCCAAGTTAGTTAGAAATATGTTCTTATCAATGAAAACAGTTCTACCTGTCGCGCCTAGTCCGTGCAGGAAAATAGTTTCCGGGACGGATATCCCCGGTCCACCTGCCAGGACGAGTCTCAACTTTTCTATTTGTTCGTCCCTGGATAGGGGACGAGTAACGTCTCCCATTTTACAGCTCTGAAATACCAGATTGGTAAATATCACATATTGACGAATATCTTGATTTTAAAAATTAATCTTTTTTCACTTTTGCTGTTTTCTTCGGAGATTCTTGGTTTTATTCTACAGTAAGAGAAACCTGGCAAAGACGGGCCAACAATCCTAGAAAATAACAAATAAAACTTTTATCAAGAGAATTATATATTATAGAATGTTTCTAAAATTATGTTTTTATCTCCATAAATAACTAAAAAACTAACATTTAAATTATTTCCTGTTTTGTAAGTCTGTGTGATTTTTTTTATGTTCCATTACCTGGAACTAATTATGACACTTCTTTAATTGTAATAAAGATGATAAAATTATTATCTTAAGGTTTGTTTTTACAATTATTGAAGCCATTTCTCAAAATAAAAATTCCATACAAACCCCTAAAAAATTAGGGGGATGGGAGGGCAGTGGGTGAGGAGAGGAGAGGGGTGGACCTAACCTGATAACTGAATAAGCGAAGATGTCCCCTGGACTAGGAGAAGATGAGTCCGTCCTATCTCCTTGATAAACTCCAGCTTGTATCTCTCCGCCATACTGTGGGTCTTACACACCCTGAAGATGTTGGTGACGATGTCCTCTGAGGAGTATCCCAGCTTCCACAGGTGGGACATCACCTGCAAAAGAGATTATAGATGCTTTCCCGGAAAATATTTACAAGGACGATTTCAAAATAGCAAAAATCAAATTTAAAGTTTAAAAGCACATTAACCTAAAAACTACACAAATCTGATCTTATTTAAATTGACAATTGGGGCAATTAATAAATAGCATTTACGCGCACTAGAGAAAACAACAAAACAATTATAAGATGAAAGCTAAATTTTTAAGGATCAAATAATATTTCAAGCACAAAACAAGATAACAAATAACTCAAAATTTAGCGTTTTGTTAAAAAATCTAAAAATTATTTCTCCGAAAATTGTACCTTGTAGGCTTCGTCAATGTCTGCCTTGACGCAGTGTGAGAGCATATCCTTGATAAGAAGAGGATGAGGTTCATCACAAACCTTCCACACGTTGGCGGCCTTCACGAACCCGAACCCCTCGTAGGTGGACTGCAGGTTGTTCAACGCTTGTCTCATGTCACCCTGCAGCCAGTCATCATACCTGACTTGAAATAAAGAAAACCCACGAAATCCTTTTTGACAAGAAAGCACTTTTTAAAGATTAACTCTTACAAGATAATTGGACCAGAGTTCAATTAAAAATGTGTTTTTATTTTTTCGAATTTTTGTCCTTTAATAGAAAGGAAAATCAAGCTGAAAATAATAAGAATCATGTGGCGGTTCCGTAGAACCTGAATTTGAGAGAAAATCAAAAATTTCGTGGTTTATTTTTTATCTGGACTTAAAGAAAAATTGCGAAGAACTCATGTTCACATTTATTTCTTTTTATCTTAAATGAACTGTAAGCGTAATTTTAAGTGGCCCTCCATGCAAAGATAGCAAAAATACCTCTGAAAGCTTTTAATAACAAATTCCTTTTTTTTCTGGATTCCAAATCATATTTTTATTTTTCTGTGAAACAATCAAAAAAAAAGTAATTAAAAAAATTGAAAGATGTGAAAATCCGCGAAAAGCCACCAAAAATCAGAAAAGTTCCCAAGGTCGGAATTACTGTTTTTGCTTTTAGAGACCTACAGACACATACCTAACATATCCAAGTGATTTTGGCAGTGTAACTTTTCATCATGGCTGAACCAAATTTTTAACACCTGTGCGAAAATGACTTTTCTTGTTTATTAGAAGCAATGAAGAAACTCACAGAAGAAAAAAAAAACACAAAAACGACAGTATCTTCCGGATTTTGTATCAGAAGTTTCAAAGGTAGCGTTGTAAATGGGCATGGCCGATTTTGAAATTACGCTTACCGTCCTTTTGAATGTAGATAGAAAAGTCTGATATGAATCCCTGAGCAGTGAACACAATTGCTTCTAAACCGTCATCACTATACTCCACTCCTTCCACCTTACACACCTCCTGTATCTTAGCCAGCACCTGGAGTTAGGACGGATTCATTTTCAGAGCTCACGGACAGGATTTAGTATGTTGAACTACCTACCGCAGGTTCAAATCACCGACGTTGTTAAAGATTCATGAGGATTAAGGAAATGAATTGGAGAGTGAATCGGTGAGATTCAGAATTTGAACCGAAAGAATGTAGTTCAACGACCTTTCACAACTCACTAAATACGGTCCCAAGATATAGAACTCAGATTAGAAGTAGTCAATTGAAAGAAATTTAAAGAAATGAAAGCGAAAAAAAATTAGAAATTGGAGAATTCAAAAAAAACTTTAGGCAAGACGGAATTTAAAGTACAATAAAAGCTTAAACATAACTACTCATTCTCCACAATAAGCATCATTTATCCAAAAATAAATAACCCCCCCCCCCAAAAAAAAAAAACAACTATGAAATCTATGAAAAAATGACCTGCGCATCAGTTAGTTTGCTGTATCTTAGCATAGCACATCTAGACTGAATAGGTTCGATGATTTTCTCACTTGAGTTGCACGCTAGGGCAAATCTAAAAAAAAAATAATAATTAAAGGAATATTATTAACGACTATAGCTGTAATATCAAGTGACCCTTCTAATGCAAAGATTGCCAGATTTAAAACGATACTCTTGAAAGCTTTGTCTGATCCAAGCAGAAATCAGATGTCAATGTTTTTGTTGCTTTTAACTGTTTATTTTCATTTGCGGATTTGCTGCGAAAGTGAAACTTGCGCATTTCTTGCTTTTAAGAGGAAATGGAAAAACAGAAATAAACACGTTTTTAGTCAGAAAAACGGTATCATCCACATTTTTGAACAGATTCAGGTTTCAAGGGCACTGTCGTGAATCGGTCAATGAAATCTTTAAATGGAGGGTCACTTGAAATTACGCTTACGTTCATCTGATTTATTTTCAAAAAGGAATATACAATATCTAGACTCTACCTCCGTAATTATAAGCAATGATTAGGATTATTTCTTTACTTTCACTAATGGTTTCACCAATTTTTTAGTTTTCTGAGCTTTACTAAGTTAATTCCCAATATCTACCTTTCTCAAAAGTCCGCTGCAGGGATATATATTTTTAACAATAATTTGTGACGCTCTTTTTCATCCTTCGGCGAATAAAAACAGTAATGGGGGAGGGAGGCTGATTTTTATAGAAAAATTACAACATTTTTATTATGAAAAGAGATAGTTCCCTGAAGTTTGGGCCGAGTAGATGTCGAGCCAGGCAGAGAATAGTTGTCGTCTTCCCGACTCCGGGGGGACCAGCTAATCAAGCAATCAATCGATCAATCAAAATTAATTTTATCAATTCAAAAAATGTAATAATCTATCCACCATTTAAGTGATTAATCGATTAATAGTCAAAATCAATCGATTTAAAGAAACGGTTTGTTAACATAAAATGAAAGAGAAGATATGTTTGAAAATAATTCCCTTTTGATCTATTTCGTGTATTTTATCCATCATTTTCACAACTTAAAAAGTATCAAAAACACATATAGCAATCACTATTAATAAAATTTACCGATAATAATGTTTGGCACATTTCCTTCGCGAGCGAAGACCGATAATCTAGCAACAGTTTCTTGGTTTCCTGAAGAAAAGGTGTTAAGTGTCAAGAGTTTCAACAATGATGTTTTCTTTAGCCCCCCCCCCCCCCTCCTATCAATTTTGTACATGGATCTTATATGTTAGACATTGATATTATTGACCATGTGGCCGCAGCGCTCGGCCCCCTAGCCTCTCCTAGCCACAGCGCTCGGCCCAGAAAGTGTCTTAACTAACCTAACCCGTGGCCGCAGCGCTCAGCCCCCTAGCCCATCCTAGCCGCAGCGCTCGGCCCAGAAAGTATCTTAACCTAACCTTACCCTAAATAATAATAAATAAATACTAATTTACTAATTTCGTCATGTACAAAATTGATATGAGGGGGGGGGGGCTGGGGGGGGTTTTTCAAAAATCGTTCACTAGGACGGACCCTAAATGGCTACAATCGCCCCACGAAGCCTATCCTAGCCACTATATTATTTTCACTTTAACCACAAGAACTATTATCAGATGAAGTCGGACACTTGGGGTTACAAACATCTAACTTTAGCCATGAGCTACAATAGAGATGCATGAAGTTGATAAGAGGGGAAGAGAGTCCGAAAAGCATCAAATGGGATAAGCCCTCTTAAAGAGTGTTAAGATTGGCAGATCAATTTGTTAAAAAATGGCCTGAGTTCAGCTTTTTCTCAAAATAAAAATGGTAGTTTATTTTTTATTATTTAAGAGTTAGTATAGGTTAAGACAATTTCTGGGCAGAACACTGAAGCTAGGACAGGCTATGGGATGGCCAAGCTCTACGGCATGGACAGCTGGGAAAAGGGTAAGGTTCCTAAAAGTTTCGCTAGGAAATAACCCAGGGGTGTACACAGGAATTTAGTTCTTTTTATTTATTTCTAGGTTTAGCATGTACACAGGAATTTAGTTCTTTTTATTTATTTCTAGGTTTAGCATCTATTGGGACCCTAAACCCCGATTTCACTGATCATATGAGGGGGGGGGGCGGTTGAGCCCCTATACCGACCCCCTTGTACGCCTCTGTGCAAATCTAATATCTTAGATCGAGAATAAAAAATCACTTTTACCAACAATTTGGTTGAATTCTACAGGCCGATACTTTTCAATCCATGGAAGATGTTTCTCAGTTTTAGCCTTGGGTTTCTCAGATTCAACCATTATAGGCTGAAATACATAATCATAACGATTAAAAATGGCAACTAAAAAGTCAAGATCTGGAAAAACATATAATTTCTCTGTAATTAACAATCTTCTTGCGATATTCTTGCTTAAAATGTATAAATAAAGTGTTTATTTATTTCGTAGAATTTGGCGGGTTTGAATGCGAGATTTGCCGCATTCTTTATTAAACCGTCGTCTTACAAAGGTCTTAAAATGTCGTCTTTTAAAATAGAAGGGTTCAAAGTGTATGTTTAAAAGTGTACGCCAGACAGGTTTATGTTATGTTTTGTTTTGAATGTGCAAGATTTAAGATACCAGTAATAAGGTATATAGAAATAAACGATTATCAATCAATTTTGAATTTGTTAGTGTTCAGCAAGCTGAGATCACAGTACGAGGCTCAGAGAAAGAATTTCTAAGCTCGGAGACATTTCGCGGGATTTTAACTCTTTTATTTTTCGTAATATAATAACACTTCAGGTTTTTTTTAATATTTTGCAATGCAAGTATTTCCTAGAGAACGATTTTTGGATCCTCCCCCTCCCCCCCCCCTCCCTCCTATCAATTCCATACATTTGTATATTTAATCATGTGCAGGCCGCAGCGCCGGCCCCCTTGCCTCTCCTAGCCGCAGCGCTCGGCTCCCTAGCCTATCCTAGCCGCAGCGCTCGGCCCAGAAATTGTCTTAACCTAACCTAACCTAAAATGTACAAAATTGATAAGAGGGGGAGGGGGGAGGGGGACCTGGGTCCGAAACCTAAGATTACACATGGAGAGTAAACACGATGGAGTGATATATCATTGTCTTGAATATGATCAATTGCCACAAACCACAGCACAAACACTAAAAGTTCAAATTAAATACAAACTCAAGGGAGTCAGATATTCATGTGACAAATATGATTTAACGACAGCAACAATTTGTCACTTAAAACACACATTAAGAACAAACATGAAGGCGTGCGATATCCATGTGATTTATGTGATTACGCTGCAACGACTAATACCGCTTTAAAGATTCATGTAGAAGCTATGCAAGCGAGTGTTTAGGAACTACAGTTGGAGTGTTTTAAAGAAACATACCCGGAGTAAACACTTGTAAATTATTAATTCTTTTAGAAAATAATTATTACAAAACTGTGATATACTTATTATGTATTATTAAACACAACCATGACTAAATTCATTGCTAATTTTAATTCTGTAAATTCTTTAACTATATTCTTGGCATTTCATGCAATGCTAGGCCTTCAGGGCACTTCAGGCATCTTCTATTTTAACTTTTAGTCGTTGCTCTGTCTGTGAGCAGTTTCACTTCTTACCTTATAAAAATAACAAAAAAATTAGCAAATATTTTTTCTTGTATTCTTAAAAGTTTACGAAAATCTTAAAAATCTACTATTTGAAGGCAATTTTTTTTTAATTCTGACCATTCAAAGATTTTGGCCCGTTTGAGTTAGTTGGATTGGCCTGTTTCTCATCATGTTGGCCCCAGGCGCATACTAGACTGTGTTTTTTGCCAAATGATAAAATAAATACCGTCTTTTGGATGGTATTATAGATGGAGACTAGATATCCACGAAACAATGTTAGAATGATTATTATAACCATTTTTAATATTTCAGATAAAATGGTTGATTGAATTCAAAATTACAATGGAAGAAGTCAAGGAAAAAGATGAGAAAATTTTCATGGAAGAAAAAATTCTTTCTTCTTCGATGGAAGACACACTGGCGGTGTTTTTAGAGGAAACAATTGTGAAGAAGGAAGAGATTTTAGGTAAAACATCAACTTTTTGAAGAGAAATTTTAAATTTAGATTTTTATCAAAATCTTTTAGGGCTAGTTTGATTTAATGATATAAACAGCAATATACCTGTTATACTTTGTTACTTCTATTATTCATGATGATAACTAATAAGTTCGTCCCTTCTTCTATTGTCTTGTATTGATATAAACAGAAATATACCTGTTATACTTTGTTACTTCTATTATTCATGTTGATGATAACTAATAAGAGTTCGTCCCTTCTTCTATTTGTCTTGTATTGCTTTCCCTGCGGGCCACGGAAATGTTTGTCTGCCTCTTATTTATGATATCGAATATAAACTTATAAAATTTTGCACTTTGTCGTTACTTAAACATTAAGATTTTACATTTTTACTTTCAGCCGAGTCATCTGAAGCTAAATACCATTGTGAAGAATGTGATTATGCTACTTCTATACGATCAAACTTGATGAAACACATTGCGAGTAAACAAGAGAAATGGCAAGTGTACCCATGTGATCAGTGTGAACATGCGGCGGTCACAATCAGATCTTTTGAAATTCACAGAGAAACCCTTCATAAAAATCAGAATACTGAGAACAGGCAAGAGGAAGGAGGATATCCGTGTGAAAATTGTGAATTTTTTGCTACATCAGCAGTGTCCCTCAAGGCGCACATACAGAGCAATCATACAGTATATACCTGTGTTATCTGTGATTATGTTGGAAGTACGGCGGTGAATCTGACGAAGCACATTGAGAGCAAACATCAAGAAATTAGATATTCATGTGATCAATGTGAATTTGCCTCAACTACAGCCGGATATCTCAGGATACACATTAAGAGTAAACACGAAGGGAGGCGATTTTCTTGTGATAATTGTGAATATGTTACAACATCCCGTACAAATCTAAGGACGCATTTTAAAAGTAAACATGAAGGGAAAACGTTTACTTGTCCAGGTCCTGAATGTGAATTTGTCACAAACACAGAAAGAAACCTCAGACGCCATGTGTCGCGAGTTCACTTGTCTGTTCAGAAAGACGGAGAAAAAAGTGAACATCGCCATTACTGTTCTTTGTGTGAATACTCTTCCTTCGAAGCATTTAATCTGAAGAAACATATTGAAACTAAGCACGAGGGACGGAGATTTACATGTCCTATTTGTAATCTAAGTCTAACATTGGAAAAGAATCTAAAACAGCACGTAAAGACGCAGCATGACGGATTGAGATATTCTTGTGATACATGTGAATTCGTTTCGACCAGAAAAGATTATCTGAAGAGACATATAAGGAGTAAACATGAGAATATTAATCATTCATGTGACCAATAAGACTATGCTTCAGGTTAAGCATGCCTTCTTCGAAGCCACAAAAAGCTAAATATGAGTCGAGGAATCTGACCAATTTACATTTCAAACATTTTCTATCTAGTTTCATGTTTATTTATGAGGTTTCATTGCAGAACCAGCTTCGCATCTATCAATCGACATTGCGGAACTATAAATGTTAATAATTTTAATTGTTATATCATTTGTTAGCAATTATCTAATGCTTTTTATCAATAAAAATTAAATTTTTCAAATTGTTACTAAACTCATAAACTAAAAAATGGAATCAGAAATAATTCTGCGGATGATGAAATCCTTCTAACCACTTTATAATTACTTTGTAACCATAAAATGAGTCTGAAAGCTGAAATTTTGGAAAATAAAAACTCTCTTATACAATGAAAAACTGAAACCTTAATTTGGCTTTCTATTCACCTTTCTAAAATGATTTCGAACCATAAAAAGTAAAAGTTATTTTTCATGGATTGTTTAACTGTACAAGTGGCTTGAGAATAAAAGCTATATCATGATATATCTCTTTGTATAACAATTAGTTTGATCATACTGTCACTTCATGATACCGTGTTCAAATAGAGATTTTAACAGAATTTAATTTGTTTACAAACTTTACGAGATACTTCTTTTTATATAAAAAAATTATTCTTCATCTTAAAGGGACTGTTGGCATTATTTAAATGACTCTCAATTTGAAGTGAACTAACGTTAAGAAAGTTCTCGATGTCTTGAAAATATATTTATAAATTCTTTTAATTTTCTTAACCTTTTCTCTGCTGCAGAAATCCCAATAAGAACCACAATTGAACATTGTCAATTTTAAGATAGCCCAACATTTTCTACAACAAACGTTTGAAAATTACGGTTGATCTCTGATAAGCCAAAAGGGAAATACTCAATGTAAATAAATTACAATTCATGAAAGTGCTCTTAAGATGCATATATAAAGGAAATATTCTGGTAAACCAGAAGAGAAATACTCAATGTAAATAAATTACAATTCATGAAAGTGCTCTTAAGATGCATATATAAATGAAATATTCTAGTAAACCAGAAGAGAAATACTCAATGTAAATAGATTACAGTTCATGAAAGTGCTCTTAAGATGCATATATAAAGGAAATATTCTAGTAAACCAGAAGAGTAGTTCTCAATGTAAATAAATTACAATTCATGGAAGTGCTCTTAAGATGCATATATAAAGGAAATATTCTAGTAAACCAGAATTGAAATACTCAATGTAAATAGATTACAATTCATGAAAGTGCTCTTAAGATGCATATATAAAGGAAATATTCTAGTAAACCAGAAGAGAAATACTCAATGTAAATAAATTACAATTCATGAAAGTGCTCTTAAGATGCATATGTAAATCAAATATTCTTGTAAACCAGAAGAGAAATACTCAATGTAAATAAATTACAATTCATGAAAGTGCTCTTAAGATGCATATATAAAGGAAATATTCTAATAAACGAGAAGAAATAACATAAGGGACTGTAGACTTAATTTCAAGTGGTATTCGATTCGATCCGATCCGATTCACAATAGTATCCGATTAATCTTTTTTCTGAGTAACAATTTTCTATCTGAAAAAGTGTTGAATTCTAACAATTTTCTTCTTTTTCTTCTGTTGCATATGTCTGCGATGAAATTTAATTGAAAAAATATAAATTTTATGAGATAAGAATTTATTCGATGGTAATGATTGTAAATATAAAGTGGTGAGCGATGTTACCAATAAAATGAAGAATACTTTTGATTTCAATTTTGATTAATATCAAGCTGTCAAACAACATGGATACACATAAATATAGAAGTCAAGAGAAGCTGTCAATTTAAAAAGCTTCCCTTTGATTACTTTACTTGTAAACTTATAATTCGAAAAAAGCTTGTTAACAATCAAAACTTAAATTAAAAGTCTTCTTCATTGTATTGATATAATCGTCTACTACTCTAGATAGATAGAAAGATATATTTTGGCTAAATCATTTGAATTTAATCATTGAAATATTTTTGTCATTCTCTCTTTAAAAACAATATGCTGGTTGATTTGATTGAGGGACCCTTTGTAAAATGTAAAATTCTTGTAGGTATTTGCTTTGTTTTTTGGGACACCCTGTAGGTATTTGCTTTGTTTTTGGAAATTTTCCCAGAAGACATTATACAATATTGAATGATTTTAAACAGTTTTGCAATTATAAACGTTGACAACGACTTAAAGGGGCTGTAAGCGTAATTTCAAGTGACCCTCCATGCAAAAATGGCAATGCCCGATTTACATTTACAACGATACCCTTGAAACTTAAATCTGATCAAAAATGTGAAAGATACTGCATCATTTTTCTGACGAGTAAATGAAGAAAAAATTAATATATTATTCATACTTGATCAGAGAAAGCTTTTAAGGGTACCGTTGTAAATCGTACATTGTCATCTTATCATGGAGGGTCACTTAAAATTACGCGTATACAGTCCCTTTAAAATAATCTTTAGCGATTCATTACACAATTTCCTTTATAACAATGACTTAATATTCAATCTCATCTGAAATCAGACAATTCCCGGACAATTTTTTCTTTATCTTCTTATACAGGGTTACCCACAAAGAATGAGACTTCAGAGACGACTGTTCTGAATTTTAACTGTTTGTTTTCTTATGTTAATGATTCCCTGAAACTGTAAACTTGTTTCTCTCCTCTTCAAATCATTTAAAAAGCCATCTTCCATCCTTCATTTTACCTAGTAAATAGAATTAATTAGCCCAAGATCTGAAAGCTTTAAAGATAGAAATTCTCTGAAAAAATCATCTAAGTGCCGAATATTTGAATTCATATAAAAATATTTCTTGTAACAATATAATGTGTCCTGATTGCCAAAATGGGTAAATTATTGTTCTGTGTCTGCTGCTCCAGACTCATACTGTAGTTTAATAAATATTTTTATTGCTGTAGTTTCCCTGCACTCAAGAATCGCTAACCATTCTTCACAACTATCTTGCTCTCATCGCTTCACGAAAGAATCAGCCCAAAAAATATTTTATCTAAACTAAAACAGTCTTTAGACTCTGTTAGTCCTCAAACTAGAGAAAGACTATATATATGTACATTGTACATAAATACTGTAGCAGATTTTAATTTTTCGACAACTTATATTTATACATTGACCATAAAATGTTATGCAACAATTAATCTAGTTTGAAATACATTTATTATTATTATTATTAAAATTAAAATTAAAAAGTCATAATTTTACAGTTTCATGTCGTCTTTATAGTCTTAACCTGTCCGGGTAGCCATGTATTTGCCACTGTTTCCTTTAAAAAAAGTTTAAACCATAATTCTATTAAGAGAAAAGTTTTACAGAATATGGGTTTAGTTCACCACCATCCGCCCCCCCCCCAACCTTCATCTTGAGCGTTATATATGTATATTGTCTATGCAACGTTAAAACCAAGTTTTTCGTTAACATAATTGTGATTATAAAAATGATATATATTATTCAAATTATACATAATATATAATCTATATAAAGGGTTACCCACGAAGAATGAGACGACTGTACGGAATTTATTCTGTCTGTTTCCTCATATTGATAATTCCCCGCCACTGTAAAATTGTGTTTTGCTTTTCCCAAACGATTTATTCTGTCATTTCAAGACTTTATCCGAGCCAGTAGACTTAACTTAACCTTGGGATCGGCAAATCTTTAAAGTTTTATGTCGTCTTCTCAATCTCTTCCTTTTTGGGTACGCACTGGGTAACCGGAACCCTGTACAAAGATGAAATGAAACCCAAAATGAATGCACAATCCCTGAAAGGTGATGTAAGCGTAATTTTAAATGAACCTCCATGTAAAGATGTCAATTCCGGATTCAAAATGATGTGGAAGATAGTGTCCTTTTTTTATTTATGTTTTTCTGCACTATAGAAATGCGCATATCACTAGTTATTTAGAGAAACCACAATTAAAATGTACAGTTTTAAAATTATAAACATTGATTTCTTAGTTATGCTTAATTAGGCAAAGCTTTGAAGGGTACCATTGTAAATCGGACTCTTTAATCCTTGCATGGAGGATCCCTTGAAAATATGCTTACAGTCCCTTTAAACCCCGTAATTTGCTCAATGTAGATTCAGTGCACCCTTGAGGAAACCTTAAACAACAAGAAAAGGGCGTGGTGTAGTTTTTCCCCCTGTTTCCTCTCTGTATGTGCGTGTGTGTTAGTTAGGGTGTGTGTGTGTTTGTTGAATGGAAAAATATAATGTCAAGGACAGAGAATATTGAACCTAGAACCTACACTAGAGGGTTGAACTTTACTCTATGTCATCTATACACCTTATTACAACCACTCCTTACCAGAACTTTAACACGATGCATAACTTATCTTCATTCACACGTAGCTGCTTAACTATCTTCCTGTCTGCATGCCAGCATGCCTGCTAAACCTTCTTCCTGTTTGCATGCCTGCAAAGGGCTTAATTATTTTTCTGATTTACTAACTTTTTATCTGCATGCATGTGCTCATCAATGGTTGTTTAATTTACTCTCTTCTTATCTACATGCCTACATAGTTTCCCATCATATTATTATTTGAAAATTTGATGTTTTCACTTTGGGCTAAAACATGAAAATTTATAAGTATTAATTTCAAGTAACCCTCCATTTTCTGAAGGTCACGACTGATTCATACTTTTTGGCGTTTTTGAGATAAAAACAGACAGAAGAGATTTAAACAGACATCTATTTGTTCCTTTGACATGATTTAAATGTTTTAATATTGTTTTGATATACTAGGGGATTAGCCTCCAGAAGTGTAGGGGAATAATTTATACAGGGGGGGGGATCACGTATTCAAGAGGGGGGGGGTTGTAATATCTGGCGCGAAAACGGGGGAAGCTTAAGGGATTAATAAAGGAAGGATGAATGGATTAGCTTTTAAACATGGATCCAACCAAAGTTAAATTAAGGATTGAATTGTTGCATTTAGAATCAATATACTAATCTGGGAAGAATATTATAAACTAGACTTCTTCTTTTTCAATTTTCTCTTTGTGTAAACCTTCCCTGGGGTCAAGAGAGGTCCCACACAAAAAGAAAATTCCCGTGGGTTTTCCGAGTCCCCCAATCAAAATCTCAGGTAAATCGGTCCAGGGTTTTCTGAGTTACTAGATTAAGATCTTAACGTTGTCCAGGGTTTTCATGTATGTTACTTCCACCGTTTACACGAGCTTGCTCGGAAATTACGATTTTAACCATTTTTCCCTATTAAAGTGGACCCATTCAACTTAGAATCTCGAGCTAAGAACATTCCCGTGCTCCCCAATTAAAATCGATACAGGGGTTCCTGAGTTATGATCGGACATCCCAAACATAGAGATTACTACTTCCTATGATATAATTACACTAGTTCTATAAGTTTTCTTGGTAAGAGTCAACCTATTCAAATTATAAACAAAGCTAGGAACATTTCCGTAGTTTTAAAACACGTTCCCCAAACTAAATTTGAGGCAAATCGGTCTTATGGGTTTATGAGTTATGATATACAACATCCAAAGAAACAAATAGAGTTTACTACTTTTATATGTAACACATAGCCGCGATCTGGACCTAGTAATATCCTAATGGGCTCTCTCACATTAGCTGTATGCAGGAAGACATCTTTTAAAAATATTTTCTCTTTAAAAAAGACAATTATATTGCACTAATTATAAGAACGACCTGCGGTTAGAAAGCATATTGAGGACGACATTAACATTCACCCTGGACTAACCAGGACTAGATATATGTTCCGTTTCTTCAATTTAAAATCAAAAGGTTCCATTTCTTCAATTTGAAATCAATTGGTTCCGTTTCTTCAATTTGAAATCGATTGATTCCGTTTCTTCAATTTGAAATCAATTGGTTTGGTTTCTTCAATTTGAAATTAATTGGTTCCGTTTCTTCAATTTAAAATCAAAAGGTTCCATTTCTTCAATTTGAAATCAATTGGTTCCATTTCTTCAATTTGAAATCAACTGGTTCCGTTTCTTTCTACAACTTGAAATCAATTGGTTCCGTTTTTTCAATTTGAAATCAATTGGTTCCGTTTTTCAACTTGAAATCAATTGGTTCCGTTTTTCAATTTAAAATCAATTGGTTCCATTTCTTCAATTTAAAATCAAAAGGTTCCATTTCTTCAATTTGAAATCAATTGGTTCCGTTTTTCAACTTGAAATCAATTGGTTCCGTTTTTCAATTTGAAATCAATTGGTTCCATTTCTTCAATTAAAAATAAATTGATTCCGTTCCTTCAACTAAACTTATACTTTTCATTTAGAACGCATCCACCGACAAAAGTATGAAAGGTAGAAGAGTAAAAAATTATGTTTAATTGGTCAAACTGGGATCGAAAGTCACAGATTGCTTGGACAAGGCCCAAACTGTTGAATAAGTGTGCATTCATCTAAATTACTTGTTGGTCTTGAAAAAAATGAGATTTTTAAATTTTTAATTGTTTGATTACATTTTTAAAACACGATCAGCTACAGAAAAAAGGATGAATTGAGACTAAAATAATCTTCACTTAATTCATTTCTTCAAACAAAAAACTCTGCCTTTACTAGCCATTTTTTATATCATTTTAAATTTTAAAAATTTTGTTCGTATTTATAAAAAAGGAGTTATTCAAATATTTTCTAAAAAAAGGAATTGAGTCTTTGCCACAACTCAAATTTACTAATCCCTATATTTTTGCAACCTGAGGGTGAAAACAATTGATATTTCAAACTTAGATTATCTGATCTAACAGAATGCATAGTTTAAAATATCTAAGGTCTACAACTTTGGGTTGCAAAAATATACGGATTAGAAAATCTGAGATTGTGGCAAATACTCAATTCCTTTCTACCATAGGAAACTATGTGTCCAAAACTGTCTGCTCTTTTTTATTGCTTAATGGGTAAAAAATATAGAAAATAGAAAAACTGGTTCAGAAAACTGTTCAAACAAATTTTAGGAATTAGAATTTCTTTTATCTATCTATCAATGTCTACACTATGAGGGATGGTGAAGTATTTATCTATCTATCTATCTATGTCTACACTACGAGGGATAGTGAAGTATCTATCTATTTATCTATCTATGTCTACACTATGAGGGATGGTGAAGTATCTATCTATATATCTATATATGTCTACACTACGAGGGATGGTGAAGTATTTATCTATTTATCTATCTATGTCTACACTACGAGGGATGGTGAAGTATCTATCTATATATCTATATATGTCTACACTACGAGGGATGGTGAAGTATTTATCTATTTATCTATTTATGTCTACACTACGAGGGATGGTGAAGTATTTATCTATCTATCTATGTCTACACTACAAGGGATAGTGAAGTATCTATCTATTTATCTATTTATGCCTACACTACGAGGGATGGTGAAGTATTTATCTATCTATCTATGTCTACACTATGAGGGATGGTGAGGTATTTATCTATTTATCTATCTATGTCTACACTACGAGAGATGGTGAAGTATTTATCTATTTTTCTATCTATGTCTACACTATGAGGGATGGTGAAGTATTTATCTATCTATATATCTATATCTACACTATGAGGGATGGTGAAGTATTTATCTATCTATCTATCTATGTCTACACTATGAGGGATGGTGAAGTATTTATCTATTTATTTATCTATGTCTACACTATGAGGGATGGTGAAGTATCTATCTATTTATCTATCTATGTCTACACTATGAGGGATGGTGAAGTATTTATCTATTTATCTATCTATGTCAACACTATGAGGGATGGTGAGGTATTTTTTATCTATGACTACACTATGAGGGATGGTGAAGTATCTATCTATTTATCTATCTATGACTACACTATGAGGGATGATGAAGTATTTATCTATTTATCTATCTATGTCTACACTACGAGGGATTGGTGAGGAGACCCAAAGAATGCATATGCGCTCTCTCCTGCTTCCTGCTTACTGTGCACACTGCTACAGTCCTTGGTTAGGTGCTCCAGTCCTTAAAGCTCATAGATACAAGCAACATGCGAGCACTGCGCTTCATTACACTGGCAAGTTCTTCCGGCATTCAATTCTGTACGCTGTACACTGTACATTGCTTCCCACCATTTTTTTTAACACACTAGTCTTTCCGACATTCCCCCCTCATGTTTTCCCCTACATTTCCCCTTTTTGTTCAGGAACAATCCTTTCTCCCATTTTCACCTCATTTTCAATCCTTTACACCTTTTTCTCATAAGGCTCAATCCTCTTTTTATTCACCATTCTCCGCTCATATATTATCTTTTTCCCGAATGACTTTTTTATTTAAAATTCGTTTATCAATTTTCTCTTTCTGGTACTGCATACGCACCTCTGCCCCTTAAGTAAAAGTAAATTCAACCTATATGAAGCATAAAGTCTGACCGCGTCAACCTTGTTGCACCGGCTAGTCCTGTCCATAGAGCTGGGTACAGTACAAACTGGGACCGGAAAGGTTGACCCCGCTCGGAAATTCAAATGTACTACGGCTGCCCATGACTGCACAATTTTTTCACCATATTTCCCACGTGTTTTATTCTTCCCCCATTTTTATTATCATATACCTTTCCAACATTTTCCCTCATGCACAATCCTTTCCACATTTTCCCCTTATGTACAATTATTCCCACATTTTCCCCTTATGTACAATTATTTCCACATTTTCCCCGCATGTACAATTATTTCCACATTTTCCCCTTATGTACAATTATTTCCACATTTTCCTTGCATGTACAATTATTTCCTTATTTTCCCCGCATGTACAATTATTTCCACATTTTCCCTGCCGTACAATTCTTTCTGCTATTTTCCCCTTATGTACAGACAGAGTGTCCCAAAAAAACATTGCATTAAGGGGTATTGAGTGCTGAGGGATCACATTTTGTCCAATTTTTACAATCAACTTTTGGAATCGTAAATTTATTTCAAACCCAAGTTAAAATATTTTATTTCACATTATTCTGCAAAGGCTAGTTTGTTTATCAAAGTATAAATAATACGTTTAAAGTTTTTATAAAATACACCTCAAAAATTAAATGAGTTTATTCCTACGAAGCTCGAAAACGTACTTTTCTCTTGTAAGTTTCGCGTGATTTTCCTCCCTCCAGGTTCACCCCTGTATGCCGAGTCCATTAGCGCCTGATTCAATCAGGTTTCAGTCATGTTTGATGTCTATTCTGAACCAACAGAAATAGCATGGCGTTAAAATCTATTTATCTATCTCATTATCCAATTAGAGATATAATACCTTCAATCTGCGCAATCAGTAAATGGAAATATTTACTTCTACAAGAACTATGGTGGTTTTTTTACCATTTATATCGGTTGTTAGCGAAAAATTCAGTTCTCTCACATTTCCTGCTTTCCCCCTCCATAGTCAACAAATTCTTTAAGTTTATTTTAAAAGAATAAATATATATATTTTTATGAAAGTGGTTGAAAGGTATAAAGCAATATACTACCCAAATCCTAATTGCACATTAAAGCTGTTAAATGCAAAAAAATCTATCTATCTATCTATCTATCTTTCTATCCATTAATGCTGGTCTGTCTATTTATCAATCTATCCTGGTCTATCTTTCTATATATCTCTACATCTATTCAGGTTATCTATCTATCTATCTATCCATCTATACTGGTTATCGATCTATCTATATATCCATCTATTCTAGTCTATCTATATATCTATCTCTCCATCTATCCTGGTTATCTATCTATCTATCTCTCCATCTATCCTGGTTATGTATCTATCTATCTATCCATCTATTCTGGTCTATCTATCTATCCATCTCTCCATCTATCCTGGTTATCAATCTATCTATAAATCCATCTATCCTGGTCTATCTATCTATCTATCTATCTCTCCATCTATCCTGGTTATCAATCTAGCTATCTATCCATCTACTCTGGTCTATCTATCTCTGGTTATCTATCTAACTATATATCCATCTATCCTGGTCTATCTTCTATCTTCCTATCCTTGTATTCCGAGCTGAAAGATTGTGAGCATATGTTACTGTAAGATTAGTAACAGTTTGAGAATATTATTAATTTCTTGGAAATATTATACAACAGAACCAGAGTAATATCAAATATAAAGAGCAATGTTGGCACATTTTTTTACAACGTATTTTTCAGTTTATCTTCACATTTAAAGCTTTTTATCTTAGGACAACAAACATTCTTAGGACAACAAACATTCTCTAGACAACAAACATTCTTAAGACAACAAACATTCTTAGGACAACAAACATTCTTAAGACAACAAACATTCACAAAAATCAAACATTCTTAAAACATTGGACATTCACATTTTAAATTAATTATTCAAAAATCATCAAACAATTCTCAAACATTCACAAAACAACAAACATTCACAAATTATTGGACGTTCACATTTAAACTAAACATTCATAAATCATCAAACATTCTTAAAAATTGAACATTCTTAAAACAACAAACATTCTCGAAACAACAAACATTCTCGAAACAACAAACATTCTTAAAACATCAAACATTTCTAAAACATCGAACATTCTTAAAACATCAAACATTCTCAAAAAATCTAAAAACATCAAACATTCTCGAAACAACAAGCATTCTCTAGACAACAAACATTCTCGGAACAACAAACATTCGCAAGATAACAAACATTCACAAAATAACAAACATTCTCTAGACAACAAACATTCTTAAAACATTAAACATTCATAAAACATCAAACATTCTCATCAATCTCAAAACAACTAACATTCATAAATCATTAAACATTCACAAACAATCTCAAAACATCAAACATTCTTGAAACAAAAACATTCTCTAGACAACAAACATTTTCAAAACTTAAAACATTCACATGACAACAAACATCCTCATGACAACAAATATTAAAACACTTCAAACATTCTTAAAACAACAAACGTTCTCAAAACAACAAACATTTTCAAGACAACAAACATTTTCAAGACAACAAACATTTTCAAGACAACAAACTTTTTCAAGATAACAAACATTTTCAAGACAACAAACATTTTCAAGACAACAAACATTTTGTTGACAACAAACATTAATTCTCTAAACATTAAACATTCTCAAGGCAACAAACAGTCAAAAAACATCATATTCTCTGAAATTGTGTGCAGTTAAAACTATAGTTCCAAATATATTTCAATTAGGATCTAAGAGGCGTAATATTATCTAGAGAAAACATTCTATATGATTAGAGAGCTCAGTCCAGGGTAGGATATTCTAAAAACGTGATTTAGTCCTTACCTGCCAATTAGCGTAGGATTTGGGCTACAGTCATGAATATTTCTCCCCTGTATTTGAGTCATAAGAGAAGATGTTTTTAAGTAGAAATACTTCACAAAACTTGAAAATAATTTTTTTTTATTTTCAGGTTGGGTTCATTTCTCTCTCCGGAGCTCAATCCCAGTTCCAGACACAGTTTCAGAACTTCCAGGCAGCTCCTAGAGGGGCCCCTGAAGGGGCTCTTAGGGGCAGTGGGGTCAATGAAGGGGTTTCAAGGGGAAGGGAGGTTCAGGCCCCTAGATCAGGGAATAGCAGAACTAATATCCCTGAGATAAACCATCTCCTGGTCGGAGAAGATCAAGGAGTAAGATCGGAGAGGAGAGAAACTACAACTCCTGTTTCAATCCTCAAACAAATTAACGAGTAAATATTTTCTTTCTTTTTCAATAAATGTAGAAAATAGATTTTATTAAATCTTATTTCTTAAATTCAAAAACTCTATTTTGAAAAATTAATTTAATTTCAAATTCATAAAGATTTTTTACCATTAAATAATAAGAGGTTTACTTTAATTATTTGTTGGAAACCCTGTATTGATCAATAAAAACTGTTTAGGCACAATGAGGATGGTTCGTATAGTTATGGTTACGAAGCTGCTGACGGAACCTTTAAATTAGAAACAAGGTTCGTAGATGGAACTGTTCAGGGTAAATATGGATATGTAGACGAGAACGGAGAAGTCAAGATTATCGAATACGGAGCAAATGCCATGGGATTCCAGCCCCAGGGAGATTTACCAGAAGGGATTATAATCCCTCCCCCAGTGGCAGGAAACTGTACGGATTGTGACTATGATTATGAGTACCAGGATATACAGAACCCTGATGTAGAGCAGGATAGAAGCAACAGGGTTATTCTAAACAGATCTAGAGGAGACCTGGAGCAACAACCTCGTATTCAGCAAGCTCCAAGTCAGAATAGAGGACAGGATTTGAACCAACCGATCACGGATCCTCCTCTCCCGAGACGTCCTGCTTCAGAACCTGGATTTTCCCAGTCCTTCAACGCATTCCCTGCAGCTCCTGCATTCCAACCCAGTCGTCCTGAACAGGAAACATTCTCAAGAGGTTCAATCCGTCTTTCTCCGGTCTCACGTCCTGATCCTGAAATCCCGCAAGCTCGTCCTGCTCCTGAAATCCCGCAAGCCCGTCCTGCTCCTGTTGTTTCCGAACCAGAGGAATCGGAAAACTCAGAATTTTCCAATTTTCCCGCCAGAAATAATCCCGCCCGCGCCAGATCTAACAGCAAACCTGCTCCTAGATCTCAGATAAAGGAGTTCTCCAGACCTTCAAGTATACCTAGAGAACAGGTGTCCAGGGTTCCACCCCAACCTCAGGATGACCGACAGATAAATATATTTAGACAACCAGCTCAGGTTCAGCAGGAACCAATTCTTCCAGCTTTCTCGACTCCCTCAAACTTCAATTCATTCCCTCAGGTTCAGGCTGGATCCAATCTTCCTTCGAGACCCTCAACTGGTTCACGTTTTTCTCCGGTAACTCAGGAGGTACGCCAAGAAGTCCCAGAGTTACGTCAAAGAGTCCCAGATGTACGTCAAGAAATCCCGGAGGTTCTACCTAAATCTGCTCTAGAAATTGTAGATTTTAACCAACTGGTTCAACAGTTTCAAGGAACTAGATCTGGTCAGCAACAGCAGCAGCAGCAGCCACAGTTTCAATCCTTCCAGGATACTGGAGCACAACGGTTCAATCCTTCTCAGGCCAGGTTCAGCACGGAGAATTTCCCGGTCAGATATTAGTTGTTAAATTTTAAACTATGTATAGATATTTATTAAATAAAAAAAATGTTTTGCCACATGAACACAGTATTAAAAGAACTAAACCAAAATTTTCTAGTCCCTATATCTCATTGCTCTTTTGCATCTTTGATATTCCTATTAAATCTAACAGTATTTGTATTTTGAAATATCGAATTTCCATAACATCAGGTTACACAGATATATGGAATTAATATTAATAGTATGAAATAACGAATGTCTATAACATCAGGTTGCACATATATGGAGTAGACATTCATAGTTTAAAATATCGAAGGTTAATAAAATCAGATTGCACATATATACGGAGCAAACATTCATAGTTTAAAATATCGAAGGTTAATAAAATCAGATTGCACATATATATGGAGCAAACATTCATAGTTTGAAATATCGAAGGTTTATAAAATCAGGTTGCACATATATATATGGAATAAACATTTAAGTATGAAATATCGAAGGTTTATAACATCAGATTGCACAGATATATGGAATAAACATTTATAGTTTGAAATATCGAAGGTTTATAACATCAGATTGCACATATATATATGGAATAAACATTTAAGTATGAAATATCGAAGGTTTATAACACAGATATATGGAATAAACATTTATAGTTTGAAATATCGAAGGTTTATAACATCAGATTGCACAGATATATGGAATAAACATTTATAGTTTGAAAAATCAGGTTGCACAAATATATGGAATAAACATTCATAGTTTGAAATATCGAAGGTTAATAAAATCAGATAGCACATATATATGGAATAAACATTCCTAGTTTAAAATATCGAAGGTTTATTACATCAGGTTGCACATATATATGGAATAAACATTTATAGTTTGTAATATCGAAGGTTTATTACATCAGGTTGCACATATATATGGAATAAACATTTATAGTTTGAAATATCGAAGGTTTATTACATAAGGTTGCACATATATATGGAATACAAAATTAGAGTTTGACGCGAGCATTAAGTTCTCTTTAGAAAAAGTTAACAAAAATTTCTACTTTTACTTTCGCAGATTCTAGACTGCTGAAAACTTGCTTCCAACGGTATTGCTAAAAAAATTGCAAAAATTATTAACATGACATAATGTTAGATTCCCCAATACAAATTTCAGAAAAATTAGAGAAAAAAATCGAAAAACAATCGAACACTTACCGAGTTTTATCACGGTTGAGTCCGGGTTCTTCTGTATATATTAAATAATATATTTTTCTATCTTTTGGGTTTGACTTTACAATTTTTCAGTTTTACGCATGAGAAAAATTATGTGGAGACTTAAAGTCAGGATTATACAATATGATATTTTATAACAATGATTTTACTCAAAAAAATATTCCAAAAAGTTTCAAATAGTTTTTAGGATAAAAGTAGTGGAAAACATTATAAAATCCTTAAAATTGTTTACTAAAGCGGGTTCATTGAAGCAGACATGACATTTTATGCCTGGAAATGAAGTATTGCACTTTAGGGATTAAAATTACTTGATTTTCCAGTCCTTAAAGTGCAAGCGAACCCTGTCTGCTGTTAGCCTGTTAGTTGTTTAAAAAGGTTTAAATGTCACCGCTCCAATTCATCATCTGTTATAAAAAGATTCATCAATTTTCAAAACTGGATCGACATTGAAGTTTCGCAACGCCTTTGCATTTAAAAAATTCGGGAAAATAGAACTCGGGTCTAAGCTGTCGGCTTGAGCTTTCGGATTCAAGTTGCATCTTATTTTCATGGGAGTTGAGTTTAAAAACCGGTTTAATATTCTATTTGGCGGATTTTCATGGTAGGAATTGGCGCATTAAGGGTTTTTATAAGAACAAAACTCAACATTGAGCCTTATTCTCAACTAAAACCAACCAAGGTTGGTTTTATTTTCATTGGGCCTAACTCCTTATGTCGAGCCAAAGATGTTGTAGCTGTCAATTACGTGACACAAGCTGTCGTCATGAGTTGGGTCGAAGATTGGGTCTTAAAGTCGGGTTTAAGGAATTACGGCTCGAGCCGAAATTTTTTAATCGCAGGCTCAGTTCTATCAGGTTGGCCTAGAAATGTTCATTTTAAAACTATAAAGCACTTGTTATTAGCTTTATGTTATAAGAAGTAATTAGCAAAATTATCATCGAGTTTTGCTTGAGAGCTTGCAACCTTTGGATGACTGTGCTTCCTGTAACGGGAATGGGATGGGTTTAAATATCACATCTATCTATGGATGAGCGCGTTCTGGCTTTTTCTCAGTTTGTTTTCTACATAATTCCTTATATTAGCTCGTATTTGACTTTTTATGCAATAATCCTACTCTTTTTGCAAAGAAGAACGGTATTCAGTCACGTTTACACCATGAACTTTAAGTTAAGGTTTTAGTTTTTCTTTGGGTTTTCATTCATTCATTTTAATAATATTTCCAGTTCTAATCTGTCCTATTCTATTTACACTTCTATTATATTTTATTTCTGGTTCTATCCTATACTATTTCCGGTTCTATCCTATTCTATTTCTGATTCTATCCTAGTCTATTTCCGGTTCTATCCTATTCTATTTCTGGTTCTATCCTATTTTATTTCTGGGTCAATTCTATTCTATTTCCGGTTCTATCTTATTAAATTTCCCAATTTCTTTTTTAATTTACAAATAATCTTCTATATAAAATGTTCTTAAATGCGTCACTAAATAAATAAAATTTGATTTAAAATCTGAATTTATTTGAGTTGAACGTAAGCACTACCGAATGTTTCAAATAAACAATTTCTTTCTTCACAAATAATTCTTTATAAATACTGCTCTAAAATGCGTTACTAAATAAAGAGTGTATGATTTAAAATTTGAATTTATTTGAGTTGAATGTAAAGACTACCGAATCTTTGAATTAAACACTTTGTTTTTCTCTTCACAAATAATTCTTTATAAATACTGTTCCAAAATTCGTCACTAATTAAGAGTATATGTTTTAAAATCGGAATTTATTTGAGTTGAATGTAAGCACTACCGATTGTTTTAAATAAACGAATAGTTTCTTTTAATTATTCAGTTTGAACAGAACTGAAACGCCTCCGGAACTAACAGAAAACAGCGACAAATTGCAACGCCGAGAAACCAAGATGTCACAAGATAAGGGGACAACGAAGAGACTGAAGTCTTGTCTCTCTCGCTTTCTGTCGACCATCCATGTTTATATAGCTGAAATGTTAACGAGGAACCTCAATGATCCTAGTTAGTACATTTCTTAAATATGCTGTCTCAATACTAAAGAGCTAACATAATTGCTCTTTGGTTTAAAAGATACTAACGATGAACCATCAATGTTCTTATTTAGTATATTTCTTAATTATTACTGTCTCAATACTAAAGAGCTAACATAATTGCTCTTTGGTTTAAAAGATACTAACGATGAACCATCAATGTTCTTATTTAGTATATTTCTTAATTATTACGCTCCTTCTTTAACCTTGCTTATGAAGCATCAATACTAACGAGTTAGCATAATTTCGCTTAAAATTAAAAGCGTTCCTCGTTGGTATGATTTTTTATACTGTTCCTTCATTTATCCAGTTTATACAGTCTCAAAACTAATGAGCTAACATAAATTCTCTTTTTATTCAAAAAAGAAAACTAGCTCCCGCGCATGTATTATGAAAACATGCACACAGTTATTTGTAGCACATTCTAATATGCGACAACACAAAGTGTTAGTAATAACCCTCAGTTTTATTGAATACAGATATGCTATCACATGATAAATAATGTATTTTGTTTTTTCTTTTCTCTTGAACTGCTGCCTCACCAATACTTGAATATAAATGTATCATTAAATTTGGCGGGAAAAAACAAAGAAAAAAAAATGTATCCGTAACTTAACTGTTCTCTTCTTAATTTCGTTTTTCAAAAATGAATGTACACGATATTGTTGTAAAATATTTTTATTTTTGTTACATGTAAACAATTTTGTAAAAATTAACATAATCTCGACACGGAGATAATAAATATCTAGATCACAAAAAAAATTTCCGGTTGTATCCTATTCTATTTCCGGTTCTATCCTATTCTATTTCTGGTTCTATCCTATTCTATTTCCGGTTCTATCCTATTCTATTTCTATTTATGTCTATCCTTTGCTATTCCTGGGTCTATGTCATTCTATTTCCATGTAATTTTATCCCTTTTCATTTCCGCTTCTATCCTCTTCTATTTCCGATTCTATCCTGTTTTTTCCGGATCTATCTGATTCTATTCCTAGTGATCCTATTTTATTTCCGGTGTTATCTTATTCTATTTAAGGTCTATCTATTATATTTCCGGTGTTATCTTATTCTATTTCCGGGTCTATCCTATCATGTTTCCGGTTTTATCTTTTTCTATTTCTAGGTCTGTACTATCTTATTTCTGGGTCTATTCTATTCAATTATGGGATATTCTATTCTTTTTCCGGTTTTATTCTTTTCTATTTCCAGTTTTATTCTTATCTAATTCCTGTTCTATTCTTCTCTATTTCCACTTCTTACATATTATATTTTCAGTTCGAGCTTTTTCTATTTCCGGTTCTATCCTATTCTATTTCGTGTTCTATTCTTTTCTATTTACGGTTCTTCTATTTCTGGGTCAATATCATTCTATTTCCGGTTGAATATCATTATATTTCCGCTTCTATCCTATTGTATTTTCGGTTCTATCCTATTCTTTTCCAGTTCCATACAATTCTATTTCCGGTCAAATCCTATTCTATTTCCGGTTCTATTCTGTTCTATTTCAAGTTCTATTCTATTCTATTCTATTTCTGGTTCTATCCGATACTATTTCCAGCTCTATCCTATTCTATTTCCAGTTTTATTCTTTTCTATTTCCGGTTCTATTCTATTCTATTAGGGTCAGATACAGCACAGACATGACATTTTAAACCAGGGTTTTTTAGAAAATTAAAATTAATGACGTGAAACATAAATTTTTAACAGTGTTTCAATCTTTGAGAAAATAGACTGTTTCTTAGATACTTAATCTTTGAGTAAATATATTTACCTACAGTGGCGCCCATAAAACTGTGGAATAGGATGACGACAGTTAGACATCAAGAATGTTTAAAAACAAAAATTGAAATCTTGAAAAAAGGCAATGTAGCTTTTTTTCTCAATCAATTTGAAATTATAAATCTTAAAAGTGTGAGCTAAAATATTTATAAATTAATAACAAAGAAATTGAGTCTTTGTCACAAATTCTAATTTTCTAATCCCTAAATCTTTGAATCCCAATGTCGTACACCTTAGATATTTCAAACTATGAATTCTGTTAGATCAAATATCTTAAGCTTGAAATATTAAAGGTTAACACCATCAGGTTGCAAAGATATAGGGCTTAGAATATATTATTTTATGGCAATGTCTTAGTTCCTTTGTTTTGGGTCGTTTTTTTAATATGTTTTCTTTCATTGTTAAAATTCGGCCAACACTTAAGAAAAACAAATGTTTAGAAAAAACAATTTTAAAAAAAATTTGCTTTGCATGAGGCCAAATATCTGAAAGAACAAATCTGCAAAAAATAAACCTCTAAAAGCACATCATAGGGGAACGTATAATCGTATATAATATACCGGGTGTATAAATGAACAAGGGTATAAAAAATATACCGGATGTAAAAAATGTATAATTTACCAGGTGCGGAGTGTATAAATAAACGTAGGACCAAGGGTGTATAAGTGAACAAGGGTATAAATTACTAGGTTTTAGGGCGCTTCGCGCCACCTCTTCCTGTAAATAATTTTAGCTTTTTAACTGCTGCTCTGAAAGTCGGCCATTTTAAATCATTTCCTAATTTTGGCGGATTTTCCCTTTCGAATTGGCGCATTTAAAAAAAAATCAAACCATTTTCCTGGAATTTTTTTCTTCCAATTTTGATATTTCATGAAACGGACAGACACCCAAACATACAAAAAAACAGACAGAGAAGCAAAGCATGTATACAGCTAGAAATCATATACTTCATTTTCATTTCTACACCCGGTAAATAATGTACCGGGTGTTTATCAAGTATATATCTGAAGATCAAGGAATGGATTAGGTGACGTCTAAACTAATAATCTTGTATAAGTGTGATATGAAATGTCAACTGTATATCAATATCCAGAAATAAATCCGTAAAATCGGAAACTAACTTCTGTACACTCTACAGTCTCAATACACAACAGATGGTAGGGAGAATATGCAAATTCAGAAATATGCGTGCAAAACAGGGGGGACCTCTCTTTCACTTAAAAACCCATAAAAAAAATTTCGAGATTTGAGAAAATGAATCATTAATTAAATCTGAGGCCCCACCACTGAGCTTAAATTTTACAAATTCTATGAAAGAATGATAGAATAGAATACCAGAATACTTAATTAAAATAATGAAAGGTTGACAGAATGGAAGATTGAAAGATCAGAATGAAAGGATAAAAGAAAGTAAGAATTTATGTATTAGAGGAAAGGAAGAAAGTAGGAATATATATATTAAAGGATAGGAAGAAAGTAAGAATATATAAATTGAAGGAAAGGAAGAAAGTAAGAATTTATATATTGACGGAAAGGAAGAAAGTAAGAATATATATATTGAAGGAAAGGAAGAAAGTAAGAATATATATATTGAAGGATAGGAAGAAAGTAAGAATATATATATTGAAGGATAGGAAGAAAGTAAGAATATTTATATTGAAGGAAAGGAAGAAAGTAAGAATTTATATATTGAAGGATATGAAGAAAGTAAGAATATATATATTGAAAGATAGGAAGAAATTAAGAATATATATGTTGAAGGAAAGGAAGAAAGTAAGAATATATAAATTGAAGGATAGGAAGAAAGTAAGAATATATTTATTGAAGGAAAGAAAGAAAGTAAAAATATATATATTGAAGAATAGGAAGAAAGTAAGAATATATATATTGAAAGAAAGAAAAAAAAGTAAGAATATATATATTGAAGGAAAGAAAAAAGTAAGAATATTTTATTAAGCGAAGGGAAAAAAATAATATCTATACTGAATGAAAGGAAAAAAGGAATAAAATGTAAATTGAATGATAGGAAGAAAGGAAGAATATATATATATTAAATAAAAGGAAGAAAGAAAGAATTTATATATTTATAAATTGATGGAAAGGAGGAAAGGAAGACAGGAAGAATTTATATATTTATACATTAAGGAAAGCAAGAAAAAATGAATGTGTGTATATATATTGAAGGAAAGGAAGAATGGAAGAATATATATTTATGGAATGAAAGGAAGTAAGAAAGGTAGAACTTTTTTGTTGAATGAATGAAATGAAGAAAGAAAATAAATATTTTGAATGAAAGGAACAAAATATATCTAAAGAAGGCCGGAAAGGAAGAATATATATTGAATGAAAGGAAGAACATATATATAATGAAGGAAAAGATGTACATATATATTGAATGGCCGGTTTAGAAAATATTTCTATATTTCTCCGAATTAATATATTTGTTGATAGTTCTGGTGGTTGGTGAAAAGAATCAATTCTCCGCTCGGACTGGAGTCAAAACTCCCCCCTTATATGTCCTTATGTTTTTTAAAACATTAAACATAAAGAATAAATGAAAAATTCACATCTAAAGTAAAGACTCTGTGAGCTTGTAAATCCAAGACTGTATAGGCTCGCTTTGAACTAGGCATACTCGAAATACATATGTAGAGGTAAATAAATATTTCAACTTACAACAACGACATTAATTTAATATTTACATAAATAATTACTTATTTAATGTCAAAATACTGGCACTTATAAAAGTCAAGGAACTGAACTAATTTTCTCATTACTATATCTTTGCAACCTGATTTTGTACACAATTTCAATATTTCAATCTAAGAATTTGATTGAAGATCAAATAGTCTACGCATGCATTATTAAAGGTTCATACCATCAGGTTGCAAAGATTTTGGAATTCGAAAATTAGAGTTTAAGGCAATTAAGTGTTCACTTCCTCCTCTCTATGTATATTGTATATTATATACTGTATAAAGAGAGATTGGTTAGGTTGTGATGAGACGGAGAGAGATTGGTTGTGTTATTATGAGACGGAGAGTGATGAGTTGGGTTGTGATGAGACGGAGAGAGATGGGTTGGGTCGTGATGAGTTTGAGAGAGATGGGTTGGGTTATGATGAGACGGATAGAGATGGGTTGGGTCGCGATGAGTTTGAAAGAGATGGGTTGGGTTGTGAGTGACGGATTTTTTAAGTGCACCAATAAAATGGTTTAATTAAGATAATATGGGTAACATGAGATTAATTGGGTCGAAGGAAGAAAAAGGTTGGATTAAGATGATATGGGTTGGTTTTGAGGAGTGATATGGAAGGATTAAGATGGGATGGATTGGGATGAAGGGAAGAGCCAGGTTGGATTTAGATGAGAATGGTTTTTTCAGAGGAGGGGTTGCATTAAGTTGAAAGATGGGTGGGAGGGAAGAGAAAGGTTGGGTTAAGATGGGATTGGTTGGGTTTGAGAGAGGGTTTTAAATAAGCTTAACTGAGTTAGGTTGAAGGGATGTGACGGGTTGGGTTAAGATGGTTAGGGTTGTAGGAGAGAGATGGATTGAATTATGATGAGCTGGGATATATTAGATAAGATAGGTTATATTAGATAAGATGGGTTGGGTTGGAGAATAGAGATGGGTTAAATTAAGATGAGCTGCGATATATTAGATGAGATGGGTTGAGTGGGAGGAGAGAGAGATGTGTTGAATTAAGCTGAGCTGGGATATATTAAATGGGATGGGTTGGGTGGGAGGAGAGAGATGTGTTGAATTAAGATGAGCTGGGATATATTAGATGAGATGGGTTGGGTTGGAGGAGAGAGATGGGTTGAATTAAGGTGAGCTGGGATATATAGATGAGATGGGTTGGGTGGGAGGAGAGAGATGGATTGAATTAAGCCAAGCTGGGTTACATTAAATGAGATGGGTTGGGTTGGAGGAGAGAGATGCGTTGAAGAAGGATGAGTTGGGTCATATTAGATGAGATGGGTTGGGTTGTAAGAGAGATATGGGTTGAATAAAGATGAGCTGGGTTATATTAGATGAGATGGGTTGGGTTTGAGGGAAGGGATAGGTTGGGTTGAGATACGATAGGTTAGGTTGGCCGGAGGAGAGAGAAAGGTTGAAGATGAGATTATAGGGTAGAATGACCTTACTTCAGGTAGGGGAAACTGATTAACAGTTTTTAACATTCAGCAGTGTCATCATGTATCTAATAAATTGATAAACAACAGAAAAACTGAGAATGTCTTGAGAGAAAATTGATTTTTTTATATCTACACCCCGCCTCCCAATATTCCCCCAGCCAATTATATTTGGTTTGAAGTCTGTGGACCAATCAGAGGAGAGATATTCCGACAAATGAGAGGCAGAGGAGCTGTGGCCTTCACCCTTGGGACACAGATGGATCAGATTACCATCACCCCTCACACTGATACCCCACCATCAGCTCTTCAACACTGATAACTCAAAATCAGCTTTAAGACCAGCTTTCATCCCTTACACTGATACATTAAAATCAGCTCTAAAACCAGCTATCAGCTATTTCACTAATACCCCATCATCATCTCTTTTACTCATACTATCAGCCCACTATCAGCCCTGAGACTTCATGCAGCCCTTAATAGTCTGAAATATTGATAAAATCAGCTGCAAAGAAAATATGAAAACCTGATTCCAAAATTCAACATCATTATTTTCTGAAAAATCTCTGGCTACCAGAATCCAAGAAAGAAAAGACCAATTTAAGCAAAAAAAAGGTAAAAAATTGATTTATTTATATTTGAATTTATCAAACAATACAAATTACTATTTGGCGATGAAAAATAGCTCGTATTTAAAGTAATAATTTAAAGTAATCGTTCATTACAAGGAACCATTTTAACCTTTCTGTGATAAATGAGGCATCCTTATTTTTCTAGCTTATCATTGATGTTATTTTCAATTGTGGCTTTTCTCCTAGGGGACTTTTGGATTTATGCTGCAAAAACAATGAAGGAAACAGAATTCAAGACCATTTTAAACTCTTCTTTTAGAGTCAAATGTTCGATTCAATGTACCTTTAAAAGCTTCTCTGATCAAAGGAATCAGATATCTATTTAATTCTTTTTAAAAACTGAGTCAATTTTCAGCAAAAGTGACTTGCACAATTATGCTGCAGAAACAAAGGAAGAATTACAAAAATTAGTTTTTAAAAAAGAAAAACGAAAATATCTTCCACATTTTTCATCAAAAAGAGGTTTAACCCCTGTGAACCGGTCTTGCCATCCTTTTTTTCTTTTCTTGATTTGAATAGAGAAAAATGTTAAAAGAGATGCTGCTCTTTTTCAGAATCAGAAAACTTATGTTAATAAGTAGATAAAAATTCGAAAAAACCGCTTTCTTCTAACGCGGTTCATGATCTTAAAATTTGACATTTTATGATTTGCTGCGTTAAAAAAAATTTGCATTGCTGACAATTGATATATTTCGAGGTCTGTATAAAATAAATGACACCCAATGTTGTCTTCTTTGGCATCTTAAAAATAGTAGATATTGATGGTTTACACAATTTTCGAAAATTTTTACTGAACTGGGACAAGTTTTGTGAATGTATTATATATTTCAGACTGTGTACATTTTGTAATTCCCAGAATAAATGAAATATGGTTTCTATTATTTATTGTTTCTCCCATATTATACATGAAGTAGTTTTATCTGCTTGTTTGCTGTCCAATGATAATAAGCTCATAATCCCCTTGACCAATTTTCTACAATTTTTATTGAGGAACTCGGTACAACCACAGGAATTTTCTAAGCTTGGTTTAACGTCTATAAGTGGGGTTATTTTTTAGTACGCCTAGTCCATTAGCGCCTGATCCAATCAGGGTTCAGCCATATGTTTGGTGTCTATTCTGAACCAATAGAAATTGCATGGCGGTAACATCTATCTTTCTATCTATCTCACTATCCAATCAGAGATAAATCCTTATATCGGCGCTATCAGTAAATGGAAATATCTACTTCTACTGAAACTAAAGATTAGAGTTTAGTATTCAGGCAAAGCTTGGGTTCCAAGCTATTTATTACGTAAATCCATGAGAACTTCTAATTATCGTTCATTTCTAGCATTCTTTGGGAAACTTTGTATCAAATAATTTTTAGATGTGTGACGGAATACAGAGTGCTGTTATACACAGCAGTACCACCCAGTGGGATCTAGGGGGCGGGGAACTCTGGCCAGCAGGCATTCCTTACCAGCCACACCCTATCTGGGACTCCACCCACCCGCAGTACCAACCAGAGATATTTGGTTTCGGACCAGACTTCTGGGCTACACAGAGAGGGTCAACTAGTTCATCCAGGTATACTTTTCCATCCTACATTCATCCAGGTATACTTTTCCATCCTACATTCATCCAGGTATACTTTTCCATCCTTCATTCATCAAGGTATACTTTTCCATCCTTCATTCATCCAGGTATACTTTTCCATCCTTCATTCATCCAGGTATACTTTTCTATTCTGCATTCATCCATTCTGGATTCATTTATTTAAAATTTATTGTGTGGCGGTCACACTTTACGTGATCTATATAGATGGTTTCAGAATATTCCCAGTCAACATAGATCCAGACTTTTATGTTTTATGTTTAAGTTGCATTTTTAAAACTGGGTCTACCTTAAACTGTTGCAATGCCTTGTCTGTGATTTAAACTCACTAACTCATTTTCCTTCATGTAGCACTTATAGAAAATAGACATTTTCATCCTTAACACCCCGGACTAACCAGGATTAGATGCAGTTGGTTTCTTCTATTAGAATTCAATCACGTGTTGTTCTACAATTCAACAATCTAACGCATTTGGTAAAAAAAGTATGAAAAAGAAAAAGTGAAAGAATACGTTTAATTGGTTCAAATTGGGTTCGAAAGTCATAGTTCTCTGGGATAAGGGCAAACCGTGTTATCCACGTGTTAAACTATAAGACTTTGTTTTAGCTTTATCAAAATATTTGGCAAAATTCTCATAGATTGCGGGAGAGCTTGCAATCTTCACTATGTACCATTCATACCCCGCAGTATAAATACCTCATTGTATTGTAATATGTTAGTATTAAGTTTGTTCTTTTTAATAAAATTATGTAAACTTACATAGTTGTTCTCATAGCCGGCCATTCATTTATTAAATCATTAATTAATTCTATAGTTTCTGCATTCATTCTTTAATTCATTAAAAAATCCTGCTTTAAAAGAGAAAGTTTTTCAAAAGTTGAAAATATCAAAATTTCCTCTAGATTGGCACTCTCTAAAGCGGCGAAGAAAAGGCGAAGGATTGCAACTGCCGCTCAGCGTAGAGCGGCGAATATTCGAGAAAGACGGCGAATGTTTAATCTGAACGAGGCGTTTGACAGATTAAGGACTAAGGTAGAATTGTAATTCATTAAAATATATCATTTTATTTTTAGTTTAATGCTTTGCAGAACTTAAACAAAAAAGTTTAGAAATGAAGTAGAATTCATTTTGTTAATCATTTTTTTTTAAAGAGGCGTAATTTCAAATAACCCTCAGTCTTACCAATAGAACTTTTTACTGTACAGTGTACATCAATGATATTCTCAGGTTTTCTGCTTGATTTTTTAGTGAATTTCAGATTTGCACAAATATAAAAATCTTGTTAAACAGACAACTAGACAACATATATAGAAGTGTATATTTTTCAAAATATAAAAAAATCTAACCTTTCTTATTTTTGTTTAAAGTTAATAAATAAATATTATTTAAGTTACATGGTTTCTCCACATAAGTCACTTGAGCATTTTTGCTTCAGAAACAATGGAAGAAATTGTCAAAATCAAACACTTTTTAAGCGGACGTGACCCTCCTTAAATGGAGAATCACTCGAAATTACAAGAACTGTCCCTTTAATCTGAAAGTTTCCATCTTTGTTTTGAAATTTGAATTTCATGTTTTTAGGTTCCTACATTTGCTTACGAGAAGAGATTATCCCGGATAGAGACCTTGAGATTAGCAATCACTTATATATCATTCATGGACGAGCTACTCAACACCCCTCAAGGGGGTACATGCAGGAGGGGGCCGCAGATCCTGCCCCACCCCTTCGGGATACACTCCTTGCCAACTATGAACAAAAATTAATTTGAGATTTGAAATGTATATTTTCGTTTATTATCCTGCCAACAGTAGAAAAAGGCATTACAGAAATATCACATAGCTAGATATACAGGGTTACCCACAAAGGATGAGACGATTGTACGGAATTTGTACTATCTGTTTCCTTACGTTCAGAATCCCCTGCAACTTTAAACTTATTTCTGTCTTTGCTTAATTATTTAATAAGCTAATTAAACCGCATAATCGTCATATTTAAAGAGATTTAAGTCGTCTTTACAGTCTCATCCTTTGTTGGTAACCCTGTAGATAGAATAGAAATTTTCATACGGTGGTAAGCGTTTATATCACAACTATGAAGACGACTTTTTATTTAAGTTTTGATTTTTTCTTCGGATTTCAAGTTTTCAAGCAGTGAAAAAAGCTTTTTTTAAATTGATAATTTCTTTTGACTTTTATGTTTTGTGTATCCATGCTGTTTAACAGCTAAGTTTATATGAAAATTTAATTTGAAAGGTTTTCTTTGTATTGATATAATCGCCTACAACTGTATTTCATAATTCAAACAGTAATAACCAGAAAACTATGAAATTAAAAGACGACATCAAAACTATATTTAAGTGCATTTGATGTTGTTACTAAGCTAATATGTTTTACCAGTAGATTGAAGATTAACTTTATTAGTAAAATGGCGCTGTTTAAACTGGAAAATTGCCGTGTCTCATGTTTAATAGACTATATGAAGTCATTGAGTCTTAAAGTCGTCTTCCTATTCCAGAGTTTCCTGCTTTTCACTGTCGCAGCTTCATGGATTTTCTAAGACTAAACATTATGGATATCCGACTAGTGTAGTACTGATATCGGATATCAGTAGTCAGTACTGATATCGGATATCAGTAGTCAGTACTGATATCGGATATCAGTAGTCAGTACTGATATCGGATATCAGTAGTCAGTACTGATATCGGATATCAGTAGTCAGTACTGATATCGGATATCAGTAGTCAGTACTGATATCGGATATCAGTAGTCAGTACTGATATCGGATATCAGTAGTCAGTACTGATATCGGATATCAGTAGTCAGTACTGATATCGGATATCAGTAGTCAGTACTGATATCGGATATCTGTAGTCAGTACTGATATCGGATATCAGTAGTCAGTACTGATATCGAATAAGCCTAAAAAGTAGGAATCTAATGTGACCGTCAGCTTAGTTTCAAGTAACCGTCCATGCAGAGATGGACAATGGACATACCCTTGAAACCTTAATCTGATCAAAAATGTGTACACTTACAACTGTTTACTAATATTAATATACTATAGGTTAGGCCAGAATCAACTTATTATAAACAAATTTGCATTACGCTCTCGAAATGGTCGATGGCCTGTACAATTATTAAAGGATTAGCGTACATCATCACTCTATACACTATAACCTCGTTGGTATTTCTCCATTCAATCTTTAAATCAAGAAAAGCTAGTCACTTTCGCAAAGAATTGCAAATGAAATTATACAGTTTAAAGATACAAACAAATAAATATCTAATTCAAACGTTTTAAATCGGGCATTGCCTCCTCTGCAAGGAGGGTAGCTTAAAACTTGAAGCTAAGCCAAAAATGTTTCCCCTTCTTGATAAAGGAATCAAGTCTTTGCTACAACTCTGATTTTCTAATCCCTATATCTTTGCAACCCGATATCGTAAAACTTATAGATATCAAACTATCAATTCTGTAGAATATCACATATATAGAGTTTGATATATCACAGGTATACGCCATCAGGCTGCAAAGATATATAGGAATAATATTTTTAAAGATTGTTGCAAGCTAGGAGAGACTAAATTTCTTTCTTTTATAGTCAAAAAATAAATTTAAATCTACAAAATTATTATTTTCTCTTTTTTCCCTGCAAATTATTATCACTAAAATTTAGATTTCTGCTTAATCATAGGAATTTATAGAAAATATTAAGATATTCTTTAATTTATTAATTAGATCTTTAGTAGAATGTGCTATCAGTAAATGGAAATATCTACTTCTACTGAAAATCAAAAATGTTGAAACTTCAGAGATTACACGGAATTAATAAAGTCTGCTTTTCTCACATTCATAATTCACTGCAACATGTAACAATGTTTCACCCTATGCCAAATAATTGAATATGCCATTAAAATCTAAATAAGGCAGATAAGTAATTCAACCTCGTTATAGTCATATTTTAAGAGTTTCATATCGTCTTTACAGTCTCATCCCTGCAGGTGGGTAATTAGAAAAATTAGAAAAAAGCGCTGTTTTCAGGATTTCAAGTAAAAAAAACAGCATTTTATAATTGTTGAAGGGTGGGCTCTGTGCTTAATAATATACCAAATTCTTCTAGTGTCTTTTCATGTTACATTTCATGGTGTATGTTAGTCATATTTACTATTATAAGGTCTTCTATTTACAATCTTCAGAAGTTTTTTTTTTGTTATTGATCCACTAGTCATATTTGTCCACTATATATGTAGTTCCTTAATCGTAGGTCTTACAGTAGTAGTATTTCCGGTATATATACTCAGGGGCGGATACAGGATTTAAGTGGGGGGGGGGGGGGCAAGATTTTTTAGGAACAAAAAAAATAATAATTAGGAACAAAGAACCGTGCTGGAGGCGAAAATTTTTTTTGACTTAAGACTCAAAAAGAGTCAAAATTAATGACTAAAGACTAAAAAACTAGATTTTTAAGTTTAGGAACAAAAATAAAGGATTAGGACAGGAATTTAGGAACAATTAAAAGATTGTTCAGGAATTAGGAACAAAAATAAAGGATTAGGACAGGGATTTAGGAACAATTAAAAGATTGTTCAGGAATTAGGAACAAAATTAAAGGATTCGGACAGGGATTTAGGAACAATAAAAAGGTTTAGGAATTAGGAACAAAAATATAGGATTAGGACAGGGATTTAAGGTGGGTCGGACACAGTATTAGGAACAGGAACAATAATAGGAACATTAGCAATTTAAGAACAAAAATAAATTTGATAAATGAGTATTGATTAAGGAACATTACTAGATATGAACAATATTATAACTTAAGTCTAGTTTCTTACAAATTTCTAATTCTAAATTTATCGTTAACAATAACACTTATCAAATTGGGAACATTTTTTGCCTCGAAATCTCAGGGGGTGGCGAATGTCCCCCCGCCCCCCCCCTGTATCCGCCCCTGTATATACTTGACTATAATTCGTCTGTCCATAATCCAAAATAGTTTTTCTGATCGAAGTCCCTCTGTCCTTGCTTGCCAGTAAAGGGCTTATCCCCTGTTTTCCTTTTATAGTCTGTAAAAGTTCTAATAGTCCGATATAATCCTTATATTTTATTTATATTTCTTGTTATTCTTCTTAGGTCGTCAGGTTTTTTCTCACCTTACAGTTAAATGGTTTATGTAACGTATTGTAATACTCATGAGAAGTAACATATACAGGTATATACAGGTATATACAGGTATATACAGGTATATACAGGTATATACAGGTATATACAGGTATATACAGGTATATACAGGTATATACAGGTATATACAGGTATATACAGGTATATACAGGTATATACAGGTATATACAGGTATATACAGGTATATACAGGTATATACAGGTATATACAGTTTTTTTGAGAAAATAAATTAAGAATGACTGAATTTCTTCAAGTCGTAAGCGAGAAAATAGTTTAAAATTCAAAATTCTATTAGAACTGATGTGCGAAGCGCCAAAGAAAAAAGTTGGTATTTTTTCTTAATTGACAAAATTGGATAAAAGATTGTCCACAACCATGATCATGGTCCTCAAGTGAGGGGGTGGGGAGAGGGGGGGGATAGTGGGTTGAAACATGTTGAGGAGGGGGGTGGGCTAAACTCGGTTTGCCCCCCCCCCCCTAGTGGCACTAGAAATAAAGTTTCTCTCTCTCTGATTAAGCACCTGAATGCTTCAGAACAGTATTCAAGGGGGGGGGGATAGGGGCTCAGCTCCCCGGGCCCCCTCTAGTTTATTAATTATATATATTTTATGATATTGTTTAATTTTAAATTTCGCGCGGTTTATTTTTTTAATTATCAGAGAAGATTTTTGCCCTGTGATATATGTCAATCTGTCATTGTCATTTTTTAAAGCATATGTCAAAAAATTTTCAGATAATTCATTGTGGTACTTTATTTTCAGGGAACAGTCCCTGTTTTAGATTCATTTTAGCAATTCAGGAGGGGGGGGGGGGCTCAAATTGTTCCAGGGGGGGGGGCTAACCCACCAAAAAGATTTTCCCTACGGGCACAATTTTAAGCCCCCCCTGGACTAAATCCTGAATACGCCTCTGGATCGCTTCTATTTAAAAGTTTCCGTTTTGGATATCTCTTTTAAAAATTGTGGCCTCTGACCCGAGCTGCTAGTGTTTTTCAGTTATTTTCGTTCTATTAAAAGTTCCTAACTAGGTTTAAACTGTATAATAAACTCTTCATTTAAAAGTTCCTAGCTAGGTTTAAACTGTATAATAAACTCTTCATTTAAAAGTTCCTAGCTAGGTTTAAACTGTTTAATAAACTCAAAGAGCTTGAACTATCTTTGTATAAACTGCTAAACAAACCGGAAAATCAACTTTCACCACGTAAACGAATTAATAAAGATAATCTTATTTTTCAGTTAGTTGAATATCATACAACAACTGCACAAACTGCTCACTTACATCTTCATAACAAGAAAACTGTAGAATAGGAAACGACATTAAAACAATACTGAAGTGAATAATTATTGCTACAATGCAAATAGCTTACTATTAAGTAAAATGGGTCTGTTTCCACTGCACAATTTCTGTGCCTCATGTTTATTTGACTATTTTAAGTCATAACTTGAGTCTAAAAGTCGAATTCCTATTCCTGGGTTAAAATATTTTTTGGTTATCAGGGAAAATGGGTCAGAATTGCCAAAATGGAGCAAAGTATGAAAGAGTTAGAAGGGTTTATATATAGTAATGAAATATATTAAAATAAGAGTTTTTGTAACCAAGAAATTTATTTTTAGAGCCAATTAATTAGAGTAAAAATAAATTATTAAATTTAAGGTTTTAATCGATAAAAAAAAAAACAATTATCACATAGAATATGTAAAAATTTTAATCATTAAAATTTAATTTTTATTTTGGAGTTTCTGAAAGATATTGCACTAGATAAAACATTATTTGCGAGTTCAATTCATATTTTCTTCCATTTGAAAAGAAAATTGTTAAATTTTTTACTATTTCTGTCCGAGTGTTCCCATGGTTATAAAATTAGAGCGTCTACCAGACCAGCTACTAGTTAATTCTCTTAAAAACTTTGATAACCAGTTAAAACAGTGAAATCTCGTCGTCCCCTGTTTACTTTAAAATATCGCTTATAAGTACCACCACATGTAATAAAAACCGTTCCAAATCTCATAGTTATACAATTGAAGATAAATTAGATTGTACATTTTCCGTAAATCTAAATGCGCTTAACTACACTTATATATATATCTTCTTGGTTAGCAAAGGAGAAGCGTCCTGAATCACTCTCCATTGAAAGATATAGATCTAGATTGGGAATCTTATAGATATAGTTGTGTCTGGATTGACATTGATAGTAAAGTTTACTGAACTGAAAAGTTCTTATGCATCCCCAGTTGGTTCGTCCTATTAGTCTCATATGAAGTCTTGTTGAGCTAAAGGCCTCTATGGAAGATCAAATGGACGATTTCCCAAGGAGTTAATCCCTGGGCGTCTGAGAATATGTAGTGTAAAATGTTTGGTTTGGCCACCGGAGAAATTTTGGTCAAAGACGACCTTGCAGCGCAGTAAGATCGATCATTTGTCTTGGTTAGCAAGTCTTTATTTGTTTATATTTATATTCAGATTTCCAAAATGCTGTCAGTTTCACTTTCTCGCAACATGAGGAAATCTTTAACAGATCTCATCGGATCAAGGTTAGTTTTTAAGAGACTGTAAGCGTAATTTTGAATGACCCTCCATGCAAAGGATGGCCTTGCCCGATTCATTACAGTACCCTTGAATTGAAACTTTTATTTGACCGATAATGTGAAAGATATTGTCGTTTTTTTAGGCTTAAAAGTGTTTAATTTCACAGTTTACAGATAAAAGGCGAAAGTCTTTTTTGAAGAGAAATCACAAGTGGAAATAATCAACTTTCAAAATAATAAACAAAGATATCTGATTCATGCTTGATCAGATATAGGGTTTAAGGGTACTGCTTTAAATTGGGCAATGTCAACGAGGTTATAGTGTATAGAGTGATAATGTACGCTAATCCTTTACTAATTTTATAGGTCATAAACTATACCGAGAGCGTACTGCATATTTGTTTATTATAAATTGATTTTGGCCTAACCTATAGTATATTAATATTAGTAAACAGTTGTAAGTGTACAGTACAGCTAACTGAGCACACCGGTAGAGAACTATCATTCCTCCTGGGGAATGCCATCTTTGCATGAATGGCTAATTGAAACTATAGCTTAAAGCCCTTTTCAAAATAAAAGTGAATTTTAATATAAAATGATTTAGCTTAAGCTGGAATGATTGTAAAATATGGAAAGAGTTAAATATAGAATGTCACAGAGTTGTGGTTATATTGATTTAACCAGTAATCTAGATGATAAGATTTATTGAGTTTCATTTATTTAATAATATTTAATTTTTCAATATTTGAATATTTAGATTTCGTAATATTCAGATTGTGGTCTGCTTACCTCTTAGTTCACAGGCAAGCAAATATGTTTCTAACAAAAAGTTCAAAAAATCTAAAAGCCTGGATATAAAAAATAAACAAACTGATAACTTGAGTCAAATTGTAATTTTCTAATCCCTATATCTAATCGTCTATAGTATTTAAACCTTTGATATTTAAATGATAATTTGTTCCAGCAAAGTTTATTGTTTGAAATGTCGAAGATTAACGATTTTAGGTGCATAGATATAAGAATTAAAAAATTGAATTGGTTTTCAGTTTATTTGTTTTAAGCCAATTGAAATCAAAGATTGCTAAAAGAACCGACAAAAAAATGCCCCAACCACAAGGAATTGAGTTTTTGCCTCAAACTCAAACTTTCTATTACCTGTATCTGTTTTTGTAAATTCTTAATCTAACGAATTATGTATCAAGGCGGGCCCTGTTAAAAAACAGAGCGTAGAGGCACAAGTCAATCTACCTATGATACAGAAGATTGAGAAAATTTGCAGGTTAATAGTTTTTAAAATACGCTTTTAAGATTTTAGATAATAATTTCTTTTTAAAAAATTATACATAATTGTTTAAAATCAATTTAGAAACGATTTTCATATTTAATCAAAACAATTAAATTGGTTCTTAGATCTCAAGTTTAGCATTTTTCCTGCTAAAATTGGATTTTATAAATACAACGTTCCAAATTGTTCCCTCTAGAATTCAGCTAGTTATTATAATATTTAAAATATCAACTACCATGCACACGAGCTTAACTTTGCAAAGTACATTTAGCTGTATCTGAATAAACTGCACATTGTTTAACTTTTATTTCTTATTCAAACCCATGAGAACATTGCTAAAGATCGGGATTAATATGGTTTAAAGAGACTCAAAACTTTTCCAAAATTTTGTTACGCATACAGTTAAACATAAATACACACAAGTGACGCAAATTTATTTATTGTTTTCGATCGTAAGAATTTTGTTAGTACCATCTAACATTAGGGTCATAATTTTTTTTTTTTTTTAAATTATATTGACTATAGATAAAGCTGGCACGTTTCAACTTTTTCTAGGCATTTCATTAATAGTTAATTCCAGCTGTTAAAAAAAAAGAATTACAGGTAGCCGTTAGTTTTAAAGGTAAGAACAGAACTTTTGTTTCGTTACGGGTATTTTTGCGTTTTTTTAAAAAGTCATAGTTAGGTAAGGATCTTAGTTTTATTAATGCCGTTAACAGTTGTTCGTAGTATTAACCTCATCGAAGGTTTGCCAAAACCCCAAAATTTTTATAAAAAATCGTTAACGGTTTACCAGATTAGAGTTACGGTACAAGGGGTAACCAAATTGCAAAAAAAAGTCTTTAACAGTTCCATTATTTAACTAAGAACTGGAGACATAATCTAAAAAACATCGAAAAACATGCAATTTTTACAGGAAAAAAAGTTGCAGTTTTTTCAGACTCATTTTTTTCTTTTTGGTTTTCAATTGTTCGTTTTTAAAAAATACAATTTGTTAACCATTTGAAAATTAACTGTTTATTAATGAACTTTTCTGTTTTGCCATTGGTTAAATAACTCTTTTGATTAACGCACTCTTCCATCTTACTGTTCGGTATTTCGGAAATCTCCGTTTCATTAACGGAACCCTTGCCCAGCCTAGCTAGGGGAGGAGAGGAGGGAGATAAACAGTATAATATTCTAGGAAGTATATTGATCAACTAGGAGAGGAGGAGGGTAAACCGTATAATATTCTAGGAGTATATTGATCAACTATGAGAGGAGGGGGGTAAACCGTATAATATTCTAGGAAGTATATTATTCAACAATGAGAGGAGGAGGGTAAACCGTATAATATTCTAGGAAGTATATTATTCAGCTAGGAGAGGAGGAGGGTAAACCGTATAATATTCTAGGAAGTATATTGATCAACTATGAGAGGAGGAGGGTAAACCGTATAATATTCTAGGAGTATATTGATCAGCTAGGAGAGGAGGGGGGTAAACAGTATTATATCTAGGAAGTATATTGATCAGCTAGGAGAGGAGGGTGGTAAACAGTTTAATATTCTAGGAAGTATATTGATCAACTATGAGAGGAGGGGGGTAAACCGTATAATATTCTAGGAGTATATTGATCAGCTAGGAGAGGAGGGGGGTAAACAGTATTATATTCTAGGAAGTATATTGATCAGCTAGGAGAGGAGGGAGATAAGCAGTATTATATTCTAGGAAGTATATTGATCAGCTAGGAGAGGAGGGGGGTAAACAGTATAATATTCTAGGAAGTATGTTTATCAGCTAGGAGAGGAGGAGGGGGGTAAACAGTATAATATTCTAGGAAGTATATTGATCAGCTAGGAGAGGAGGAAGGTAAACAGTATTATATTCTAGGAAGTATATTGATCAGCTAGGAGAGGAGGGGGGTAAACAGTATTATATTCTAGGAAGTATATTGATCAGCTAGGAGAGGAGGGTGGTAAACAGTATAATATTCTAGGAAGTATATTATTCAACTAGGAGAGGAGGGGGGGGGTAAACAGTATGATATTCTAGGAAGTATATTGATCAGCTAGGAGAGGAGGAGGGTAAACAGTATAATATTCAGAACTTCCTGATCATGTATATTCTTGGTTCTACTTCAAACACAGAGTATAGAACTAAACTCTTTGACCGTTGGCCGACGGTAAGCATATTTAATCAATATTTGAATTCATTGAATTTGATTGATCTATGCTACTGAACTAGCTTTCACGCGCTGAAGTTCAAATCAAGAATATATGATTAAAGTTTTAAAGATTCATGATGATTTGAATCGGTGATTCAGGATTTGAACCCGCAGAAGGTATAGTTCAGAGACCTGTCTAATTTAATAAATTCAACCCAAACAAAATAGTATTTCAAATCTCTAAAATAATTTTTTTTATTCTTTACCCCTCGTTTGAAGTAAGTTATTTTCATATTAACAAAATATTGTTTAAAATATGATTTTTGCAAAATTCTGAAAAACATTTTTGACTGGTTTAAAAGTAAAATTTGATCAGAAAAAACCACAAATTTTCTGATCCATAAATTGAAGAAAAAAAACTCTGGAATCTTTTGTTTAAATTTTTCGCTGTAGAAAGGAGAGGAGACCTCTGAGCTCTCGGAAACTTGAGGATGTTGTATCATTTGGTGTACCGTCCCGTTTTGCCTTATATAGTCTGTGGTGTGTGTTTGTGGCCGATCGACCAAGGAATTATCCGGACTGTATTTAGTTACCTACCCGGAGTTCAGACGGGCCTTAAATAAACTAGTTCATCTGTCGTGTCGCTGTTATCTGTCAACAAGTCTGCACAACTTGCTCTATCTGCGTAAAGTCAGCATATTTCTTGAACTGAACTGGAGGAACTGGAGTTTATAGTTCACTGTGCTACGAATTGCCCCATTAAGGTCAACGTAACTGAAAATCGACCTTACAAGCAGTTTAATGGTAAGGTGGTGTTAGAATCTGCTTTAAAAATCTGGAGGCGTTTCTGAAAATTAAATAGGGCGTTTCCGTTATTTCATTTGTCGGTATAAATTTAACATTATTGATACTCTGAATAATTTTTCTGTAAGATTAGGACAATTCTCGTCTTTTATAATATGCATAGACCTCTTTAACCTCTTAGCTATACTTCTTAGTGAACATAGCTTCAACACCTTGATCTAGGGTTCCCTGCGTAAAAGGAAAATCGTTTCGAGAAAATTGCGCGAAAAAAATGAAAAAATTTTGCGAAAATTTCGCAAAAAAAGAAAGCGAAAAAAATGGGGAATTTTTTTTTTAAATGCAAAACTTATGCGAAAATTTATCAAAAAATACATCATTTTGAGAATAGAAGACGCATATTTTGTGAAAGTTTTCGAAATATAAACCGACCTAATGTATAGATTTAAGAACAACTAGGAGACAATTCATAGATTTGTTTATAATAATACTTTCTCAACCATTAGAAAAAAAATTCTGGCCATCCCTTAAAAATTGAACAAAAAGCAGGGAATTTCTAATTTCTTATTTACTATCACATTTAAAACAAATTTTACATAAAAAATAATATGAATTTTCTCCTTCATAAATTAGTAAGGACTTATGATGATACAGGTTTACCCGCAAAGGATGAGACTTCAGAGATGATTTTAATACAATGATGACGACATTCGATTTCAATTTTGATTTTTAACAACAGAGAATCAGCCAAAACCTTTTAAATAACTTGTTAGAAATCAAAATTTAAATAGAAAAGTCGTCTTCATTGCATTGATATAAAATAAATGGTTACCTAAAATAATAGATAAAAAACAATGTGGTGTCCAGCAAAAAAGTGGTAAAGATGCAGCAGTCTCTGAAAATATGTACAATGATAAGTCATTTTTACGGCACTCCGAGTAAACAAACATAACTTCTGTAAAAAATAATTTTGGTAATCAAAAAAGAAAAGATTAATTGAACATCAAAGTTTTCATCCTTTTAAATTATTTCTAGTTTTTATCCAAAAATTCAGCAATTAAACCCCTAGTAATAGTTTTTCTCATATTTTCTAAACCATATTTCTTTGAAACCTGAAGGTGTTCAATTTCTGGGAGGAGATTAATTATTTTTGAAAAGGGGGAAAGACTTTTAAAGAAAAGAACTTAGTTTTTGCCACAAACTCATATTTTACGATCCCTATTTCTTTGAAACATGATAGTATAATGCTTATTTCAAATTTAGACTTTTTCATAGTTCATAGAATTCATAGTTTAAAAATATTAAAGATCTACGATATATGCATTATAATGTTGGATTTTTTTGACAAAATCTCTTTTCAATTGCTCCTCTGCTATATAATCAACAAATATATGTTCTGTTCTAAACCAAGCAAAGACTAAGTATATACAGTTCTTTAACATAGAGAAAAAACTAGTCAGTAATTTTGTAAAAAATAAGAGTTTTTAGGCGGCCCGACACAAAATCTTCCAGGGGTGTGCACACAAAAAATTAAGGTGTCTCCCCCATACACTAAAGCTCTCGTACGCCCCTTGTAGTACAAAAAAAGAGGAAACACCTCAGCTAAATTAACTTTTAAAAGGTTTTTTACCAAATGGAAACGCCTGAACTAAATGAAGTTTTCAAACTCTGATTGTCCTAGTATAAAATTTTTGGACCCCCCCCCCCCTTACCAAATTAGTACATGACTTAATCCAACAATTTTAACATATTCTGCCTGTTTTTCTTGATTGACTATAGGTTTAAACCAAGTAAGCCTACAGTGACAGTTCATGCCAATTGAACCCCGCAATTTTTAGGACCATTTTTTTCTGTATTTAGGCAAAGGATTTTGTTGAAAACACCCCTAACCAAAATACAACTTATGGTAAAGGTCGTTTTTCAGTTACACAAAGTCGACCTTATGGGTCAGTTCGTAGCACAGTGCTAGTTGTACTGTATTCTTATAAAATGGAAAACTAAACTGTACAGTACACCGGATAGATTATCCCCTTACAGGTGGATTATTTATAGAGTTGACTAATTTGCATCTATATTTTTTAACCATTTGTTTGATCAAGGTTTAATATGTATAGCCTACATTATTTAGAAAATTAGTTATTTATAATGGCATTTCTGTTTTAAAAAAACTCAACAATATTTTCTACATTATGGAAGGTTATCATTGTAATTCTGTCATGCTGCTCTTGAAATGGAGGGTCACTTGAAATTATGTCTGCAGCAAGGTTATAATACAAGGAAAGTTAATTGCAGTTGCGTATACTCTGCGTTGTGCGTACATATTGAAACCAGTTCTCTCTGGGCGGAATTTGTAAACAAGAATAGATGCATCAGTGTTCGTTTATTATCTGAGGAGGTTAATCGCATTAAATTTTGATAATTATGATAATTCACATAACAGTTTCCTATGACCAGAATATTTCATTGATTTTTTATGTAAAAGATGGATCCCATGTCAGGCTTTGACATCCGTCTTGTGTTTACATTATCGCCCAAAGACAGTACACTGCAGTACAAAAGATGCGTACACCTCTGAAATAACTTTCATTGCATTAAATCCTTGGTCTACAGCCCCTTTAATGAAGGGTCACTTGAAATCAAATCTACAGTGCCTTTAACGTGCAATATTTCAGTATCTTGAAGACTTCCAAGCTTGTAAGAGTATACTGGGATACAGATATCCGGAAACATTATGTGAACAGTTCTTTAGGAAATCAACTAAATCATTTGTTTTATTTCGTAATTAAGTAATAAAAAGGTCTAAAATTAGAGTGAAGGAAGAGACCCCAAATAAATAGTTAACATTTTTGAAATGTAAATATTGTTTTCATGGCATGAAAACCTATATAAATTTATTGTATCAAAAACACTTACAAATGAGTATTATTTTATGCATTTACAAAGAAATATACAAAAAGTTTAAAATTATCGTGCGTGTTTATTATTCAACTCCTTATAATCTTTACACTCTTCGCCCTCCCTCTCTTCCTGTCTTCCAGTATTCAACCCCCCCCCCCCTCCTCCTCCTCCTGTTCCGTTATATCTTACTATTTCTATAAAGTTGTATTGCTCTGTTTGTCTATTTGTTTATCCGGTCATAACTCATGAATATTCTTAACTCGGTGTGAGCAGTGTGAGTCGACTTATTTATCGAAAATTGAGTATCCTGGTAAAATCGACCAAGTGCAGATATCAAAATTTGTGTCACATCGTTGAAGGGGTTCATGAGTTATGATAGGATAAACAAATAGACAAACAGAGATTACAAATTTAAATATATTTTTATACGGGGGGGGGGGGAAAGTTTAAGGAGACATGATACAGAAACGTGATGAAGGTTGGGGTGGGGAATGTAAAAGTATGTTTTAACTATTTTATTTAGGGTCTCCAATGAAAACTTTGGGGTCTCCGTTGAAAATGTCGAGGTCTCCGGTATGGTACGGGTTGGGGTCTCCGGTAGGACGGGGTCTCCGCGAGTACTCCGGTAATGATGCTTTCTTCCTACACTCCTAAAATTAATGAATTTGAGCTACGTTGCTAAACTACTGGTTTAAATTTAAACCACTGCACGGATTCAAAGTTAAAGATTAACATGGAGATTAATGCTTAATCCCTAGATACTCAACACCTTATTTTTGACTTATGTTCTTATAGAGAAGTCAGCTAAATCATTTCAATTGTTATTACATCTTTTCCTTTCATATTTTTCTTAATAAAAGTTTAGGATTTCTGAAACTTTTTGTTGAACAGTTATTATCATCATAATTATTCTATCATTTCTTGTATTAACAATATCTTTACAGGAATTGAGCCTTTTTCATAAACTCAAATTTTCAAATCCTTATAACTTTGCAACCTGCAAACTTAAAATGGTTTATCCAACAGAAGTTGCAAAGATATAGGGATTAAAAATCATAGTTTGTGGCAATAACTCATTTCCTTTCCACATTTTTATTGGTATTGCTTTCAAAGATGAAATTTAATAAATACTAACTTTACAAGTTTTAAACTTCTCTATCTTACCTTTTGATTTTAAATATATTTAACATATTCTTAGAGGATTCAACCATTTATAATAAATATTGTAACTTGTAAGGTTTAATGTCTTTTGATGAAAATATATCTGTTTGAAAATATCAAAATTAACAATCCTTAGTTACAGTTTCTGAATTTATACAGAGCTGAAAACTTTAGAATGGTGGATGATTAATGCCTAAACTCCTTGTTTTACTAAATCCAAGATTATTTTAAAACGCATTCGATATCCAAGAAAAAAGTTAACAATTTAACCAATCAGCGTGTCACGGGTATAAACAAACGGGTTTAGCGTTGTTTTAAACAACATTTCAAAACTTTGTTTGCTTCAGATTTTAAGTTAAAAACGTTGAAATGTAAAGAAACAAAAACGAAAATATTTTATAAACATTGAAAAAAATCCGCGGAACCAAATTTATTTTGGAAAAAATTAATTTTGAAATTATTTTTGGACTTTATTTGGGAATTTCTTAGGGAGAGAAAACTTTCTTCTGAAAAGGGCTTATCTCAATTTTACAATATTTTATTTTAAATGATTTTTTTTCCACAAGGCTGAATCTTAAACGGAACTCTAAAATACTGGATGTAGCCTGCGGACCTGGGAATGTCGCCTTAATTGTTAGTAATGATAATAATTATAATATATTAATTAGCTGCGTGAGGAAGGGTATACTCATGTAGATGGACTGGATCCCTCCTCAGGTCTACTAGCTGCTGGGGAGCAGAAAGGACTCTTTAACAAAACATTCTGTTGTTTTGTAACACCGGACTCAAAAACTCCGGTAAATTTAATTTTTAAATAGACTTTTCATATATTTAACCCCTTATAAAGGCTGGTGGGTCTAAATCACTGTAAAGTATTCCCCCCCCCCCTCCCAGACAGGCCTCAGAGTTAAGGTACAGGGTTTAAATGCATGTTTATTGTTCATAGACTAGATTCCTGATAAGTAAACCATGGACTGCCTGGATTCCTGATAATTTAACCATGGACTGCCTAGATTCATGATAATTTAACCATGGACTGCCTAATTTCCTGATAATTTAACCAAAGATTGCCTAGATTCCTGATAATTTAACCATGGACTGCCTAGATTCTTGATGATTTAGCCATGGACTGCCTAGATTCTTGATAATTTAACCATGGACTGCCTAGATTCCTGATAATTTAACCATAGATTGCCTAGATTCCTGATAATTTAACCATGGACTGCCTAGATTCATGATAATTTAAACACGGGCTGCCTGGATTCCTAATATTTTAACCATGGACTGCCTAGATTCCTGATAATTTAACCATGGACTGCCTAGATTCATGATAATTTAAACACGGGCTGCCTGGATTCCTAATATTTTAACCATGGACTGCCTAGATTCCTGATAATTTAAACATGGACTGCCTAGATTCCTGATAATTTAACCATAGACTGCCTAGATTCCTGACAATGCTTATGATGTTCTCCTGTGCAGTGCAGGCATGTTTCCAGGCAGTATAGTGCCTCAGGTAAAATATAAATTAGGCTTCAGGGTTGCTTCGAGTCTTTTTATTAAACAAAAACTTTTTTTATTTTGCTGCTTTACCAGCGAGCTATAGTAAGAAGTAAGTTATTATTTTTCTTGAAATAGAAAAAAAACATACAAAATTAAGTGTTTCCAAAAATAGAGGTTGTGGGAATATTTCCCCCCAATTCTTAAAAAATATAACAAATAGAAATAAAAGGAAAGGAAAGTTACATATCTATTGTTTACATTATATTTATTATACACTGGTGGTGGACGGTTAGTATTTTTCGACGATGAACTAACACCTTTTAGAAATTAAAATGATAGATTTATTTGCGAAGTAAAATAAAGTTACTTTGTTATGCATTACGAAGCTGTGTTCTTAAATCAATTTTCTTGATTTTCTTCTTCTTATAAACTTTCTTAAAGTTATAGGATACAAAGATAAACAATAATTTACTGTTTATGAAATAAATGCAAAAAAAAACATTTTTTTAAACTGGTTTTAATGGTAGTAAGCTTTTAGGCTACAATGTGACCTCTTTCTAAAATATTTGTTTCATTTTTCTTCGTCGTTATCAAAAAATTTTAAAGATCCGATGTCTGCAATAAGATACAAATAGTAAGTATTATTTTCAACATTTTGATATTTAGTCTCTTTCAAGATAATAAAATTTTAATTTTTTTATTAAAAACGGAAAATCATGCTTATCAAATATGTGAAGATTAAAGATGATGAGACACAAATATTTTTCTCAAGAAAATCTACTATGTCACTGTCAGTAGATAATTCAAAATTAGTTTTTGACTTTCCAAAAAAGTATTTTTCTTTTTTCTCCCGTATTTTAATAAAATAATATAAAATAAGGACGCCAAGAAAAAAAAGGGGGGGGGGTAAGGGGGTACTTCGCTAGAAAGAAGGATACGGTCAAATTTAAGCGATATTAATCATGGTATGTCTTTGTGACCTAGTAGCTCCTCTGGTTTTGATTTTATGCACAAGTATGTAAAATACAAAGGAACATAGTTTTAGTCACAACATTTTCTGTATCTTTGCAACCAATGTTTTATGCGAGGAATTATGTAAGTATAAGTTTGAAATATCAAAGGTTTACACCATCAGGTTGCGTAGATATAGGGATTTGAACATTTGAGTGTGTGTCAATATGTATCTAAATATTAAAAATGTTTTTGTTTTTCTTATGAATAGCTATTCAATAAAAGGATCGAAGCTATGTTGAAAAACTTATTAGATTTCAATTTTAAGTGCAAAATACTTTTGTTTGACCGTAGAGGGTATAGAATTGTTTACTGAAACTGAACCTTAACAAATTTCGTAGAAGGTTTTCAGTTCAATTTAATAAGAAATTCTTCTCCAGGCTTTCCCAGAATTACTCAGGATAACTAGACCAGGAGGGATTATAGCATGGAATATTGCTGATGGATATGAGGTACAAGCTTTTCAGTTTGGGCTTCGTGCTCCTCATCCTTCAACAGTTTTGGCGTTTTATGCCGTCACATTTTTTCTAAAACGTTGTCGTTAATTTATTAGGCATAATTCGTAAATTTGACAACCATGTGACCCAACCCTGAGATTACTACTTTATATATAAAAACAATTACTTTAAGGGGTTCAATGAATTCTTCAAAGACTATGACAAGATTTACAATCAGCTGATTCAAGATGGAAGGTAGGAATTTTCTTTACAATCAGCTGATTCAAGATGGAAGGTAGGAATTTTCGTTACAATCAGCTGATTCAAGATGGAAGGTAGGAATATTCTTTACAATCAGCTGATTCAAGATGGAAGGTAGGAATTTTCTTTACAATCAGCTGAATTAAGGTGGAAAGTAGGAATATTCTTTACAATCAGCTGAATTAAGGTGGAAAGTAGGAACATACTTTACAATCAGCTGATTCAAAATGGAAGATAGTAATATACTTTACAATCAGCTGAATTAAGGTGGAAAGTAGGAATATTCTTTACAATCAGCTGAATTAAGGTGGAAAGTAGGAACATACTTTACAATCAGCTGATTCAAAATGGAAGATAGTAATATACTTTACAATCAGCTGATTTAACTGGAAGGTATGAATATACTGTACAGCACAATCAGCTGATTCAAGATAGAAGGCAGAAGTATACATTACAATCAGCTGATTCAAGATGGAATGTATAGAATCATACTTTATAATCATCTGATTCGAGATAGAAGGTAGGAATACTTTACAATCAGCTGATTCAAGATTGAAGGTAGTAGGAATATACTTTACAATCAGCTGTTTTAAGATGGAATATAGGAATATATACTTAACAATTTTCTGATTCAAGAAAAGAAAGAAGGTAGGAATATACTTTACAATCAGCTGTTCTAAGATGGAAGGTGGTTATATTCTAGGGTTTCCAGGGAACAAAACATTTTGGGAAAATTTCGCATTTTGCGAAAATGTTTTCGTGAACAATTTTTTCGCGAAAATTTTCTCGGAATATGCGACTTATATTTTTAAAATAAAGTTTTTTTTGATGAATTTTCGCCAACTCTTTGCATTTTTTTAAATTCTGTATTTTTTCACATTTCTTATTTCGCCAAAACTTTACTTTTTTCGCGAAACAGATCGAAGCAAACTTTTGCGAAAAATATGTTTCCGTGAAAAATGGTTAATTTTCGCGAAACGATTTTCCTTTTTCGCTGGAATCCCTATACTCTAAAATCAACTAATTCCAGATAAAAGGTAGAGAATACTCTTAAACTTCCTGTGTTTCGTGAACAGTCCCATTAATTGTAAATATTTGAAGTTGGGTTGAGGTTGAGCCTGTTCAAAGGATGGAAGAGATGTTAATGGGAGATGCAGGGTTCACATATATCATGAAGAAAATCTAAATGTATCTTGTATTTTAAAAATAAAATATATTTTGTTAAATATAAATAATGTTGTTTTCAGAACATAACAAATATTTTATCGGAAATAGATAAATGATTGTGAACAATTTAATAATAAATAGTTAAAAAGAATTTATTGACAAACAAATATAAGAATAAAAATGTGAAAGTTTAGTTCCCAAAAGAGAGAGTACCGTTTGAATCGATCCTGTTTTAGTATAGATTACAATTTAAAATGTCTCACGCAGAATATTAAAGTTTCAAGTAAAAAAAAAATAATATTATTTTAACTTCAGAAATTATTACTTCTGTAAATAGAACTGAAGCTGATCAAGTCCTAATTCAGTGTGTATTTCAGAGGATTAAGTGTGAAATTGAATATGCATTTAATACTAAAACTCTATTTGATACTCTGAACAGACCCCTACTTACATAAATATTCTCTGTAAGTCTGATGACTTAATCTAAAAAAGTTGGTGTATCCAAAATGCGTAAGTAACGTAAACGTATATTATTTTGGCTCCAATTACGCAATTAAAACGCAAATTTGCGTAAGACTAGATTTCAAATTAGTGTAAATATCTAATTTTCTAAAGAAAATATTTTATAACCCAGGTTTAAGTAAAAATTTAATGAATTTGTGGAGATGTGTATCATTTTATTTCAGGTATACAAAGTGCGTAAAAGTACGCTCAATTTGCGTAATTCCCTAAAACTCTAAATCTAAATTATTTGTGAAATATCTAAAATTTCTGATACGGCATGGCATATATTGCATTTTCCAAAAAAATTGAAAAAATAAACTTAAAAAGAATTTAAGTTGTCTTTGTTAGCATTAAAATTGCGTAAAAATTGCGCTCTTCTTACTCATATGTTTTAAGTGTTTTAAATATTGAAGAATTGAGTGGCCCAGGTGTGTGTGCATAGTGCAGAGTGCAGCAATGTTATATTATATAGAAAGCCGTGTGATATGTAGATAAGGGTGGGAAGGGGGGGGATAATTGGGCAGAGAATTTACAGTGCTATATAGGTTTTTAGTACCAAATTTCACAGCTAGGTGTCTCTATTTGTTTCACGTAAAATTAAAAAAAGGTAAAAAAGGTAAAAAAGATCAGATAAAATTTTTTACTAAAAATATATCATTTAGAAGTCAAGATTTGGGTTTTAAATTATTTTATATTTTTAAATAAAACAATTTATTAGGAAAATGCACTGAATTTTCTATCAAAAAGTTTTACATAATTTTTAAAACTGTCATACAAGTATAAAGCTAAACGCTATAATCTCTACGTTGAACTGAATTCCGGATGAATGGAAACAGTACAGAGACAGTACCATATTGGTACTCAGGGATGGATGGCCTATCTGCATGCATCAAATATTGCATAATTTTTGGTAATTGAGAAAATAAAAATGCGCATGTTAGGCGTAAATTTGTATAGTATTATTACGTAAATTTTGCGTCTACTAAAACCAATAAATTTGCGTAGCTAAGTGTGCAATTTTACGTCTTTCATGACGTAAAAAGAGCCAAAACCTCTACGCAAAATTTATGTAAAAATGCGAAAAGTGACGCTTAAATTGCGCTCTTTTTGCGCAATTTGGCTAGCTAGGACTTAAGAAATGGCGGGATCTGGGTTCAGGACACAGAGAGGGAAAAAGAAAGAAACCAGTTGTGCGCCAGCTCTCACAAGGAGATGATGAAGCAATTCGCCAACTCACCATAAGGATAGGAGTCGTGCATCAGTCCTCAGAGAGTACAGGATGAAGCAATTCGCCAACTCCCCACAGTTGTAGGATGGTCAATCCACTGGGAACTGCTGGGATTGATCGGAGCTGTGGGAAAAACCAGAAAACTCTGGTTGAAGGAGTCTTAAAACTCGTTAAAGAAGAGTCTCGGATCCATGATCCTAAAAAGGGAAGAGCAGAAAAGACATGCTTTTCTATAAAGCAGACAGGGAGAATGGTTCCCCTGTCTAACAAGAAGATCCCAGGAAACCCAAGCTGTGGATCTGAATGAAACTGTAGTAGCAGTATTTCTACATCGCTAATTTAGTTCATTGTTTTAAAGTTTTATATAACTTTGCAATGTGGGGACCCTGGATTACCAGCTGATTCCCGGAAGCTCTGAAGACCAAACCAAACATATTTAGTTCAGTTCGTTTTTAGATGTTGTAAGTTAGAGACAAAATATATATATCAGTCCGTTTATATCTTTGTTATTTTACGTCGCTACATTTTGATGACCCTGATGTGATTTCGTCACTGTCGAGTGTTAGGCAGTCTCTCTTGCCGACGTACCTGAAATTGGTTTCGACAGGGTCCCTGCGTTTTTCAAACCCAAATACCAAAGTAAGGTTTGCAGCAAGATCTCGAGAAAATTTAATATTAGCCATTAGTTACAGTAGCGATTGTCAACATGCCGGAGGAAGAAGGAAGTGATGTACCCCTGTCTGCAGTTCCTTTGACAACAGTGTCCGTAAAACTTCCGACCTTTTGGACCGATTCTCCAGAGGTATGGTTAATCCAGGTCGAAGCACAGTTCGAGGTAAAAAGGATTACAGTCTCGCGAACCAAGTTCAATCACTGCCTCGCTGCGTTGCCCCAGGATGTTGCCTGTCGACTTCTAGAACTGGTCCGAGCTCCCCCTGCCGCTCCTTACGAAGCCCTGAGAAGTCGCCTCATCTAGATGTATACGTTGAGTGATTTCCAGAGATATCAGGCGTTGCAAAGTTTGCCCTTGTTATCCGAGAAATTCGTCCACTAGATCTGGGACTCGTGGTTCTGTTCCTAGGTCTTCCAGTCGTCCCTCAGTTCCAGAAGACGGTAGGAGAACCGATTCTTCCGGGGTTTGCTGGTACCACCACCCATAGGGAGATGCAGCTAGTCAGTGTCGAGCTCCCTGTTCCCGTTCGGGTAACTAGTCAGCGGAGGGGATTATTTGAATGCAATTCCCGCCGATTCTCCTTCCTCAAATCTTATATTTTTGCAGAATATTCTATCCTCTCGCAAGTTTCTGGTTGACACTGGAGCCTCTGTATCAGTCTATCCACATCTTCCTCAGCAACCTCGATACTGCTATGGATACCCATGGTTCTCGTCAGATAGCTCTACAGTTCTGGCCTTGTCGTTTTGACTGGACTTTTCTCCTAGCAGATGTGTCTATGCCTATCCTAGGATCAGATTTTCTCCGCCATCACCACCTCTTGGTTGACGTTGCCGGTGCCCGTCTCCTAGATGCTGCAACCCGGCCTGGAACCGATTCCCGCCGTTCCCTCGACAAAACCAGGAAAACATTCAGAGTTGTACGCCGCGTTATTGTCTACCTCTGAGGAGTTCAGGGATTTGTTAGCTGAGTATCCTGATGTTATCTCTTCTAAGGATTTCAGTGCAGCTGTGCCAAAACATCAAGTTCGTCACTCCGTTCCAACAGTTCCTGGTCCGCCGGTTTTTGCCAAAGCTAGAAGGTTAGATGTAGAAAAGCTTGAGTCTGCCAGGAAAGAATTTGCTGCAATGGAAACTGCTGGTGTAATCTGCCGTTCAAACTCTCCTTGGGCAAGCCCTCTTCATATGGTACAGAAGCCTGACAGTTCCTGGCATCCTTGCGGTGATTATCTCCGGTTGAATACACAAGACAGTTCCAGATCGATATCCTCTTCCCAACATAGCTGATTTTACTTCTAGACTCAACAGTTGTACAGTTTTTACCAAGTTGGATCTGACCAAAGGTTATTATCAGCTGCCAATGGCCAAAGGTGACATCCCTAAGACAACAGTTATAACCCCTTTTGGTCTGTTTGAGTGGATCAGAATGCCGTTGGGTCTCAGGAATGCAGGATGCACGTTCCAAAGGATGATAGACCAGATTTTAGGTGACATTCCACGCTGTTTTGTCCATGTCGACGACCTTCTCATCGCCAGTCCTGATGCTACATCACACCTCGACCATGTCCATCAGGTTTTCGACCGTCTCCGCCTCCATGGTCTGAGCATAAACCCTGCCAAGTGCAAGTTCGCCAAACCTGAAGTTGAGTATCTTGGAATGATGGTTTCAAGCAAGGGATGCTTTCCTCTCCAGAAGCATACTGAAGTTATTTCGTCCTTCCCGCGTCCTGTAGACAAGAAAGGACTTCAACGTTTCCTTGGTATTCTGAACTTCTACAGGAGATTCATCAAGGGCGCTGCAGGAATTCTCGCTCCGCTGAGAGAAGGATTGAAGGGAAAAGTATCAACTATCTCCTGGACATTGGAAATGAACCAAGCATTTGCCGTGGCCAAATCTCTCCTCTCAAGTGTGCCAACCCTGGTTCATCCTGATCCCTCCTCCGAGGTTTCACTTGCTGTGGATTCATCCGGTTCTCATGTAGGAGCAGTTCTTCAACAAGAAGTTGCAAGGTTTTGGGCTCCTCTTGCTTTCTACTCCAAGAAGCTATCTTTTGCCGAGACAAGATACTCCGCCTTTGACAGAGAGTTGTTTGCTGCTTATTCCGCCCTCCGCCATTTCCGGTTCCTCCTAGAAGGTAAAGAGTTTGTTTTATTTACTGATCACAAACCTCTAACTCATGCCTTGTTCAGGACTTCTCCGCCCTGGTCCGCCATGCAGCAGCGCCGCCTGTCATTCTTGTCTGAGTTCAACTGTGTCATCCGTCATCTCCCAGGAACAGAGAACGTAGTAGCAGAGGCCCTGTCCCGTCCAGTTTCTCCTAGCTCCACTCTGATCCTTGAGTCAAAACCGTCCTTGATTTCTACGAGTCCAATTAAAGCTAGCTCCGCTCCAAAACCTGTGTCAAAACCTTCCAATTTTTCTCCTCAGCCTGCTCCGTCAAGTTTTTCTCCTGAAGTTTATCCTTCTGATGATCGAGTCCCTGAGGTGTCCGAGTCCCTGAGGTGTCGGTGGTGTCAGCGGTGTCGGCGGTGATGGATCCTGTGATGAACTCTGTTCCTCTTGTTCCTGCTCCCCCTCCAACAGTTCCTGGTGTTTCATATATACAAATGTCTGTGCTCCAACAATTATGCACGAAGGTTCAACAGCTCCGCCAGTCCTCAGCTTTGAAGATTGT